TAAGAAAATGGGAGAAATCAAAAACGGAATGGAGGGGTAATTCGGAAGACAGGAGAAAAATGGGCTTCAAAATGGAGCTTCAATTTTGGGCAATATGTAGATTGTTAAAAATGAAAATGTTGTAAAATCAAGGGTTAGGGAATTAACGATGGAAATAATTTACCATTTGTTAATTCTTCAGCCGAAGAAAAGTTAACGACTAAAGAAAAAAAAAAAAAAAAAAAAAAAAAAAAAAATAATAAAAAAAAAAAAAAAAAAAAAAAAAAAAAAAAAAAAAAAAAAAAAAAAAAAAAAAAAAAAAAAAAAAAAAAAAAAAAAAAAAAAAAAAAAAAAAAAAACGCGCTTTGTAAAAAATACAACGACAATGGGTAAAGAAAAGATTAAACGCAGAGAAAAAAAAAAAAAAAAAAATTACATATAAATAATATATACATGTATGTATAAATATCTGCACATATATAAATTACATATTAATGTATAAATATATATTATAGAACAGTACAAAGAGTCATGTCAGTAAAAATGGAGACTATATTTTAAATTGCAAACTTCGCACGGAGTGGAAAAGTCTTCGTAACAATATTAGTCATACAGTTTCTGTAAGTGGAAGTTTGAGGAGTAGTTATTCTTTATTTTTCGACGCTCCATTTTGGCCCTTCATTTTGGTGCTCCATTTTGGCCCTTCATTTTGGTGCTCCATTTTGGTGCTCCATTTTGGTGCTCCATTTTACCGCTACATTTTACGGCTCCATTTTTATCCGCTCTACCCCCCAACAAAATGAACGAGAGTTCAGGGGAGCGCCTCACGCCGTGGAGATATATATGTAGTAACACTCTACCATGTAGCATTCATTTTTGCACCTCTGTAAATAAACAAATGGGCATATGCATTTTACATTGATCATGTAAGAAGAGGAGGTATGTTGCCCACACTCCAATTCAGTGATAATTTAATATGCCCCCCACTTTTCATGTTTTTGTCATGTGAAAGAAACTAAATTATAGATTTAACATTTACGACGGGCACACGTTTCCAGAAAAGATAAAAAAATGTATCTTCCCATCTCAGGTAGATCACATGACGTGGAAAGGATTTCCATACTACTTTTAAGATTTATCAGTTTTAAAATTTATCAGTTTTAAGATTTATCAGTTTTAAGATTTATCAGTTTTAAGATTTATCAGTTTTAAGATTTATCAGTTTTAAGATTTATCAGTTTTAAGATTTATCAGTTTTAAAATTTATCAGTTTTAAAATTTATCAGTTTTAAGATTTATCAGTTTTAAAATTTACTACTTTTCAAATTTATCAGTTTTAAAATTTATCAGTTTTAAGATTTATCAGTTTTAAAATTTATCAGTTTTAAAATTTATCAGTTTTAAGATTTATCAGTTTTAAAATTTACTACTTTTCAAATTTATCAGTTTTAAAATTTATCAGTTTTAAAATTTATCAGTTTTAAGATTTATCAGTTTTAAAATTTACTACTTTTCAAATTTATCAGTTTTAAAATTTATCAGTTTTAAAATTTACTACTTTTCAAATTTACCATTTTTCATATTTACCACTTTTCGAATTTACCAGTTTTAAAATTTTCACAAAAGTGTTACATCGGAAAAAAGTATATATGTTTTATATATGTATCCGCGCTTTGAGTTGCTTCGTTTACAAATAAAATACAAAAAAAAAAAAAAAAAAAAAAAAATTATTCGCACAACACACAATGAGCTTTCTTTTCTATATAGGATGTATATAACACTTTCTTCTACAACCATTAAGAATATTTATTGCACAACTTATGAAAACTTTGTCCAAAAAAAAAAAAAATATAAATAAAATAATTCTGTGCACAATAAGAACATAGTTTTATATTGCAGTTTTACACAATTCATTTTGGTTTTGCTCTGCACATTTGCGACAACAGGGGGGGTTAAAAAAGATTAACAGGTATATGCCCAAAAAATAGTTAAGAAGATTTCATATATATATATATATATATTTATATATAATCGAATGAGAATGGGGGATAGGGGCTCTGTTCTATAAGAACAAAAAGGTATATTTTTGCATATTTGTTTATATGCATTGTATGGGTGCAGCCCCCCCCCCCCCGCTTACGTTTTGTAGTACACTAAGACTTGGGCTCATGTGACGCAGGTCTCATATCCCATCGCTGTGTGATGTCCGGATACTTCAAATATCCGTCAACTCTTCCTTTTCTTTGTGTGATTTCTCTCCTTCATTCGGATATAGTATGAAAATGAAAAGGTGTGTGCTGCATATAATCAAACGTGTGCACAGGTGGGGGGGGGGATAGTATAATATATAATTTTGGGGGACAACATGCTGATAGGATGAAATTAATCTGATATTAATTATAGTGACATGGATATGGTGAAGTATTTCATTTTATTTTTTTCACTTTATTTTTTTCACTTTATTTTTTCCACCTTATTTTTTTCACTTTATTTTTTTCACTTTATTTTTTCCACCTTATTTTTTTCACTTTATTTTTTTCACTTTATTTTTTCCCGTCCGAGACTCATTCACGTGTCTGATATGTAAGGCAAAACGTGCAGCAACTTAAAATGGACGTGCCTTAAGCACTGGCGTTTAGAGACGTTGTTGCATCTTTTGGTGTGTGCGTGAGGGAAGCGAGCCAAGATAAAACCTTGTGCAGAACTTTTTCGTTTCCTGGTTCAATCGTAAGAACATGATCCATATCATCAAGTACGTGTAATTCTTTAAGTTTTGAATTAATTTTATTAAAAAATGTTTGTGCACCTCCAAAAAAACAAGCACTGTCATGTCTGGAATGTATTAAAAGAATAGGAATATCTGTTGGAATATATTCCATATCATTATTTAAATTCTGAATAGCATTTAAAAGTTCATAGCCCAACTTACATGTGATTGGTTTTTTATTTCTATTTTTATCATAATTAAAGATATGGTTAACATAGGGATATTTTTTAAAATATAAAGATGGTGTTATTCGTAAACTTGGAAAAACAGTAGCAAAAAACTTTGAAAATGGAATATAAAAATATTTATAAGATGCCTTTGTTGCTAATTCATCAATAGAAATCATACCAGCTAAACATATACATCCTCTTATATTCAATTTTGCATTATTACCTTTTGATCTTCCTAATATTTCCAATGTTCTTAGAACTATGTTTCCTCCCATTGATAGACCCATGATATAAAACGGAGGTGTTTTCATATTTGTTAAATTGTTGTGAATTGAAGATGATATGCCGGTTTTATTATTATTAGTGGATGCACCTGATGCATTATTCATATTGCTGCCTCCATTTTTTGTAGCATCGCTTTTTCCATTATTCATATTTTTTTTACTTGTAAGACATATAATATCGTGCACTCTGTTAATATACTGAATTAAATCGTACACAAGATCATCAAATTTTTTTACATTCGTTTTTAAATTTCTCCATCCATCCGATTGACCATGTCCTTGTAAATCCATGCCATATACTGAGTACCCATTTTTATTAAAATATTCTATCCAGCTATTTTTGTAAATATAATAATTATCTGCATCTTTCAATATGACTTTATCTGGGCTAACTATTTCTACGTTATGCCTCATGTATTCTAGACGCACATGTGTATTCAATCCGTGCACTAGGAATATAACTCCTATTGGGTTCTTCACTTGCCATGCGTATGTCTTTAATGTCAATCCATCTCTGTTGTGGAATGAATCTATTTTTGGTTTTCCGTCAAGTCTCCCAGTGGTGACCTTGGTACCTGCAGAACCAGAAGTCGCAGCTGCTTTGCTTCTTTGGCTAGCTGTTTCCCCAGAGTTGGCATCGGCCATTCGGTCTAACAAAGTGAGATCAGTGGAATTACCTGGATCAGCTAGATCAGTTGGGTGAGCAAGGTACGTAGGATACGTGGGATGAGAGGGATAAGCGGGGTAGGAAGGGTAAGGCGGATGAGAGAGGTAAGAGGGATAATTGTTGAACGTACTTTGAGAAATCATAGCAGAGGTTTCGAGCTTATATAAAGAGTCAAAAAAAAAAAAAAAAAAAAAAAAAATGGGACCCTTGAGAAAGAGTTCTTATTCAAAGTGTTTTGTTAGAAATGATCTCCCTGAAGTGCTGACTATCTATTTGTGCAGGAGATAAAAGAAATGTCAACAGGAAGGTACGATTGCAATAAAGGAAACAAGGCAAAGTAATATTATAACGAGTGTGATGAGGTAAACTCGTCAGGAAGGTTAGCTTGGCGATGAAGCCAAGTCATCAAATTAGTACAAAAATTTTCTAATAATTGTGTTTAAAAAAAAAAAAAAAAAAAAAAAAAAACAGAAACAGAAAAGTACGTGACCTTTCACCTTATGCCTTTTCAACTGCACATGGTGAATAATAAACACTAAGATAAGGAAAAACAAAATGGCTACCTGCACTCGGTCGCGTGAAATCTATAGGGCTCCTGGTGCACGGTATTATAAATGCTTAATACATTAACAAAATTCTTGTGACATGAGAAGATTCCTAAAAAATGCATATTTTAGCAAATGCAGATGAATTTTCCTAGGAAAATTTTTACAACAAAAAACCAATGGATCAAAAATGAAAATACAAAAAAGTAAAAAAAGGTAAAAACATGCATATATATATATATATATATATATGTATGTATATATATACAGTATGAATGTGCATATGCGTGCCAAAACAAATTCCAAAAAATGTCACAAAAATAGCACTGAGCAGAGCAATGCTAAAATGATTGTATGAGGGAAATTATGCTAGTTGTTTTTAAAAAATTTGTCAACTCCGTAAGAATGGTGGTAAATTTTTTTTTTTTTTTTTTTTTTTTCCTGTTGTTAGTTTTCCCAATCCCCGCGGATGCACGAATTTAGCATTCAAAAAATTCTCCAAATGTGATGACCGGGTACAAACTTGTGTTGTTTCATTGAATCACAAACATGTGCATGTATATGTATAAACATAAGCAAATATATGAGATACTTTGGGACTATATTTGCATATATGTATGCATGGCAATACCATCAGCACTACACCTGATTTAAAAACAGAAGTCTGTACAGTAGAATACAAAAAAGGGGAGGAATTTTGATAAATGATCCTCACTTCATTTATAGCAAAAAGGTGCAAGTATATTCGGACCGGAATTTGCAACAAATGTTGCATCCACATGTTTGGTGGAATGATGAAAAAAGGAAGATATGTAAAAGACAAAAACTTCGATGGGGTTATATGTATAATAGAAACGGTTTAAAAGCTACAGGAGAGAGGCACAAATCTTTTTCTAGATTTAAACTAACTTTTGTCACCCTTTTTAGTTAAACATCTTGTGCAGTGTTAACAGGCTTACTTCATAATGCATGCTTTTGCTAAATATCGTATCTGTAGCTACAAACTCTATGTACAGCTGTGCAAATGCCGCTTTGTACACTCTCTTATCAATTCATATGAGTGTGCATTGGCACCACACAAGTATCTATTTATCATGTGCAAATACTATAGTTACCCTCATGCGACACCACGCGAGTGTATATGTATATATACATATACGTATACATATACAATATTTAACACACCCTGAGAGAGGGGATCGAGTAATGTCCCATGAACTGTAAATGGAATTTAAAAAAAAAAAAAATGAAAGAGAATTTTCCTTTTTTCCTTTTTTGCATTACTTATTCTGTGTAAAGGGTAAAAAAGTGTTAAAAGGGACTTATGCTAAAACAATTTAAGATAAGTTTTAAAAATGACACCATCCTTATATTTTACAACAAAAAAAAAAAAAAAAAAAAAAAAGATTAAACGTATCTAGAATTTATCAATATGGTAAGATTACTCTCTCTCCACATGTATTATTTTTGCTTCTTAGGTTAGATATGTTTTTTTATACTATGTACTCCATCTTCTCTTTCCCTTATCACGTTCCATTTTTTATTTCTTAACACAAATACCATCGTTCGAATTGTGTATTTCTCATTTAGTCGAAAAATATTTTCTCCTTTTTTTTTTTTTTTTACATGCATATTAGATTAATCTCACGGGGTTCTGTTTCCACAGGAGGCAACAAAATACATCAAAGTTTACGCACCTAATCAAAAGTAGAGTCTCTTCTTCGTCTTTCGAAATATTGTATATCACCACGACGGAATTGTGGCAAAAGGAACCCATTAGAGTTTTCTTTTTTTGTTTTTTATTTTGTTACATTCCGAGTGAGGGAAATAATGCCACCATTTAATTAGTGATCCCGTTGACTTGCGCTTCCTCCACTTTTTAAGTTTTCAGTTTTGTTGAACTAAGGTAGATCTTTTAGTGATGACTTGATTCTCAACCCATAGTTTAAATGATATAGATATATTGCCCCTGTAGAAGCAGTTAAATTCGCGTGGGTATATCTAACTTATCTTTTTTTCATTTTCTATTTTTTCAAAATAAAAAATTTATTATGATATTTTTTTGTCAAACGAAAGTAACATTGAACGGTCAATGCGTGTACAAATTTTGTACATACAGATATTATATTGCCCTTAATTCTCTTTAAATGAAGAAAAAAAAAAAAAAAAAAAAAAAATACTAATTTGATGGGTTCTTATGAATATATAAAAACTTTCGAGTCGTTCCACTAAAGCAACATTTTTCTATCGATTTCAACCTCCTTTTTTGACGTGTTTTTAGCATAGATCAGCATATACAAGTGAAAAAACAAAAAGGGAAATTATATATATGCATATATTCTACAAGCATATGTGCACACGTTCACATTGGCGTGGTTAAAAGTGATTCTCCTGGGGTAACACAAAAAGAAATATATATACACATACATATACACATACACATACGCATACACATAAGCATACACATACATATATATTTAAGTGGCACCCATTTAAATTGCAAATGTATTGGGAGTCAACCCTGCCGTGTCGATCACAACACAGCGTCTCGAGGGAGATATGTTTTCATCCCATTTGGTACATACACATGCATGTACGAACATGTGCCTTAGAAAAGCATATGTTACTCATCGCACAGCTCCATTATTTCAATTTTTTGTGAAAATTCTAAACATCAATTCCTTTTTTTTTAGATATATCCCTCACTTGTTCAAAAGCTGTGAAAAGAAAAATGCCACTCGGGGTGCCGCTAAGAAAGTACCTGTTCATTGTATCTACGTCCTTCTTATGCATGGCTATGGGTTCGTGCTGCGTGCATCTGATTATGAAACCAGAAATGAAAGAATATGATATTTCAAAACATTTGGAAAATAGAAACAGTGCCATTCAGGAGGTTCAACAAGAAATCATCAAAAGGAAGTCATCAACTTATAGCAAATCGAACTGAAACAAAATTTTAATGGCACAAGGAACGTTATCAAGATCGCGTAGGATAAATTCCTCTTTAGGTAAGATTGCAATACCCTCGCCTTGCAAATTCGTGCAATCACTGCTATTACCACCATTGCTGTCACTATCTCCATTGCTATTATTATTTTATTTTTTTTATTTTTTGTTTTATTTTTTTTTTTTGTTTGCTATCCCTTTCCGCAAAAGGACATATACACATGTATGACCAATAAATTTTGAAACAAAAAAGAAAAAAAAAAAAAACGTATAAATTGACATTACATGAAAAAAAAAAATAAAATCCAAACGGCGATATCACGAAAAGCAGGAAAAGGCACTACAAAATGTTCTATATGCCAAATTTTCTAGTTTCTCATTTTTGATTTTTTGAACTTTTCAGATTATATGAACCATAAGTGCTGATTTTCACTTGTATCTCCCTTTTGTGTGTGTGTAAAGAGCAACACACCGTTATAGTACATTGAGGGGAGCAGAGAATGGAATGAACTATTTTTTTTTTTTTTTTTGAATTCATATATCTGAATCAAATATTGATTTCAAATGAGAAGGTGCTACTCTATAAACCCAAACATTTCCTTCCCGTCTATCCAATCTGGATGTTCTTTGTCTTGCCCTTTTCCTCGTTACAATTAATTCTCTGATATCTTCAATAATTTCTCTATTGAGTGACCAATAGGAATGTCTCAATGTATGTACATTTGATCCTAGCCAAGTAGTATCAATTACATCTACATCTAACCAATCTCGATTATCTCTGTAACAATAAATGGGTTCTATACCTGTAAAAACAAGTAATGTGTTTCTAAACATTGGTGGTTGATGTAGGAAATTATTAGGTCTATTCTCTTTATTTGATTTACATTGATCATTGTCTATGGATAATTGTTCGTTTAAGTTAATCGTATCATTTATTTTATTTTTTTTTTTATAAAAAAAATGAACAATTTTTTTTAATTTCTGAACAAGTTTAGTCATAAATTCCTTGTTTTTCATTTCATCATTTGTAACATCAAAATTTTCACAATCAAAGAAAGAAGAAACTAATTTGGGTTCTGCACAACTTTCATCACTTTCATTTGTTTTGTTTCTAATGGAAATAGAAAAATAATCTAGTTTATTACTATCAAAAACGTAATTGTCAGTTCCATGTGTTCGCTTCTTATAATCGTCTTTACATATATTTAAATCGAACACATTTCTTCCAAGAGATTTTGTACCACTGAAAATCTCAGCCCATTTCAATGCCTTATCATTGGAGTCACAATATATAGATATCACAGTGCAAAATGATCGGAGAAATACATATTCCTTATTTACAAAATCGCTCAGGTAATATTCTGGATTCATCATTGTCAATGTTATTAGTTTCATTTTTGTCAAGTTCTTTGTTACGTTTTCATTTTCTTCAACCGTGGAAAAAAGCTCACTCTCCACAATGTCGTGAAAAGCCAAAAGGAACATCCTGGTCCCCATGCTGTGAGTGATGATGTGGATTTGTCTGATTCCTGTGCGGTGTGATAGAAAATAATTGGAGGGATGTGATACATATAATTGGAGAGATGTGGTGCAATGGGAGGAGTGTGTGATATAATGGGTGGGATACCCTGTACTTCTTTGAAGACATGTTGTGATAAATAAAGTTTAAGAGACACGTACACTGTAAATATAACTTATTACGCAGATTAATTTTTCCCTCCCCCTCTCTCCACTACCCATATGCATATATTACAACAGATGTGATAAGTTTTACATGTCACGTTATAGCTGAGTGTAGGAAGCAGAATTTGTTTGTAGACATGGTCAACTGGTTGTTTAAGGGCCACATATTGGCCTCGCTTTCGCCTGTCGCTTTTTATCAGGGTTTTTCTTCTCTGCTTCTATGGCCCTACTTCTACGACCCTGCTTCTACCGCCCTGATTCTACCTCTCTGCTACCTCCTCTTCTCTCTTACCGTTGTTCCGCAGCGTGTTGAGGAAAGACTTGAAGGCATGGTGCACCTTCTTGTTCTTCGAATTGTCCTTGGCAGTGAAGAATTCAAGAAAGTTCTTCCCCGAAGGCCAATTGAACAAAAATAGTTTGATGTAATTTGGGAAGTTTCCAAAGGATGCCATCTGTCCAAGAATTTGAAGAGCCTCCAAATGACTTGTATTATATCCGTGTATAAAAATAACGGCTTCTAAACACCCAGCCAATTCGCATTTTACCCATCCATCTAAGCTTAGCTCTTTTATGTTATCTATCCATGAGTAGAGACGATTATTTATGCCTTTTTTATAGTTGAGTGTATTTTTTCTCTTTTTAATTATTTTTATTTTGACTTCATTATCTTCGAATTCATTTCTTCTCGTTTTATTTTTTATAAAATTGCAATTTTTTTTATTAATGTATCCTGTTATGTATAACCCCCTCTCTGCATCAATCGATATGTGCAAATCGGTATTGTATATAATTCCAAAGTTTGGCATGTGTGGACATAAATTTTGAAGAATTATGTTCATACATTTTGTTTTATACACATTTGTTATCGTATCTGAAAATAATAATTTTCTTTTTTTTTTTTGGATTTTTAATTTTGGTAATGTTCCTGAAAGAGCTCTTGGCAGAAAGGTTTTCCTTCTGTTCGTGTTTCTTTTTTTCAGTTTTTTTTTTTTTTTTTCCCTTCTTATCCTTAAGTATTTGAATTTTCTTAAATGTAATAAAGTATTCGTCATGCTGTACCCGATATGCTTTTTTATTTTTCTCTTAACGTTATCCTCTACGTTGAGTTTATTTCCACTATCATCTTTTGCTTCGTCTGGACATTGCAGCTTTACGCATTTCTCCACCTTTTTCTTTTTGCCACCTTCTGCGTCTGGTCCCTTGCTTTGACCTTTTCTTTTGTCCAAACTGTCTCCATTTTGGCTTTTAATTTTGTCCAAATTGTCTCCATTTTGGCTTTTAATTTTGTCCAAATTGTCTCTATTTGGGCTTTTCATTTTGTCTGAATTGTCTCCATTTGGGCTTTTCATTTTGTCTGAATTGTCTCCGTTTCGGTCTTCTCTTCCTTCTGTACCTGTCACGCGTGATCCTCTGATTGGCCATTGCACCGGGTCAACTTCTATTCGGATATTTTCACCTATATGCGAAAGTTGTTTTCCTCTTACTATTTCCTTTTCCCCTCCTTGATTTGATTTCACTTCATCAGATACGTGTGTACTTACCTTTTGAATTGTTCTTTTTGGATTTTTTCTTCTGTGCGTCATGTTTTCCCCTTTGTTATTCTTTAAATTTGATTTCTTGCTTTGGACAGCTAATCCTTGATCTCTATTACAATTTCGTTTTATTTTTTGCATTTGTGCTACATTAAACTTTGTAAATGATATCTCCACCTGTTTATTTTTCTCCACAGGAATATCATCCACTTCATGGTTTCCCTTGTCTCCTTCTTCATATATAAACTGGTGTTTCATTTGCATATCTTTGCATTTTCTCTTTTTTGTGATACATATTTGATCTCTTGTTTCTGATATATAATTACAACATTTATCATTAGTAAAGTAGTTTTTCGATTTAGACAAAGGTTCTTGTTTTGTCAACTTAAAATGGTGATTTGTTTTTAAGTGATCACCTTGTTGTGATATGGAATGTGCCTTTCTTTCTTCACTAGTTTTACCCTTCATTCTCTTTTTATTTTGAAATGCTTTTTTCCCTCTCTTCTCATGATTGTCTTTTTTCTGTATTTCTACATGGTTACATATCTGTCTGTCATACTTAGTTTTTGCACAACACTCAGAATCCTTGAGGTTTTTGCCTTTACGTGGCAGTTCTATGTTCACTTCGGTGCGAGACTGGTGTTCAACGTCAGGAATATGTGCATTTCTTTCGTCAAGAAGAGTAGGCATTTCTCTTAAATCAAGCGAATAGGAAGATGAGGATGAAGGTGACGAAGCTGATGCTGAGGAGGGGTCTGAATTGGGAGACTCGCTTTTAATTGTTCTCCATGCATGCTCGTGTTCATTTCTTTTTCCTATATTTTTATTCAACATGGAATGTATTTCTTCTTCTACGGCTAGATCATTGAAATCATAACTCAGACTATATATGTCATCATAATTTAATAGTTCTCCTTTTAAAAAAGATTCGTTATTCATAATAGATGCTGGTGCATCGTCGTATAAAGTGTTAGATACATTGGTAGGATTCTTTTTACATTCTTCTTTGTTGAAAGCACCCATAAACCTTCTTCTTATTCTTCCTCTTCTTATCCTTCTTCTTAATTTTCCAGATGCAATTTCTTCATTATTGCTGTTTACATCGGATTTAGAAGAATCATCTCTGCTTAGCAAGTCGTCACGTTCGTCGTCATGTTCTTCGTCCTGTCTAACGTCATTCTCGTCGTCATGCTCGTCGTCACTGTCTTCAATCAGCTTCAAATAATCAAAGCGCAGTATATCATTGCTAGCCTTATTCACACATAAGTACTCACAACATTCTCTGTTTTCTATCAATCTGTGTTTATTACGATCATTTTTTTTATTCTTCTGGTTCATGTTCGTCAAGTTCAGGTTGTAGAAAACCACTCTTGGAAAAGTCCTGTAAAATGCTCCGCTTACGCAACATTCAGTGTCTGCTAGGCCTGCGTGGGACAAACGGGAAAAAAGAAGAAGCGAGCATGAGTGTATGCCCATGTGAATACGGGGCTATATGAATACGTGGCTATGTGGCTATGTGAATACGTGGCTATGTGGCTATGTGAATACGTGGCTATGTGGCTATGTGAATACGTGGCTATGTGACTACATGTCCTTATGCAAGTGCCCATAAGGCTGTGTGTACCCATGTGCAGCGCACGACTGCGCATGTTGCGCCCCCTCGAAGAAAAGTACCTATGTCCAAGTCATTCTGCTCGCAGTTCGTACGCCCGTATCCAATTTTTATGCACATAAAACCAGATCCCGTCTTGAAATCTCGACATTTGAAGGGGCCAACAGGAATGCCATGGAACCAGTAGCCTATGAGCACTTCTCCCTCCAAGCTGATTCCCCTCCAGTAGCCGAACCCGTGCGGCCTGCCCTTCTCGTCCAATTCTCCAATATAAAAAATGATGTAGAAGTTTAAATTTCTCTGGTCTCGCCCCTTGAACTTAGGAGGCCCACAAGTTGTACTTCCTCCACTTCTTTCACTTCTTCCACCTTTTCCACTTCTCCCACCTTTTCCACTTCTTCCATTTGTTCCACCTCTTCCATCTGTTTCAGCATCTTCCGCTTCTGAATCCGAAGCAGTCGTGCTCCTCCTAAGGAGACGCGTAAAAAAAGAACACCGATCTTTCTTAATGACGATGTTGTATCCAATGGTACTCCTGGTGTTACTCTCCATGTCTTCTTGTGTGAAATTATTTTGCTTCTTATACAAGGAGTTAAATAAATAGCTATTCATCTGATTCAAATAATAAGCATCAATATTGTTAGGAACCCTGAATTGTATAATTTCTTTTTTAATGATTGTATATGATTTTAAGAAAATAGTATCTAGATAGAATTTTAACAGATGTGGATATATTAATTTATGATAAGTAGCATATAAGGAAACGAGACTAATGAGAATGGTATAAACTAATAAATTTAACGTGTCAACGTAAAATACATTGTATATCCTTTGTAGATGTAAATTAAAGTAATCTTTTTTTTCATGCACTTTTACTTGATTTTTAGCTGCTATTCCTTCTTCCTTCTTTAAATACATAAAATTTGCATATATCATCATAGGAATTTGAAATATAAAAAGAAACATAAACAAAATGGTCAACCTACCAGCTAATAAATAGTTTGATGGTATACCTAGTTTCATTAACAAGACAATGCACACTAGTAAGACAGAGTAACAAATGGATTGGATAATACCATCTGAATCATAAATATTTAAAAATAAGTTCGAATCATTATACCAGACCACTTTTATGTCATTTGGATCTTCGTTCGATATGTTAACATTGCTACTTCCGCCACCATCACTACTACTGCTACCACTAGGTGTCGTTAAATTTTTAGATATCTGCGTCACAATTTTCACTATTAATGCGTATAGGATAATGTAGGTTGCACATTTTACAGAACTGTAATTGTAGAATGTTCCCATATATTTTCTCAGCAACTCTCTATACTTCATAAATTTTAATGTTTCATCAAACCCATGCACATTTCTATCAGCATTTTTTTCATGTCTTTGTTTCATCTTATTGCTTACTTGTTCTTTGTGTCTTCTAAATGTGTTCTTCTCTCGAACCTCTCGAGGTCCCTCATGTTTTGTTTCATTGTTAACTACATCGACGCTATCAAAAGTTACATACCTCTCACGCTTCTCCATTTGTCCCCCTCCTCCTTCACCCACTTCATCAGACATAGCCATTTTATAAATGTGCTGCTTATAAGCATTATCCACATTCCTGTGTTTCACAATGCTTGTCAAATCATCGAACTTTTCATTTTTTTTTTTTGTCTCTTTGGTTGTGCATTTCGTGTGGTTGCAGTTGTAGCAGTGGTTCTTACTATGTGCGTATTTGTCTTCTTGCACTTCTTTAATTTCGTGCATCTTACCCATGTCATTGGTGTCCTTCATATATTGCATCTGATTGGAGGAGTGCCTACGCTTCTTCTCCTTTTTCTCCTCCCTACGTATGGGATATCCCCCTGATGTTTTATTACAGATCATTGTTCCTCTTTCAAGAGTGGGAGATTCCAAATTTGGGATCGTGATTTTGACTCCGTTCAAATCTGTATCAAGCTGTACATTCATATTCTCTTCAGATGTTATATCGATGTTACATTTTTTTGAGATATTATCATTCCGGCTATAAGTGCCACATCTTCGATGTCTGTCGTCATCTCCCATGACTATCATGATTTCATTTTTGCGTTCATTTGACACATCTCTGTTTCTGCTTTTGCAAAAAATTGTGTTTGCTCTGTAACATACAGCATCCTTTGGACATTTTACGTCTGTTCGTTTTGTTCTCTTACCTTTAGTTGGATCTTCCTTTGTTTTACTAGCCATATATGGTTCCGCTTCTCTTCCCGCCTCTCTCCCTTTCATTTGGCTTGCCATATTTGATTCCACTCCACTTGGACGCGCTCTGTATGTCCTCCCTTTGAGTTCTGTTCCCCTCTTGTTGTACTGCCGTCCCGTATTTGCACTGTTCCTTTCGAAATTTCTCTTCTCTTCAAACTCTACACAAGTGAGACAAGTGGTACCATTAAATGGTCTAGAAACATTATGTGCATAGGTAAAGGATTTGCGCCTTCTCGAGGGAACTAAGTTATCTCCTCCATGGATGGTGTGGCTTAAATCTTTGCGTATAAGACCAACTGAATTTATTTCATCAAAATGGGTTCTTATGAACTCTTTATTCATTGCTTCGATAGGAATAATTCTTTTTTTTTTTTTTTTTTGAAACTTTAGACAATTATTAGAAGAGGACGAGTTGCTTCTTGTTCTATTGAACTTGATGTCTTCCATTTGTGTTTTCATCTTTCTGGACATTTCTTGTAGTGCTTCAACAGATGCACTGGTGAATGATTCGATAGATTCCATGGTCAGTGATTCCATTTCTCTTCGATTCAAGAAACGGTATTGGCTCCTCTTCATCATGGTTTGAGATGTATGGATTGTTCCTTTAGGACTTTTTTCTATTTTCTTTCTTGTTCCTAAAATATTTTGTAAATTCCTTTCATAATGATTACCCTTAAAGAGTTTCTTTTTACTCTTCTTGATCTTTATGATTGATCTCTTATATCTTGTTCTTTGTTTATAACTATTCGGTTTGTCAACATTTAAATGTAGCTTGATTGTCTTGTCAATTTTTTTTTTTTTATTACAAGTTTTATACTTTCTTACGCGAGAATTAAGCTTTATCAGATTACTCTTCTCTTTGTCTTTCCCATAATTTTTTCTGCATCTAGTTAACTTATCAATGGGGATGTATTTTTTCTTATCCTTATTGAGTAATGATATTAATAGCAATTTGGTGAGTTTTAATTTTTCTTCTTTCCCTTTTTCATAATTTGTATATTCGAAAAGAAGAGTATTAACATATTTATCATCCTTTATCATTCCGTTATTTTCATTTTCTATGTAATTGATTCCGTCCTTTAGTAAAAGTTGTGCAACTCTTTGCTCCTTCTGATACATCTCATAATTTTTGCACTTGAATCTGGTGCGTCTTATTACTTCGAATGACCCTCTACTGTTGCTCAAAGTTTTTGGATCCATCTATATATTTTTTTTTTTTTTTTTTGAATCTTGCGTTTTTGTTTAGTTCGAGCACATTACTCAGTGGAGATGTGTTCCTCTTTGTGGTCTCCCTGGGCAACCACGAAAAGGAAAAGAAATGAATCGGAGGGGAGAGGAAAAAAAAAAAAAAAAAAAATAACAATTGTGGTACTAGTACTATTAGCTCTGGTAGATAGAAACTATAACTTGAAGTCTTAATGCATATAAGGTTTCTAAATCAGTGTGGTTATGGTATATCCTTTAGCGAGTGGAATAAAAATCAAAAAAAAAAAAAATAAAAAATTCACAAAATATAAAAAGAAATGGAATGAATGTGCATAAAATAAATTAGAGAAGTAAAAATGCAAGGGTAGCTCGTGGTTATAGGTAATTATGACGGTGGTGAGTAGAAATGAGGAGAATAATAATCCTCTCATATGATTATAGTAAACAAAAAAATAATTTTGATTAGACTGCACTGAATTTAATTTGAGTAAGCACGACCACTGGGAAGACTTGTGAAAAGGAATGATATGAAAATAAAAATTATAAAAAAATGGGGGGTTGTAAAACGTGGGAATTAACTCAAATACAAATTATACCAAGTCAAAATTAATTCAAATAAGAGCTGTAAAACGTAGGTATTAATTCGAATGAACGTTATAAAAAGTGAAAGTTAATTAAAATAAAGAGTTGTAAGAAGCACGAATTAATTAAAATAAAGAGTTGTAAGAAGCACGAATTAATTAAAATAAAGAGTTGTAAGAAGCACGGATTAATTAAAATAAAGAGTTGTAAGAAGCAAGAGTTAATTAAAATAAAGAATTATAAAAATATATTAAGGAGCAATTGGGTAAATAGAACAATGATTATTACATTTCCGTCACTGATACTAATCGTGTGGCTTTCCGCGTAGTATGTCTTCAAGAAGAACAAAAAAAAAAAAAGTGCCCTTATAAAATTAAGTTAAGAAATTTGATAAAGCTTCTAGTTGGTTGATAAAAACGCCAATTGGGAGGAGTTTTCCCTGTTTCAAATGTTTTTTTAAGTGTGAAATATTGTATTCAGATGACAAATTAGACATGCATCATAGTTGTCTAACTGTGGTACATTTGCTTAACTGCATGCCTTTGCAACTGTGAAAGGGTACCCCTTTGTATATTCGAAAGAAGAATGAAATGTGGTGAAAATGATATATTCCTTAAGCAACATGTAAACATACGTGTAGTTGAAAAAGGCGTGCAAAATTGTGCAGAAAAAAGGAGAAAAAATATAATAAAACCAAAACAGCACTTTTTCTGTTGCACTCGAGTTAGTTCCTCTTCCCAGCAGGGAAATCTGTCATATGAGGTTGAATAGAAAATTTGTGAATGTGTGTTTCTTTATCTGTATCTGTGTGTGTGCGTGTGTGCAAAGATCTACACGCGCCAATGCAACATACCTATGCAGGTGCTAATTCGAGCTGCTTACACATGAGCCAATATAATGATCTCAAAAAAAAAAAAAAAAAAAAAAAAAAAAAAAAGATGTATCTCCAATTCGTTTTCTTTTTAAATTTCACGCAAAGCAAATGAAACTCTCAGAAATATGCATCCATATTGAATTCGGAAATATGGTACACATACTTGGAAAACGCATGCACACATTCATGCAAATGTGTACCAAACGTGTGCTCAGCTGGGTGGGTGGGGGGAGTAAAAAAAAAAAGTGTCACTCTTGCGAAGGAGAAAAAAAAAAATAAATAAAAATAAAATAAGTCCACTGGTGGTCAAATGAGTGAATAGGTGATAAAGCAATAGAGTGGTAAAGTGAAAAAACAAACAAGTACATAGGCAAACGAACAAATAGAAAAACGAACAAATAGGTAAACCCACAAATAGGCAAACAAACAAATAGGAAAACGAACAAGTAGGAAAACGAACAAGTAGGAAAACGAACAAGTAGGAAAACGAACAAGTAGGAAAACGAACAAGTAGGAAAACGAACAAGTAGGAAAACGAACAAATAAGAAAACGAACAAGTAGGAAAACGAACAAGTAGGAAAACGAACAAATAGGAAAACGAACAAATAGGAAAACGAACAAATAGGAAAACAAACGAGCAAGTTAATAAAACAAAGGCGAAATTTGTAGAAGGGAAAAAAAAAAAAAAAAAAAAATCTATGTTACACAAATCAGTTGCACACAAGGACGAAACATTCATGAGGTGGCAAAACATTTTGACCAAGTTCACGAGTGCCAAGGCAGCAAAATGGTAAGCAAGAACGTGGTAAGAGGCAAAATGACCCAGTGTCCTTGTGCAAATCCTTATAAATATCAATATGTACATTAAGGAATTTTTATTTCATTTACACAAATTAAAGAAGGGCGAAGGGAAAAAAAAAAAAAAAAAAATAATAAAAAAATAAATAGATGAATAAAATAAAAAAAATAAAATAAAAACGTTTAACTTGTTTAGCATTTGTTCTACAGTTACAAACTACACGGTTAAGAAGTTCCCCCTTTCCCGTTTTGCGTTTTACATTTAATGTTATTTTTTTTTATTATTTTTTTTTTTTTTTCGCGCATACCTAACTATACATACGTGCATATATATATATATATATATATATATATATATATATATATATATTTTTTTTTTTTTTTTTTTTTTTTTTGAGAGTGTGCACACATGTACAGGTACCTACATGTATCAAGGTTTCCTCTCCCCTTGAGTAGTTACTAAACCATAGGACTCTAAACAAATCTAGGGGGATAAAGACATACACAAGTAGAGCAATATCTATTCCGTGTACGCAGATTGAAGAACATTGATGAGTTAACACTTAGAAAAAAAAGGAAAAAAGCGAGTGGAAAATAGGAAAAAAACGAGTGGAAAATAGGAAAAAAACGAGTGGAAAATAGGAAAAAAGCGAGTGGAAAATAGGAAAAAAGCGAATGGAAAATAGGAAAAAAGCGAGTGGAAAATAGGAAAAAAACGAGTGGAAAAAAAGTGCGTCTAATTGTGGACCTGATCCCTTTATATATACCACACGTAAGAAAATAAACAAGGCAACAAATTAACTTTCCCCCCTCATATTCACATTTATTTTTTATTTTTATTTTTATTTTTTTTTTTGAGAAAATATGTACATATTAGAGATAGCGAATTAGCATGGTAAATTTGTTGATATTGAGAATATCAGCTGATTTTTATTTTTATTTATTTTTTTTTTTTTTTTTCACCTCACGCCCCTTTATTTTGTAAATACATGTTTACACACATTATTATCAAAAATGCCTAAGGGAATTTTCGACATACAGATATTTTTTCTCCTGATATATATTTTTTTCAAACATTGTATCACTTTCTAATGTATGCTTGTTAAATCAATCTTTTGCGTAGTGTAATTTTAGGGTTTGTCATATGATTAAATATACATGTTCTTATTGGTTACATGCTAAGCGTTTTTTTTTTTTTTTTTTTTTTTTCTTTTTTTTTGATAACCTTTGTGCTTTTAAATGGGTTGACAATTAAAAATGCCGCACACAAGCGGTGAACAGTCAAACGGATCCTTTAAATTGGGGAGTTTACCTCAGAAAAAGGTTCCTCTCTCCTTCTATGCCCCTAGAGGGTTAAGCTAATTTTTGTTGAGGCCAAAAATTAAAAAAAAAAGAAAAAAGTATAAAAAGCTAGAAAAAAGGACAAAAAAGGACAAAAAATTAGATAGGGACAAAAAAAATCAAAAAAGGACAAAAAAAAAAAAAAAATTGGAAGGGTAAATAATCAGAATGAGACAAAACAGAACTGAAATAAGTAAGAGATTTACATTCGCTGAAATACGAAACAGTCATAACGTGCATGAAGATACAATAGCCACGCACATGCACACACTTGTGTGTGTACATGACTGTGGTAACATGGATGATTGGACATACAAAGGTGAGGGTATGTGTGAGGGGGAGGTAACTTTTCCTCTCATTTGGATTTGTGCATAAGGTTTTAACATGTAGACATGAAAATGTCATGATTTTAAAATGAAGTAGAGATGGGTATATATGCTGACACCTCATGGGATGTTACGTTTAAAGATGTTCAATGTGCATGTAATGAAATGTGCACATGAGGGTTAATGCTGTGGGTGGGGGTGAACCGGTACTTGAACAAAAGAGAAAAGGGAGCATATGCGTAGGTATGTGTGTATATGTACGTATTTTTATGTACACATTTTTGCACTCACTGGAGTGCCGGGAAAGGGTTCCCCTTGGGAGCTGCTTGTCTGAGAGGGCATCTTAAAAAAAAAAAAAAAAAAAAAAAAAAAAAGTGGTATTGAAATGCTTCAAACGTTTTTTTAGGGGAAATTTTCTGTTCTGAACATGGTTGCCCATTTAGATCCATAGGAAATTTTCCCAATACTGAAGGAAGATAGGAAGTAATACATCTGTTGCAACAATTCCTTGTTCATAATTTTATTTCTCCAAAGGGGGCAAAGTACGAAATATCGCTATCTTCCTTCGTTTCTGAGGAGTCGATAGAACTGTTAATGAAATCCATGATGGCATGTTCGTCTTCCTCTCCCTTTCCCCACTTTAAATCATTCCTGTGCAAACCACGTCTGGATATCCGTGTATATTCGGATGAGTTTTCTGATAGACTATCCTCTAGCGGACTGTGGTTCGGTTTTTTCTTCCCTAACTTCTCTCCATAGGATTTTTCTCCATAGGATTTCTCTCCGTAGGATTTCTCTTCGAAGGACTTCTTCCCCATCAAGCTGCTTTCATCAGTAGAGGAACTTCTGTTCTCACTTCCTGACAGCTTTTCTTGCAAGTGTTTTTCCCCATCCATATATGTGGAATCTCCCTCTTCCTCGTCCTGCTGAGGGAACTCTTGACTAGCTTTGTTGCTCATGACTACATAATATTTCCAAAGGGACAAATACTTGTTATAGTAGTAATATTTATAGTGATTAACATTCGTTACATACTTAAAAATGAAGGAATAAAAATACTTCTTAAGAACAGTTGTGTCGTTTCTCTGTTGTCGTGTAGACAGTGTTTTTCGTAAATTTATTTTTTTGAGGAGGAATCGTAAGAATGGTGAAGCAAATTTTTTAACCAAGAGTAAGTTTCTTTTTTCTTGAAATATTTTAAGTATATGTTGTAAATTTTGGTTGTACTGGTTGGTGATGTGATGCATGAAGTTGAAGATATTTTGTTTAATTATTTTTTCCTTTTTGAATCGAACAATGTCATAATTTTTTTTTTCTATTTTTATTTTATTTATGGAAAATATGAGAACAAAGAAATATTTTTTCACAATATTACGATTGAATTTCTCTCTTAATTCATCCCTTTTCTTAACCATTTCTCGGAAGCGTAGGGACTTACTATACCAATATGATATCAATTGAAGGAGCATTTTTTGCTGCATATTTTTATAAAAAATTAATGAATTATATTCGCAGTAGTTTTTCCATTTATTTTCTACATAAAACTGTTTCAAGGAAATTAAAAATTCTGATTTTCTCCTGTATGTTAAGAAGTCATTGCATAAATTTTCAAGGTACTCATTTTCTTTACAATAATTTTTGTAACTTGCCCATTGATTTAAAGAGCTTCGAAGTATTCTTCTCTCCCTTCGACATTGAATAGTCCTTTCACACAATCGCAAATGATTATTGTAAAAATATAAGTTCGTAAGGATGAAAAAGAATTTTTTGCATAAGTGAAATTTTCTCTCTATGGTATATTTGAGAAATAAATTTTGTAGATTAATTTTATTTTTATTTTTATTTTTATAATTTAGAAGAAGAAAAAAATGACGTTTCTTTAACTTGAGAATCATCCTTTGTTCGTAAGTGACCAAATTAATTTTCAAAATTTTGCACATATCTTTATATTTCTTCAATGCTGTAAATCCATTAGACATGATAATTGTTCTATGTTGAAGTAACTCTCTTATTTGTTTCCTTACAAATGGGAAATGTCCCTTAGCAAGGTTCATATATTTTTCATTTTTTTTTTTCAAAATGTAATAAAATGAGAAAATATGCTTTGTGTATATGTTAAATATATATCTATTTAACCTTGTTATGAATATGCAAAACTTGAAATTGTAAACCCATGTGTAAAAATGATTTTTTACAATTTCGTTTCTTCTACGGGTAGCAAAATGGTATAGACATTTCCATTTATGGAATATTTTCTGTACCTGTTTATTTTTTTTTACTTTAATTATGTTATATATTGTTTTCAATTTTTTTCGTCTCTTAGCTTGCAGTAGCCAGCCGTTCAAGGTTACATGAATTATCTGTTTATGCCTCACAACCGTTAAGTGATTGGAAAATTTTTTCACCTTCCTACATTTTGCATAATGTGTTATCCATTTGGTAAAGCATTTTTCTAAAAGGAGCTTATTCCTATACTCCATGCAATACAACTGAATACGTTTATTATTGGTTCTGTAATTCTTATATCCTTTTAAGATGGCAAATATTTTTTGCTTCAAAACGGTTTGTGCGTTTCGAATATGCTCCTTTAGAGCGACGCTCATTCTGCATTTCCTCCTTAAGTGTTGAAAATAAAATTGTAATAAAATTTTTTTTCTTATTTTTTTTGTCTTTTTATAATGATGATATTGAATCCATTTTTGAAAGAACCTTTTTAAAAAAAAGGAATCCAATTTTTTCTTTTTTTCTTCATACATTTTGACATTTTGGATGAAGTATTTTACCCATCTATGGAAAAGCAAGCATTTTCTCCTTTCTAAAATACTGTTATAATTTTGTGTACACTTTTTTCTCTTTTTATATTTCCCATTCCAATAGAAGAATAAATTTTTCATTTGGTTGAATCGAAAGGAACAATATATATGCAACTGCAATTTCTTGATAATTTTATTCCTCTTAACAAGGTTGTAGTGAATCAAAAAATATTTTTTTTGTGTAATGCAAATTCTCCTTTTAATAAAGTTAAAATATTTAATTTTTTGAATCGTATGAATGAACACCTTTTTTAAAAAATTCTCATTTATTATTTGAATGAAAAATATATAAATCTGCTTCTTTGCGTACAAGCCCACCCAATTTTCAAAGTGGAATTTTAAAAGTCTTTTTTGTACAAATTCTTTTACAATATATCCCTTTTTTGCATACTGATAAAGCAATAGCCATACATAAAAAAACGTTCTCTTCCTTTTTTCATTACTGTGTTTCATTATAATGGAAAAACTTTTTTTTTCTTTTTTCTTATAAGCATATATTGAGGAAAAGTTTTTTAAATAATTTCTTTTGATCCTGAACTCTGTCTGTTCTTTCAGACGATAAAATTTTTCCTTATCATAATTTTCCACTTTGATAAGTTTATACCAGTATGAAAATAATAAATGAATATGTTTCTTTAAAATTTGTTTTCTCTTATTTTTTATTTCTTTCACTTTCGTGTTGAATGATAATATCCATATCCCAAAGTACTTTTCCAAAAGTTCTCCTTTTTTCTTGCCCTCCAGAATGTCTACTTTTTCCTTGTCTTCTTTTTTATTTATCTTCTTCACCATGCTGTACCTCTTCCACCATATAGTACTCCTCTTTAACTTTTTAAAAAATAAATGCACTTGAATTAATTTGTTTCTGCTTATGCAGCACATGAAGGAGAAATGTATATTAAGGGTTCCCCCTCGAAATCTGTTCGATATGCCACTTTTTAATTTCTTAAAAAATTCCATTATATTTTTTTCCAAATCATCACTTCTTATCTTTTTCAAGCTCATCCTGCGTGTCACCGTTGCCATACCTATCGTGTTCGTCCTGTTCTTTTTCACCATTCTAATGCTTGCTTTACTTATTGATCCCATTTGCATTTCCATCTGTCGATTAGAAAGGGTTCTTTCGATTGTGCTATTTTTCATACCTATGTGTCTTATGGATGATGTACATGTCACACTGCTAGAAGAGCTATTTTCAAACTGAGATAAAAATTCACATAACGATTTCTGAGATGAAGACAAAGGTATATCCAATTCACTACTGCTGGTGATAGAAAATTTCGAGCCTCTCCCTGTTTCTCTACTTGTTGCCTCTTCTTTAGTTTCTCTTGATTCGGTCAATTCGTCCTCGTTTGTGAATAGATGACTCCGTTTATTGTTAACATTTGTACTGATTTTTCCATACTTCTTGAGAGAATAACTTCCACTTACTTTTGATTTTGAGTTGAATGCACTTATCATAGAACATATCGTAAGCACATTATTTCCATAGGAACTGTGTTGAAGGGAACTCTTCTTCCCATAAGAATTTTTTCCATTTTTCTCTTCCATTGCAAGGTAAGAAGTCCCTATAAGATAATAAATCAGTAGGAGGATCTTTAAGTTACTAATAACATCTTCATCCTTCATATTAATTAATTTTGTAAAATAGAAGCTCTGATTTTTCTTAAAAACTTTCATCAGCAGTTTCTTCGTTTTAATTGACAAGAAATTGAAAAAAAAGTTGTATAAAAACTTAAACTTTTTTTTAAAATGTATAAAAAATGTATGCATATCGTAAGAATCGTACATTAAGAGATACATTAGAATTAATCTGTTCATGCTGCAATTTTTTAAATCATAGCATATTTTTATATACTTGTTAAAATGGATGTTTTTTCCTTTGAAATATTTTTCCCTCATCCATCGATTCTTTTTATTCTTAAATGACATTTGAATATGTATTCTATTTAGTGTAATCAGTGTATGCATTTTTTCATATATTTCTGTCATGCTATAGTGTATATGTGTTTCCTTATCATGATCAAATATGATATTTCCACTTTTGCAATTATGGTGCCGGGAGAAGGAGCACATGTCTTCCATCCCTTCGTTGTGGTTTTGATTAAAGGAGAAAAGAGATTCTTCATATGTGCAATTGTAATCATTGTAATGTTCTCTTTCCTGTTGATCTCCAAAGGGTCGTCCTTCCCAATAAATTATATCATAAAATGAGGGAATTCTATAGTCATCTGGATAAATCAAAGAATAAATCATTTTCACTATCATAATTTTACGGTAGCAATTTTGAGCCCTAGTATATAAAAGCACGAGAAATACACGAGCTTTCTTTTTTAATATTACTAAATTGTAAATCTGTTTATGCCTTTTTTTTCTTTTCACATGCTTATGCCATAAAAGAAAATGTGTTCTTCGAAAATGTGCAATATAATTCTCATTCAATTTTTGTTCATTTTCCTTCCTTCTCATGGCACACTCATTGAAATGAGTCAAAAGAAAACGGAAGTATTTTTTCTTCATTAGATTGGAGTGAAAACACCTAATTACTTCCTTTTCCACTTTCCTTTTTTTACTTTTCTTTAGTCTACATTTCAACGCTTTAAATGCCTTTCTCACCGTTTTCTCTTCTCTGCCCTTTTCCAGTCTGGCCAGGATTTTCTGTAATGTGTTAAGTTGGTGCATGAAGTGGGTGCATGAAGCGGGTACATGAAGTGGGTGCATGAAGCGGGTACATGAAGTGGATGCATGAAGCGGGTACATGAAGTGGATGCATGAAGCGGGTACATGAAGTGGATGCATGAAGCGGGTACATGAAGTGGATGCATGAAGCGGGTACATGAAGTGGATGCATGAAGCGCATGTGTTAAGCGGATGCATGAAGCGAATGCACCTCATCTCGTGTCAAACCTCGCGTATGATAGCGCATCTACTGTTCATCCTAATTTTGTAAACTCCTAAATGGGACATCTTCACTTTGATCAACTTATCGATCCTGTCAAACAGAAGGATTAAATACTTCTTTTTATTTAAATTCCTCTTAATGTGAAAAAATATTTTTCCTTTAATTTTATTTTCTCTATGTCTTTGTATCATAAGGAATGTCTTTCTTTCCCTTTTTTTCTTCATTAGGAAGGAGCTCCTGTGAATAGAGGGAAGGGGACGTAAATAATTAATCAAAACTTGTTGGTCATATAAAATCACGCACATTACATGTGTACTGGAAAGTAGCTTCGCTGGGTGGTTTTCACACACATATATATATATATATATATATATGTGCATACGTATATGTAAATGCATGTGGGTGTGCTTTCCCATTATTTTTTCATAATTTTCATTTTGGGTGCGCCTTGCTTACCAAAGTGTGAAGAAACGACGTTTCATGTTATTTTCTCCATTTATACGAATTTCATAGAAACTCAATTTCGCTCTTTTGATGAAGTTGAAGAAATGGAATATGGCATAGAAATACTTTTTTTTTCTGTTAATTATAACTAACTTGGAACTAGTTCTGTATTTAATTTGTCTTTCTCGATAGAATTGTAAAGCGGAGAAAGCTTTTGTTTTCATGTTTGAAAAAAAAAAGAGTGTGGCCTTTTTATTTTTGACTCGATTAGTTTTATTACGTTTGAATATGTAGAATATTTTTCTTTTTAATTTACATCTTTTCTCTACTAAAAAATTATTAAGTGTCATTTGTATATTGCAATAATGGTTACTGTTTTTGTATATTGCAATAAATGTTTTACACTTCCATTTTTTCACAAAGTACTTATTCATTGCATGAATAAGTAGTTTTATATTTTTAGATTCCACACATTTATTCTTCCATTCATTGTTAATATTTCTTAATATGTTCATATTTTTTATTTGCCTAAAGTATTGTATTTTAGCTTGCTCATTTTTTCTCTTTCTTACTTTTTCGTACTTGTTCTTCCACATTTTAAAATATTTCTTTTTTATTGATAAAAATCTTTTATTATTTATTTCTTTTTCTTTTTTCTCAAGTGTGCAGAATTTCTTCCATTCTTTCAATATCCTCAGACAGTTTATCACGTTCATTCTATTTTTTAGAAAAAGTTCGATCTAGGAGGGAGGGAACGTGGGGCAAAAAAAAAAAAAAAAAAAAAAAAAAAAAAAGGTTTACTTCTCAATATATTTTGTACCGTTTCCATACGATTCGTTTTTTTTTTTTTTTTTTTTTTTTTTTTTATTTTCTATGTATGCATTTTTAATTTCGAGAAGACAAATATTATATACACACGGAATAGTGGATTTTTCCTATTTACCCTTTTCATCTTCTCCTTATACAAGAAAAGTTTAGAAAAATAGAGAATACACATTTTTGTAGAAATGATTTTTTCTGTTTCCTTGAACCGAATGTTCATTATGAATACTGTATACCATTTACTCAAAATTTTTATTTTCTTCTTCCTGTGTGTGGGCATGTAATAGTCCCATTTGGAGGGGAAATCGATGAGATGTGTAAGATTGTCAACAAAGTGTGATAACTCAAAGGGTCAAGAGGATGAGAAGCACATGTATGTGTTATAGATAAAAACTCTCGAATGGAATATGTCTCCTTATATATGTATGTATGTACATATAACAAACCTGCTGAAAAGACTTGTCATGCTTTTAAGAAAATCCGTTTTGCTCTTTCGAATTCTTATGTAGGTGCTCCATGCGTTCATGTATTTTTGGGCCAGAATCTTTGCTTGGACGTGCTTCAAGTGGGCGATCTGTAAATTGGGAGTGACGTGTATTCATGAGTTGCGTTTCCATCAGTTAAGCTTCCATAAGTTAAGCTTCCATAAGTTAAGTCTCCATAAGTTAAGTCTCCATAAGTTAAGTCTCCACCAACTGCCTCACGGACTGGCCCTCCACTTGGAACACACAAAAAAAGGTAATTTTACCTTTCTCCTTTTGATTTGTCTGAGACGAACGTAGACAAAGAAAGAGATTAAAAAGCGCTTCATCACTTTCGAGTTGAAGTGGTTAAGCAGATTTTGTACTCCTTGACGTCTGTCCAAAAACTGTCTCATTAAATTTTTCCATTTTTGTATGCACATTCTTTTTAAATAAGACTCGGAAATTTTGTTTAGTGTGTTTAAATAAAGAATATTCTTGGAATAAATGAACAATGCTTTGAAGGCTCTCTTCTTATACTTTTTTATACAATATAACTTTGCTATTTTTTCTTTAATTTTTTTTTTCCTCTTTTTGTTTACATATTTGAGAAGAATGTAAAAATATAATTTTTTCTTTTTCATTAACAATGATTTAAAAAATTGCAATATTTTTTTCTTTTTTTCGCTTTTTAATCGACTTATATATAACCAACTTTGTAAAATTTTTCTCATTTTTTTTTCCCGATTTTTACAACCATATATTTGAAATTTTTTTCTAAACATGAAATATTTCATTCGTAAAGAAAACCAAGTAGAAAAAATTTTACTTTTTATTTTCATTCTTCTATCTTGGTTGTAACGTTTCTTTGTTTCCTCCAGCATTTTCTTCTTCCTCGTTAATTCTCGTAGGTGTGAAAGGTAAATTTTTTGTAATATCCTTTTGGACTCAGCTTTAAGCACTTTCATTTTTTTGCATTCCTCCTTCCAGGTGCTGAATACACACTTGTAAATTGCCTGAAGTTGGTGGAGCGTGTGTGTGGAATGTGTCAGTGTGTGTGTATATGTGAGGGGAGAAGGGACAGGATTTTCTTCTCCTGTCTTCTCTCACGCAACTTGACTCTGACACGTACCATTTTGAGTGAGAAGGAGAGATATGGTAGATTATAGCGTAACTTACGCAAATTGACGACGAAGGGTATAGGGATGAGGGAGAAGATAATATTCAAAGATCTGTAGATGAACATGACATTTTCATAAAAAATGCTGACATTCGGAAGTAGGTTTTTCCCTAGAAAGTACTTCTTATGTATATAGATGAAGGTTTTCATGTTTATATTTATGTTTGAAAAGTTCACAATATCAAGGAGTGTTTTTCCATTTGTTTTTGTTGAAAGGAATTGATACTTGAGCAAAAGTTTGAACATAAATAAAGAAAAGAAATTCCCTTCATCGTTGAAATGGTAATAGTGAAGGAGATCCTTTTTGTACTGATATATATAATATTTCCATTTTGTAAAAGTGTTTTTCTTGACCTTATCAATAAAATACTTTTGTATCTGATTGTTGACAAGCTTTCGCTTTTTCCTATGATTTTTATACTTGTGCAAGAACTGAAAATGTCGTATCAACAGTTTATATTTATATTTGTTGTACAACAATATGTAGTGTGTTGCATTGATTGAATAGTAGTTTTTCCACTGATCAAATATTTTGGCCATTTCATTTCTGTTTTTCTTTTCGTAAAGAAATAAAAATTTCTTCTTCAAATTGAAGGATTTATTCTTGTGTCTTTTTAAAATTGTGAAGAATTTTTTTAATAAATAATATGACCTTTTTTCATCATGTTTTGTCAACATAAATGTAATTTTTTTACTTTCAATATGTGTATTCATCCATGTGATGAAATATTCATTTAAAAGACTGGTTGCATTCTGTTCTGCTTTTAAATTATATGTTCTCCTCAGATTCTTCATCTTTCTGATGTGTCTTTTTAAAATTGTAAAATACTTCTTCAGGTGAAGTATTTTTATTTTCTGTATGTACTGATTATAGTATTGCTTGAAGTGTACTTCTTCCTGGTACCGATTCAAGAACATGTTAAAATATTTTTGATACAATATAAAATTAGTGTAGTTGCTAATTAGGGTATAGGAATTTCTCTCCTTCTTTCTCTTCTTATAATATAGAACAAAATGGACGTAACATTTTATTAACAAATTTTTATTATAAACATTTTCAATTTGTTTGTTTTTTTCTTTTTTCAATAATTTTATTTGATATTTTTGTCTCCAAATGGCAAAAAATTTTTTTTTTTTTTTTTTCTCTACTATGTTTTTTGCCCTTTGTAACATTTTTACCCTTTGTGTGTAAGTTCTCCATTCACTAAGTATATGCACAGAGTAAATGAAATTTTTTTTTTTTTTTTTTTTATATTTACATATCCACATGTTGAAATGTTTTCTTAAAAGGTTCTTCTTCCTCTTATGAAACAATTTAGTAGAAACACTATTCATGTACATTTTTTTCTCGTATCGATAGAGCCACTCATCGTAGTATTTTGTCAACAGTTTTGTGTTAAATATTTTATTATACTTCTCAGCGTTCTTTCGCAATTCTCTTTTTTTCTTCAAGTAGAAAAGCCACAAATTGAAAAATGTTTTTAACGTGTAAAATGTGTAAAAGACATTACTTTCGTTATACAATTTCATTTTATTCTTCACATTCGTGATATTATTTGCATTGGGATTCTTCCATCTCCTTTGTTTACAAAGTTTACGATAAACATTACATATTAAATCTCCATTTAGATATATTTTCAATAAATTCCTGTTATTTTTATGCATGAAAGATTTTTCATCTATCACTAGACTGTTACATTCCATTTGATTCACATTTAAGAGGCTCTTGATCTTATTCTTTGTTTCTCCCATTTTTTGCGACATCGTCATTATATTTATTTTGTTCGCAGGGATAAAATTGTATATAATATCTTCATCCTGGTTTATGATTCCTTTTTTTACGAGATTTGTCATTTTTTTATCATTCCGTCCATGTACTCCTCCCATCTTGCACGAGTTCATAGAGTGATAAGATATGTGATGAGCATATGGGATTCCAACATCATCATCATCATATGTGTAGTGTCCACATGGATGCTTCAGTTGACACACATGAACTCCTTTAGTTGTTTTATTTTCATGACACGCAATGCTGAGATCTATTCCCTCTTCCATTTCACCTCCAGGTGAGAAAAAAGGATAATCTTTGTAATGGTACATACTATCAGAATTGGTAAAAGCATTTTTCATGCTGACGATACTTGTAATGTTTTTCTCCTCCTGGTTTCCTCCTCCTCCATTAATATTTTTTTTGGGATACTGATAAGTGACTTTGTCTTCAATTATATTTTTACAAATAATTACTAACTTGTTAAAAATTTCTTCTGAACACTGTTTCGTAATGTTATACTTATTTGTAACATTGTAGAAATATTTCAAAATACATGGGAAATTTAATTCTTCATTGTTGTTATTGCATTCATCAGCTGATCTGTAAATTATTTCTTTTATAATGTCGTTAGCATCTTCCATGGTTTTGGAAAAATCGAGATTGGAATTTTTTTTTTTTTTTTTTTTTTTTTTTTTTGATGTAAAATTATTCCCCCTTTTTTAAGAAGATTTACTTAGGTGTGATGTTATATCAACACCTTGTTATTTTTCCCTTCACTATCCACTCTTATTTGATACATTTCTCCTAATAGACTCATTACTCATTTGTGTGCTTTTTCCTTATGAAATTTTTTTATTCCCTTTTACTCCACTCTCTTCATTTTCTTTGTGGACATTAGTCTCATATGCAAATACACGTCAATTCTACACACTTTTGAGCGATTGGTGTATACAGTGGATTGTCGAAATGTGTGGGAAGGAATAACTGAGCTGGTGCATACAGACGTAAGTGTTCATGTGAATATATCTGCATGGGATAGCACAAACAAGTGAGTATGGATGAGGGTTATTTCTCTTGATCGTCGAAAAGTTTCTTCTAATCTTTTATACAGTAATTGAAAAATTTCACCTGAGCTATTATATATAACGTAAAAGAGGATTGCTCGCAAAAAAGTACAAAAAAAAATGAATAAAAATAAAATTAATTAATTTTTCACATGGATTTAAAAAAAAAAAAAAAAAAGTGGAAAATATGTTAAAAGTTCATTTTTACGGATTTGCAAGAACGTGTTAAAATTGACAAAATTTTGAAAAAACACTTTAAGAATATTTCCACCTTCTTCATGAACTCCCAATTTTCCACTTATGTAAAATGTGTGCCTAAGCTTTTGTATCGTGCTTATCTGCTCGCTTCTTACTCTGGCTTTTTTTTTTTTTTTTTTTTTTTTTTTTTTTTTTTTTTTTTTTTTTTTTTTTTTTTTTTTTTGTTTTTGCCTCACTTTGTAATCCTTTATTTGTGTAACTTTCTTGTTTTAAATTGTACTCACTCCGAATATTTTTCTTTTTTTGGAGTGAAAAAAAGGAGAGCCAAGAAAAAGAAAAAAAAAAAAAAAAAAAGGAAAAATACATTATGTTAAGCAACTTTCTCCAAGTATTCCCTTTTTTTGACGATGCATTCTCAACATGTCCTTATTTATACACATGCGTTTTAACAATTACATCATATGTTTTTTCATTTCGACATTTTTATATCTTTTTTTTTTTTTTTTTTTTTTTTTTTTTTTTTTTGTTTTTGCCTCACTTTGTAATCCTTTATTTGTGTAACTTTCTTGTTTTAAATTGTACTCACTCCGAATATTTTTCTTTTTTTCCACTTAATTGTTTGTATCGATTCCTTCCCCACTAATGGTCAAAATAAAAAAAAAAAAAAAAAAAAAAAAAAAAGGCAATCAAAATGTTTAATGATCCATGTATTTCTTCTTTCTTTTTTTTTTTTTATTTTTATTCACGCTAAAATTGGATTGAAAGGCTAGGGAAAAAAACACCAAAAGGAGAAAATCTGTGCATATTGAAGTATGTATCCCTCCTTCCACCTTTTGTTTAAAACATTGTATACAAGTAAGTATACATGTGTATAACTATATAAAACTGGAAGGTTATTTAAAATATTTGTAAATTTTCACATTTCTTGAAAATATAAAAAGTGTCCATTTTAAACTGATTGGATGGGAGTTTACATTTTTTTTTTTTTTTTTTTTCTAGCACCAGTTCCTTTTTAATGCATGGAAAGAATAAAAATACTGCGTGAGCATACACATACCATCTTTGATTATTAAGATATCTTTACATGCATGCAAAGGTGCATGCTTTATTACTTTGCATGTTCAAGGCGGTAGTGAAAAAACCATTTTGTCATGTCTGTGTCTCCCATGCATAAAACCACCTCCCTCCCCTGAAGTCCTCTTTACGAAATATGCAAAATTGTTAACACGCTTTATTGGTTATTATTGTGAATATAAGGAAGCAAAAATATTAAGCGCACAGCACATGCTGACTCATCTCCAAGAATTGACAAAGTGGTTTTTATCTAGGAGGGAAATGCTCAGAACTAGAAGCTAACATACACGTAAAAATACACACATAAGAGGTTATACGTAGGATCTACACATAAGAAGCTATACGTAAGATCTACACATAAGAACCCACTCATAAGGACTATAAGATACCAATATCCGAACTAGTCATTATGAACGGGTGGCTCTTAAGAAGTATACACACCCAGTTTTCCAGAAGTAGAAATGGCAATGGGAAATGCTGCAAACAGCTAGTCCCTTCGAATCCATCTGAGAGACCCCTATGCACAAGTAGATGTTTATCAAGTACACGAACATTGTGTGTGGATGCAGCATTTGAAAAACAATGCAATAAGATAAATCTGAGATTTATGGGATATACAAGCTATTCATCTTGGATGGGAAGGTGGCAGACATTTGGATATGGTATTATTACAAATCAAGTGGGATTCAGCACAACTTCTACAAAGGAAAATTTCAGCAAGGGAGGAGAAGAGAAAAAGAACCATACGAAGCAACATAAGCCAGTTAGCGAAAATGAAAAAAATGAATCATTGAATCAGGACACAAATGAGATTAATTCAAATGATGATGATATATATGGGATAAATGAAAATATGGGAAAAAAAAAAAAAAAATCCAAGTTGAAATTAATAGTTTATACTTTTACTATCGGATTTGGTTTTTATGTAATTTACAAGGTGTATCAAAATGATATGAATTTATCGAAAGCAGAAGAAAGCATTGTTAAAGATATAGTAAACCTTATATACACATATGAAGAAAAAATGAGTATACAGAATTCTAAATTTGTAACATGTCTGGATGAAAATTTAAATAAACAAATAGCCATGTACTTTATTCAATTGGACACAGACAAGAGCTCTGGATTTCTAATAAATGATGCCATTAATTTTTTAAAGGATTTAAATATAAAAGAAGACAATACTATTGTAAAAAATTTTATCAAAAATGGAAATGGAAAGAATATAGAAATGAAGAAATTATCAGGATGTTCACTACAACAGTTTGCTGAATTAATTGAAAGTTTAATTTTGACCAGCAAGGCGAAAAATGAAAATTCCCAATTTAGTAGTGCAACCGAGACAGCTGCAAGTGATAATAAGTATTACATGAATCTTTTGCAGCAGTATTTGAACTGTTTTATTAACCTTGTCAAAACGTCTGACTTGTATTTGTATTATCAAATGAAAAAAAACGCGAGCTCTTCATCTGACGCATCCTCTAAAGCAGCAGAAAACATGGATGATTTGGAAATTTCAATTCTGAACAAACTTACCAAATATAATGATAAGTATGTAGACAAAAAAAATTTGTCACTGGATTATTTATTAAGCAATGAAGAATTAAGAAATTTTAGACAAAATAATAATGTATCCAAGAAAGAGGAAGAAAAAGAGTTACTCCTAATTGAGAAAAAAAAATTGGAAGAAAAAATTCAGCTACTTCTCAAACTGCAGTCAAAGAAGAACTTGACGGAGACTGAAATTAAGCGATTGCAAGATTTAAAGATAAAATTGAGAAATATTAAATATATCATCAAAAAGGAGGAGTTGAAGAAATATTTTCAAATGAAATGAAAACTTCAGTTAGATTTTTATCTCAAAAGCAGTAGATGTCTACCTAGCGCTTGCCTTAACTGCTGAGATTATTCACTGAACATATTTTATTCTTTTTTTTTTCATCGCATTTTATTATATACATGTCCCCTACTTATACACCTCACACATTTGCACCTTCATACGTATTTTTTTTTTTTTTTTTTTCTAATATCATTACTCACGAAGTGTTAACACTAATGGCTCCTCTCTTTAACCCGTCGAAGCTGCTACAGTATACGTAAAATATTTTCGTTTACGTACACTTCCCTCAACTCATTTTGTTCTTTTGTCATTTTGCTATTTTTTCATTCTTCCATTTTGCCATTTTTCCATTCTTCCATTTTGCTATTTTTCCATTCTGCCATTTAGTTATTTTTTATGCTTGCTATATTTTGCCTTATTTTATTCTATTTTTTTAAAGTTTTCTTTAAGCATTTTGTGGAACACATTTCATATTGGCATTTTAAATGAAAACTTGTAAGAGCACAGCTTTTAGTGTTTTATTAAAAAAAGCAAATATATTCTTCCTACCAATTTTTGCCTCCATTTGTGAGACTAAACATATGGCACATTTGTGTGAAGTAAACATACATTTGTAGAGAAACACCAAAAGTGGCAGGGACAAAATTGCCTATCCACGGGTGCAACTTTGTTGTTCCATTTGGGTCAAAAAGGGGAAAAAGTAACTGCACCAACAGTGTATTCGTAGCAGAGGAAGCAGTGTAGGGTGTAATAACAATACATTGACCCCTGCAAATTGAAGAGCACACTAATTTTTGCACTAATTCTAAATAAAGCATTTTTTCATAGTCAAATTCAAAAAAAAAATTGTAACAGGGACAACTGAAAGGGAATGGGTGCAGTGGCGCCTTCTTCGCGAGTAAAGCGTTTGTTTATACATTGTCGTTCGTGCTTGGAACTTTGCAACATTGTAACGATGCAACAAGATTTAACATGAACTGTTCAGGCGATTTCGAGAATACAACAAATTCGCTCTTTTCAAGTATTGTTGTTCCATTTATGTATAAATGTGGGTTCTTGCGTTACATGCACACTCTTAAATAAAAAAGGAAAAAAAAATGATAAATAGAAAAATTCCAAAACTGAAGGAAGAGAGAAAAAAAAAAAAAAAAAAAAAAAAAAAAAAAAAAAAAAAAAAAAAAAAAAAAAAAAAAAAAACAAAAACAAAAGAAAGAAAAAAAAAAAAAAAAAAAAAAAAAAAAAAAAAAAAAGGAATAAAACCAAATGGAGAAAAAGTGGAAAATATTCGTATGAACATGTGTAAAAAAAAAAAAAAAAAAAAATTTCCAGCTAAAACCAGTGTGGGAGATCTCTCATATTAGTGTGTCATGGAAATTATAAGTGACCAAGTGACAAAGCTTTATCCAATTTTATTGGTAGATTATGTCAAAATTGAAGAACAATTTTAGGTGCAGGAAAAAAATGAAAACAATTTCACTTTGCTCGTGTGAAAATTTTAAGTGTACATGTTTGCATATTTATTTGTTTGTTTGTATTATCATTTTCACATTTTTTCATTTGTAAAATTTTGTCGTTTTCTTTATATCCCTTCACTTTACCACTTTTTTTTTTTTTTTTTTACATTTATGTTCATGCAAAAAATTTCCACTTTTTCTCCATTTGGTTATATTCCTTTTTTTTTTTTTTTTTTTTTTTTTTTTTTGGAGGACACAAGATTAAGGCTATTTTAGCAACCTCTATTTTTCATGGATTTTTCCTTACATTATTTTGAAACACTTGTGTGTAAACAGGCACATGTGTGTAAATGTGCGCATTTGTGAATGAGTATGCATAAATATGTCTGAATGTAAGAGTTTGTTTCGTACTTATGCACATGATAACTCAAAACGATATCCTGCTACACACTTCTTTTGTATGAAATATAAAAAATCGTGTGGAATATTTTGAAACGCGATTTATGACAACATTGCATGCCTTGGCCATTATTAACGAATAATAACATATAGGTGAAAGCGAGGTATATAAATCGTTTTCCCGTTTTTCATGTGTATCCCAATCTTTTTGTTTTTAATTTAATTTTATATTCCTTTTTTACATTTATTTTCACGTTTCCATTTGTTTATATGTCAATTGTCAACAAGTTTACATTAGAGGGTCCAATTGAACGTCGATGGTGTGTGCCAAGTGCACACTCATAAAGTGTGCGTTTTTCAAGAGTAATCCCATCGCGTGTGTATTTGTCAAGGTTGAATCTACCACACGTAATGCGTGCTACCCATTTTGCCTTCTACCCAACACGTTGACTCAACTTCGAACTTCCTCAAAAGAAAAAAATGATAACTTTTAAAAACAAAATACAAGTGAACTGTAAGAAAAATCAGGCGTCTTGTCGAGATTATGATTACTCTGAAAAAAGCGATAAAATGGTTCAGAAGAAAAGAGAAAAAATAATAGATATTTGCAAAAAGTTAAATAGGTTCAAAAATAAAGTATGTAATTCAACTGATTATTTCAAATATGCTGAAGTGTTATTCAACAAAGCTGGTACCAAATGTGTTTCCCGAAAAAGGAAAAAGAAACATGTCAAAGAAGGGGAACATGTTAATTCTTCCGCATCAAAAAGAGATATGTTTTTCAGAGACAAAATAAATTATCTCGAATTTTTTGATGCACAAAAATTTGACATATTTTTTGAAAAGTATGCATATGAAGCATTTGATGAAGATAAACAAATTAGTGAAAAACATTTTACAAATGTGTTAGAAAGTGAAAAGGTAGATTTTTCTATAGAAAAAAATGCTTCATTAGGACAGCTTTTTCCCAGAGCAATTCTTCCCAGTGAAGAAGGTACAAATTCGTGTCCCCACAAGGGAAAAGAGGTTGTAGAGAAAGAGACTGAACATGATAGAAAAAGAATCCTGCACACCACTCAAGACGGAAATCATTCTGGATGCGTGAATGTGAAGAGTGGGAATTTACTTGACGGAGAGGTCTTTACAAATTTGAGAAACACATATGTAGAAGAGCTGCCCTCTGACAACAAAAGAAAGAATGACAAAATATGTGATTCTTATGTTCATAATTTCATGAATAAAAAGATGAAGTTAGAAGAACAGGACAATGGTATAAACAATAAAATTGTACCATCTTATGAATTTCAAATTAATGCTACACAACTGGTATCAAGAAAAAACGACAAATTGAAGAAAAACAAAAAGGATATTTCTGTACAGGAAAAATGGATGATGAAGGGAATTCAAACCATAATGAGCATGTCAAAAGTTAGAACATCCCTCAATCCAAGTACATATCTCGAAAAAAATATCACAATTGATGAAAAAAACTTTTCTCGAAAAAAAATTTTAATATTCAAAATTTCCAACATTATGTTCGATCATTGTGAGTGTAAAAAATGCTACATATGTGAAGAGGTGAATAAATCCAATTATTTAAATCTACCTAGAAGACCATGTAATCATTTAGGGAAAAGTAAAATCAAGCACAACAATAATGAAGATAAGGCTAAATGCTTATGGACAACCTCTAATGAAGTGCTATATTCAATATTTCACAAAAACATGTTTGCAGATAACGAGGAATTGGAAGATATATCTCAGGTAAATGCAGATTCTATTTTTTTATACAAACTATTTCTAAATTTGTCTTTGCATATCAATGCACTATTTAGAATTTGCACAGAATTACTCAGGCATAATTTTTCAAATTTGAGTTTTGAACACTGGAAATTATCAAATGATTCGAAAATAATTATTCAACTTATAAACAAGTATCAAAAGGAGGAAAGATATGTCATTCGATTTTCCAAGTATATTTTGCATGTCTTGAAAAGGTATATAACCAAAGGTGTAAATTATTCTGAAAAACAAATCCACAAAAGCTGTAGACATCCCCTCAATGGGGTAGTAACAGAATTTGAATTGTTCACTCTGAAAAAGATAATGAAAACTTTTCAGAAATGGGAACGAATAGATCTCAATATTTTAATCTTGTGTAGTCAATACACAATTCCAAACGAAGAAAATGTTTTTAAGATTGAAATAGTGAATCATCAACTTGTAAAACATAATTTCGCTTTGAGAAAAATACATTTTTGTAAAATTAATAATGATATTATAGCAATTCTAAGAAAATATTTAGCAATATTTTGTGATCCTAATTTAGATGTTAGACATGAAAGAGGCAATGGTACATTCCTCTCAGACATGGAAATGGATACAAGTCAAATAAGGAAAAGCACGGAAAATCCTAATGATGTGAATATAAGTGGTTATAATGTGTATGAAAATTGCTTTACATCCCTTTTTCAGAATTTAAAAAATGTTGAAAGTGTGAAAGTGAAGGGTACGATAGAACTAGGCAATAGTACCGGGAAAGTAACTCAGATTACCGATAGAGCAATAAAATATGGCTCTAAAGACAGACATAAGAATAATGATATTGATGGTTACACTGGGATATTCACTCACGATTGGAGGAGAAAAAAGAATTTCGATTTTGATGAATTACAAAATTTAAATTCTTTAAGCCGGGATAATAATCATACAACGAACCATATGAACATCATAATGTATCTGAATACAATTCTAACAAGCGAAATTAGCTATAGCGAAAATATACGAGTTCAGACGAAGAAGGAGGTAGAACAAACTAATAATTTACTTGTAGATGTAAAAAAATTACATGACTTTTTAAAAAGAAATATGAAGAATGTTCAAAATGTCGGAACTATCGATAGGGAACTAACAACCAAAATGGAAGAAATGAGGAAAAATACAGAAATTATTTCTTATCATGATGTTAAAGACATGCATCTAGAGGAACAAACAACTCTTGATGAAAATGAGATTTATCAAGATATTTACAAAAGAAATACAGAAATTTTTAATTACATAAATGATGCCCATGTTCAGGGAAAACATGCATCTAACTACGATATATTAGAGAAGAAAAATTTTGTTGATGATCTTTTACTTTTCACGAATTATACGAATGAAAATATAACTGGAGAGTCCTTCGAGGGGAAAGAAATGTTTCATCATTTTTACAAAAATAATGATAACATATGTATGGTCAGGTGTATTATAAGGGAAATTTCCCAACATTTGGATAAACTGTATATGAATGCTTCTCATCCGTGTAATGAATTTACATCACAAACAGATGCTGTAACGTGCATGGAACATTCGAAGGGGTCTTCTAAACAGAATGAAGGAATAAATGAACTTGTAGAAGAATTAGAAAAGCTGAAAAGGGAAGGCTCTCAGTATGGAGAATTTTTGGAGAGAGAAAAAAAACTCAGCACCAAATTGAATATAGAAATAGAAAGACAGAAAAAAATTATTAATGAAATGCAGATACAGATAGACAATGAAAGGAAGCGAAGCGAAGAATTAAATTTGCATTTCGAGAGGGAAAAACTATTGAACGACGTGGCATTTGCCGAATTAGAGGGGGAAAAGGAACGAAGCAATTCATTAGAGAAAGAGTTAGATGTGGAAAGGGAAAGAAGCAATTCATTAGAGAAAGAGTTAGATGCGGAAAGGGAAAGGAGCGACTCATTGGAGAAGAAGTTAGACGTAGAAATGGAAAGAAACGATTCCTTGGAGAAGGAGCTAAGTGTGGAAAGGGAAAGAAGCGATTCATTGGAGAAGGAGTTAGATGTAGAAATAGAAAGGAGCGACTCATTGGAAAAAGAGTTAGATGCAGAAAGGGAAAGGGGCGACTCAATGGAAAAAGAATTAGATGCGGAAAGGGAAAGGAGCGACTCATTGGAGAAGAAGTTAGACGTAGAAATGGAAAGGAACGACTCATTGGAAAAAGAATTAGATGCAGAAAGGGAAAGGGGCGACTCATTGGAGAAGGAGCTAAGTGTGGAAAGGGAAAGAAGCGATTCATTGAGGAAAGAGTTAGAGGAGGAAAGACATATAATAGCATCTCTGAGGAAGGGGTCAGAAGAAGGAAAACAAAATGAAGAGTTAGAAAAGGCGCTGGAGAAAGAAAAAGAAAGAAGCGATGAAATGAAGAAAGAATTAGAGGAGGAAAAAGAAAGAAGCGATGAAATGAAGAAAGAATTAGAGGAGGAAAAAGAAAGAAGCGATGAAATGAAGAAAGAACTAGAGGAGGAAAAAGAAAGAAGCTATGAAATGAAGAAAGAACTAGAGGAGGAAAAAGAAAGGAGCGATGAAATGAAGAAAAAACTAGAGGAGGAAAAAGAAAGGAGCGATGAAATGAAGAAAAAACTAGAGGAGGAAAAAGAAAGGAGCAATGAAATGAAGAAAGAATTAGAGGAAGAAAAAGAAATAAATGCAATGAACAATTCTCAGTTAGAAAACCAAAGAAAACAGACAACACAACAAGGGAAAGAATTAGAAGAAATGAAAAAAAAAATGTATGAAGGAACTAATAGAAATGGCAACATAGAAATGAAGAATGAAAAAGGAGGAATTTTGTTATGCATGCTAAATAATTTAAACGAAGCAATAGACATAGTGGAAAATGGAGAAATAGAAAAAACGTTACTGCCAAATATAGAAAATCAGAAGGAAAAAATAAATATAAAGAAAAAAAAGGGGAATAAAAAAATCAGAGATGAAAATGAAGGACAAGATGCAAAGAAATATGGAAAGCTATATGATGAATATGTGGAAACGATGGTGAAAAATGAAACATTAGAAATAGAACACGAGCAGATGATGATTCACATCAATGAAAAGATCCAGAAATTCAATGAGAAAGTTAAATATTTTGACGACAAAATAGAACATTATAAAGACATGTGTGATGCATATGAGAAAAAAAATATGCACATAGGAATATGTATCCAAAGAATACAAGAACTAATAAACGACATCCAATCCTCTGGTGACTTGAGTAATGTGAATTATGTAGAAAAAGTAGCTAATATTAAACAACTGGCCAAAGAAATAAAAGAAAAATATATTTCTCATACAGTTGGGACGAATAATCTATTGTTGAATGAAATTGTAATGGAAAAAAATATGCTATTGACAAAACTCACAATACTAGAAAAGGAAAAACAAAACCATATGATGAAAGGAGAGATTGCTAACATTGAGAATGGAACGGATGATGAATTGTCGAAATATATGGATGAGATGAATTTCAAATCGTACAACGATCTTTTTGCATTTCATTTAAGTATCCTAAACGAATTAAGTTTAATTAAAAAGTGGTACAGTCAATTTGTTGAAGAGAACTTAATGAAATGTAGAGAGTATGAAAATGAAATTGCAGGGTTAAATAAAATTTTGAAGGATAAGGAGAGGGAAATTGGAATATCAGACGAAAATTGCAAATCTTTGTTGCTAGAAGTTGAAAATTTGAAGTATATTCTCAACGATTTATTCACATGTGGTTGGAATAAGTCTAATAGAGGTGAGGGAGGGAAAGCCATTGCCAAAAGGGACAATGAACCGCATCGAATGGTGCAAGAAGGGCCAGCACTGGGAGTCAAAAAGGAATCAGAGTTGAAGATGAACATAGAACCCGTGCCTGTTGTAGATGTAGAACCCGTGCCTGTTGTAGATGTAGAACCCGTGTCTGTAGTGGATGTAGAACCCGTGTCTGTTGTAGATGTAGAACCCGTGTCTGTGGTGGATGTAGAACCCGTGTCTGTTGTAGATGTAGAACCCGTGTCTGTGGTGGATGTAGAACCCGTACCTATAGTGGATATAGAACCCGTATCTGTATTGAACGTAGAACCAATACCCCTAGTGAGCGTCCAACCCGCATCTGTAGTGGACATCGAACCCGTACTCGTAGTGAACGTTGAACCCACATCTATCGTGATGATAGAAAAGGGATCACCACTGATCGATGTCGGGGGGGACTTTTCCGAAATAGCTGCAAAGTCCATTGACAGCAGTTGCTTACTAAGCAACCCAATATCAGTGAGTAGTGAATCTTCAAAAAATCTGAACAGCAATGATGCCAAAATTTCATCGAGAGGGAGAAAGATAGCTGGTAGAAAGAGACAAAGTAGAGGTAAAGGCACAAGCAAAAGTATAAGTGAAAATAAAATGAATAATAATATGAATGAAAGTAAAAGCAGTAGAACTAGCAGTAGAAGAGGTATTGCTAAAAGTAATAACTTGGAAAAATTTAGTGATTTAAATATAAATGATTGTAAGGATGAGGATAGTAGAAGGAAATACCAGCTCAGGAGCTCTACTAAGAGAAAATAAATGAAGTCAGACTTTCCCCCCACCCCCCGTCTGTGCGCGTGAATGAGGAAGTTGTAGAAGGGATTCTCTTTTTTTTTATTTATCGCGAAATGTGTCATTTGGCTTGGCTTACTTTTGGATCCGCACATGTATCTCTGTACTTGCATCTGGACATGCAACCGCACATACATCCGTGTACTTGCATCCAAATTTGAGACTTTTCCTTTTTTCCGAAACACGAAACACCCTTGACACGTCTTACATTCTTAACATGTTTAATCCCAACCTTGTGCTCGTTCGTAGGGGATTATATACGAAAGAATGCGAGTGAGAAAAGCAGAAGCAGGAGAAGAAGCAAAAACAGGAGATGAAGAAACAAGATAGATATGCTTTCTGCGCGAAACTTCTTTCAACATGATATAATGACATATATCTTATATAGAATTACCCGTCACAACAATTATAAACTGTTTTTTTTTTTTTTTTTTTTTTTTCGTTTTAAAAAAAAAAAAAAACAAGTTCATTGTTTCCAAGGGGAATAGAAAAATTTCACATAAACACTTGTGTTTAAATACTGAAAAAAAAAAAAAAAAAAAAAAGGAAAAATATTTTTTTCTTTTGAATTTATTTTATTCTTTTTCATTTGAGTTTTTTTTATTCCTTTGTTTTTTTTATTTTTTTTTTTTTTTATAAATAGATACATCCTTCAAACAAAAAAATGTGGCTGAAATGCGACAAGAACAAAAAACGGACATAAATTTGTTTCTCGTAAAAAATAAAATAATTAAATAAAATAAATGGAGCTTTCAAATTTTTAAAGAAATAAAACTAAACCTTGAAAAACATCATGTATATAAATATGGGAAAGCACATGAACAAATTATCTAAGGTCCCACCGAACAGTTCTAAGATGCTTAGTGATAGGGCTAAAATTAAAATGTGTGTGTAGTTCTCGACATAGTATAGGGAAACAAGGGAGACGAAGAAGCAGGCCAGGGTTCCATGCAACTGCAAAGGGGGCGAAAAAAAAAAAGTAAACATGTAAAAAAGGGTAAACAGGCAGGAAAACAGGCAGATAAACAGGTAGATAAACAGGCAGGTAAAGAATAAAATCAGAATAACGGTAAGCACAGCTCAGAGTTTATAATTGTCAATCGAACTATATTTGATAACTACACTTCCATTCCCTCCTTTTAATGTGACGTTTCATCTTTTTATAAACGCATACAACAGTTGGAGGAATGTAGATAATGTATTGCATTCGATTTTTTTTTTTTTTTTTTTTTTTTTTCCTTCTTCTTGCGCACAGTCTTTTTCTTGTAAATGGAATATGTGGGGAATCTTTTTCCCACAATGGCTGCCATTGGATCAGCAAAGAAGATTGGAGTCAAGACGTATAGAGGAAGTTTAAAGAAAAAAAATAATGACACGATTATGTTGTATATGATAATTCCTTTGTCCTTGTTGACACCGAATCTGCAATTGGAGGGGAGGAGGGAGGTGGAGGGAGTTAAGACGACACGTGAGAACTAATGGCACAGCGTATTGGGTTAGGACAACAGACGGTGCACTAGACGAAGAACCAAATGAAGCATGTAGCAAAACGTTTTTACTGGTCTATACCTGAAAGGATAAAAGAAACAGCGTAAAATAGAAGTTGCCGCTATTAGATATATAAAAAGAACGCAATAACTATTCTGGCATGTACTTTTAACATCTTGTGAATGCATCAATCTTCTGTTTCCATTTATGCTTATGTCAAACAGCAGGATTATCAAGCCGCACAGCATATGGGCTAATTTTCTGAAAAAAGTGCAAAGAACATGTTAAAATGTGAATAATTTATTCTCGTGACGGAAAAGTTGCATTCGGTAAAAGGAAAAAAAAATGGAAAAAAAAAAAGGAAAAAAAAATGGAAAAAAAAAAGGAAAAAAAAATGGAAAAAAAAAAAAGGATAAAAAAAAAGGATAAAAAAAAAGGGAAAAAAGACGCATTGTTAATACACACAACAGGGTCAACAGGATGGGTTCCTTCATTTCATACACTAACAATGAATTTGTTGACAAACTTAGGTAGCACATCTCAGTCATGTATATACAGTTCTATCGATGTGAATGTAAACTTTTGTGTGTTATTATACTAACCTCGCATAAAACTTTGGTATTTTCTCCCATTTGTCAAGTACCGTTACAATGGCAGAAACCACAATGAAAAGAACGGTGCAGTTCATTTTTTATTTATTTGGAGATAACGCGGGCAGTGTCTAGAAGACTCAAATGGGATAGTTAATCTGTTGAAAAGTGGGGTGAGGGGTGGGGTGACTTGTAGGAAGTTCCCCTCCTTGTAACATCTTGAGGTACGTCTTTACCACTATGTGCCACTACTTTGCAGCTCATTTACCACTGTTTATTACTTCTTCAGAGATTCGCTTCATAACTTTGCAGCTTCATGACTTCACAACTTTATAACTTCACAGATTTACAGCTTTACAACTTTACAACGGGTTGCTCTTTTTTCTTTTTCTCATTCCCAGACTCCAAAGGAAAATGTGTTTTTTAATGTAGAATCATAATCCTAACTGGTGTGTCTTATTTTCCATCAAATTACGTCAAGAAGGATGAAATAATGAATTCCCCTCTTAAGGCGTTCCACGGTAAGAAGAAAAAAAAAAAAAAATCGAAACAAGGAAGAAAAGAAGCAACGAAATGGCGAAATGGCGAAATGGCGAAATGGCGAAATGACGAAATGGCGAAATGGCGAAATGGCGAAATGGCGAAATGACGAAATGGCGAAATGACGAAATGGCGAAATGACGAAATGGCGAAATGGCGAAATGGCGAAATGACGAAATGGCAAAATGACGAAATGACGAAATGACGAAATGGCGAAATGACGAAATGACGATACAATGATGAGATGAAAACTGTCAAAGATTAAGTGCCACCCTTTTTGTGTGTTCAGGAAATATTATTTTTTCCTTGTTTATTTTTGTCCACGAAAAAAAAAATAAATAAATAAAAAAGCACCTAAATGGTTCAAAAATTGAATTCATGAAAATGTATTGAGTCGTGAAAAAAAAGCGGCGTGATGGCTATAAAACACTTAACGAGGCTTACAATTATGAAATGCAAAAGCAGAAGAAAGAAAAAAAAAAAAAAAAAAAAAAAAAAAAAAATTAGAAAATGAGAATATCCAGAATGTGGAAATATTTATAATACACCATATGTATATCTCTCACCATATGATTATTTTTACAGTTGTGCAAATTGCATTTTATTATATTGTATTATATTATGTTATTTTTTATTATCATTTTTTTTTTTTTTTTTTTTTTTTTTTTTTTTTTTTTTGTAACGCAGGAAAGAAGTGTGCTTGAGTTGGAAAAAATGTGTCGAAAAAAAGGAAGAGCAAAAAAAAAAAAATGCATTACAATAAAGTATATATATATAATGCAGCACAGTAAAGTATATTTATAATGCAACACAATTAAGTATATATATATATATATATATATATATTATAATGCAGCACAGTAAGGTATATACTGCAACCAATGTACGGAATTCAAAGAATGAAATGAAGATAAGCACGTAAGAGTATGCGACACTGTAAGAATGATGCAGAGCGACGAATCAGAGAACGAAAGGGAAAAAGAAAACTACAACAACATCCTGTATGATGGGAATCTGAAGGACGAAATCGACTACTACGATGAAAATTTGCCACACATAAACTTTTATTTAAAGTTTCAGAAAAAAAACTTTTTGGAAAAATTTCTGCAAGAGGTTATGATATCAAATAAAAAGGACTCAGATGTAGAGAAAGAAGTAGAGAGTGGAAAAAATTTCCACATTTGCAATGATGAAGTAAGAAGTTGCGTGAACCCAATAGAGGTGGAGGTGCCAAAAAAAGAGAATACTACCACTTTAAGGGATATGCATAATCATGAAAATGAAGTAACTCAGTTGTACACGGAAGAGGGGTTTGGGGGTTTATGCAAGAGTAATCAGATGAGAGATGCATGCAAGAGTAATCAGATGAGAGATGCATGCAAGAGTAATCAGTTGAGAGATGCAGATACTTTGGAAATTTTAAATGATGGTGGATTTTACTTGGAAGAAAATTCAGAGATGGATTATACACAGTCATCTATTTCTCACTGTAAGGAACAGGGTTCCGATTTTTCAATTCCCCATTTGGTTGAACCGAGAGGAGAACAAATTTTGCAAGATTCTGAATTAAGCGAATCCTTGTTGAAGTTAAAAATGTCATGTATTGAATCAGATGCAAATGGAGATTTGATTCATCTAAACGAAAATGATGAAATTGTAAAAAGAATAAACAAAGTTTTTCAAAAAAACAAAGACAAATTTATTTTTAGTATTGAACGTAATATAGAAAATAGTGCAGAAATTATATTACAAGAATATTGTTTCTTATGTAATAAAAAAAAAAAATTAAATAAAATTTTAAGTGTTATTAACATATACATTTGTTACGATTGCAAAATACTTGATAGTAATTTTAGGATGATTTCTCTCACGAAATTAGTCAATAAATATTCTCTAAATACTTATGACATGTCTAAGTATGAAAAGCATTTAGCCCTTTTATGCACCAAAAATCCACGTGGTTATTCTAAACAGATGAAACTTTATTTTTTATTTCAAATTAAAGAAGTAGCTATACGAAAACATGGATCTATGGAAAAAGTTAAATCCTTGTACATGTCCAAAATTTTGAACTCATTAAAAAATGCTCATGGTACTACTGCATCTGCTTCTAGAAAACGCAAAAATTTACATAAATTCGCGAAACCGAAAAGTATTTATAGCCAGAAAATGAACACATCGCAGGTGCAAAAAATTATTTGTGATGATAATCAACACGAGTTTGATTCACCTCAGTGCACTAGTCAAGAGGACGGCCTTTACTTGAAAGTGTGTAAGAAGTGCACTTATCAAGTTGAATATATGCAGTTTTGAGAAGGAAAAAAAAAAAGGGAGAAAAACGTATCAGTAGAGGAATATCAGAAAGAGAATCAGTTGTTCCAAGCCACGGGTTGCTACATGAGTGCCTTGGTTTAGTCCGCTATTTTCCATTTTTAACCCATCCTGTACCTGGGAAAGGGTAAAAAAAAAAAAAAAAGAAAAATTTCAATACATACGAATACATGCACATATGAACTCAGTGAATGAGATCCTTGTGTAAAAAAACAGGGGCAATAAGGTTGCAAGCTGAAATGTTACCATATTTTGCCAAATGTTGCCATGTGTTGCTTTGTATTTCCTTGTATTGCCTTGTATTGCCAAATGTTTGATAAATATGTATGAACATGTACTTACTTGGGGCAAATGCTTATTACCTTGACGACGTTGATCGGGTTAGTCAAAAAATCTTTTTATGTTGTCTAAGGGCTCCTCTTTTAAGTTATAAACGAATGTGTACCAATCGACTATTCCTTAAAAAGGGAAAGGAAAGAATGAGCTAAAAAGTGATATCATATTTTATGGCAAAATTGTGTACATTTTTTTTTGTCTTTTTTTCGTCTTTTTTTTATGTTCTTTTTTTATCTGTTTTTATTTATTTTTTTTTTTTTTTTGCATTAGAGACTAGTTAATTTATTACTCAATTTTTGCTAACCATCGGATGGGGCCCACTCATGAATTTTATTTATGAACTGATCCATTGTTAGTTCGGAAAAATCGCTAAAGGATGAAAAAACACATTCTAAAAAGAGGGGAATAAAAGGGGCCATTTGGTAATTACAAAATAAACAACTCTGTATGAATACCAAATGAGAAGATTTTCCTAATTTCCTTTGTATCCCAAAGGACCTTTTCAAAGATTAATTTTGCTCGTTTTTGAGCATGTCTTTTTTTCCTCTTTTATTTCGTGTTTTTGAACATGCTTTTTTTTCCTCTTTTATTTCGTTCTTTTTTTTTTTTTTTTTTTTTTTTCCTTCACTTTTCCCTTTACCTATCGCGTCGTTCGATATGGACTGCTCGCTCACGTATTCATTTATAATTTTCAAATTAATTTTTCTGCTGACGTTTGGATCTGTTCCTGTGTTTTTGTTTTTGCTTCTAAACATTTCGCTTATTTTTCGACAATTCTCTACATAAACGATTGGGGATACTGAAGTTGGTAGAAAAGAAGTAAAGACAAAATGAAAAAAAAAAAAAAAAAAAAAAAAAAGAGAATGCAGCGAGAAACTGTGAATAATTACTGTGGGATATGTTCTGTCCATTCGATTAATAATAAATTAAGTACACATATGCATGATGAGTGATAGAATTAAACGATCGCTGGGAAATTTTCAAATATATCACGTACCCGGAATACTTATAGATCCTTGATTTTGAATTTGCCCAGAGTTTATTGTGAGCGGCCATTCAAATTTGGTTTGATTTAGAAAACTTTTTAGGATTTCAAAATTGATGGAATTATTACTTGATAGAAATAAGTTCTCCCATTTTTTTACTTTTTTTTTATTTTTGTTCAACTCTATAAATTCGTTATTGTGTGAAATGACATGTCCTAGGAGTTCTTGGTCAGACAAGCGTCCGAAAATCTTCAATGCGTGCGGTGGGGAAGGGGAGGGGGGACGAGCAGAAATGGGGACCGTGGCATGGTATAAGGGAAAAACGTTCATACAAAAATGCATGCACACCGTTCATACAAAAATGCATGCACACCGTTCATACACAAATGCATACACACAAAGGTAACCAGGGGGGGGGGTGTACATTCTCACATGCTTAGTTTTTTTGGTATGCTGTTTCGAATCTCAACCTTTCGAGGAAGTGACTCCCGGCAACAACAGTGATGGGGAAATATGTAAACGGGTCCTTTTCTTTTGATCAAAATTATATGCAATCTTTTTTTTTTTTTTTTTTTTTTTTTTTTTCTTATTACTTCTTATTTTTTTTCACAAAAGTTACCTTTATTATGTCAAAGACGAGGAATGCCCATGGAATTTGAGAAGACGAGTTATACTTTCCCTGCTTTAATGTTAAGAATTTTTTTTTAATAATTAATGAACTGTTTCTTTGATTTGACCGTGGGGATATGTTCAGACAATTTTTATTTAGTGTGTAATAATTTTTCAGTTTTCTATTTTCACTTGATATTAACAGTACATATGACATTAATGTAAAACAAAGAATCAGAAAAAGCAGCTTGTTTAAAAACATTTCTAATGCGCCCCCTGTGTTATTGTTTCTTCCTAAGTATTCTCCTTTGCATGTTACAACTTTGACAGTTCACACTGATCAAAATATATTTTTGTAGTCTCGATCTCTTTGTGCCTTTTCACCTTCTAACATAATATACTTCTCTCCTGAATTTTACATGTATTTATTTTACAATTTATCTACTTTTCTCTCCCCCCAAAAACTCCTCAATGAGGAGTGTTCAAAAGGGGACAAGAGAAAAATGCATAATTCATTGGGGGGGAGGGGTTGGGGGGCATATTTAGTTGAAAAATGTGTGAAGAAATTTGACGCATGGAGATAAAAACAGATACATGAGAAAAAAAACGTTGATTTTTCTTCTAAAAATTGTTATAAAATTTGTGAAGCACATGAAAAACGTGTTAAACATTCTCCAGCAATGTATATAACGCAGAGAGTTGAAAAAAAATAAATAAAATAAAAAAAAAAAAATGAAGTAAAAAAAAAAAAATAAATAAATAAATAAAATAAAACAAAATAAAACAAAACAAAACAAAACAAAATATAAATGGCTCATGTTTAATTTTCTTTTCCTTTCATTTTAACAAGTTTCTGAAAAGAGTAAGCCCCCCACCATCCACACCTACACGTGGGAAGGATGTGCAGTACGAGGCCATTTTACTATATGTGAATTTTGCAGTTTAAAAAGAAAAAAAAGGAGCAACTACGTATAAGAGAATTGCAAAATGGTTAAAAAAATGATGTTTTAAAAAAGAAACAAATCGTTTCTATTTTGTTCCTGTTTTTTTTTCTTTTTTTATATTTTTTTTTTTTTTTTTTTTTTTCACAGTAAATGCTATTTTCAGGGAAGTAGCATATTTTCATGACCAGTGAAGTTTCAAAGTATAATACCATATAGTTGTGCTAGGGTCTTCTACCTCACCATTTTATAAACACGTGTGTATACTTTAATTGTAAAATTTTAAAATGGTTTATATAAAAGTTTTGTACATTATATATACACACTGTGAAATGAAGAATGAAAAAAGGGGGGGAGGGGGGTTAGAAAAAAAATAAAAATAAAATATATAAAAAAATGAGAAATAGGAAAAAGGAGAAACAAAGGGTTGTTGTACACATGTGTGCATACATATATACATATATGCAAATATTGTGATAATGCTTATAAAATAGTGAAATTTATTCCAACGCTACGGGAAAAGACTCAGGAATAACAGGGTAAATGTGTGTGTGCGTGAACACATTATTACATTTTTAGCTTTTTCTCCTAATAGGGGTATATATTATAAAAAATATTGTAAGTTCTATATTTTTTGTTTGTTCTTCCAGTGCACGTAAAGACTTGTTTCATTGGAAAATACATGTATATATACAATGCACATACGTGTACAGGAATATGTACACATACGCACGCGCAAAAATATATGTATAAACATATACATATTATTTTTCATACATTTCTCTAGCGTGGACGAGGGAGAAAATAGAAAGTTTACATTCATCTGCCTTTTCTCTTATCCGTAACCACCTTCTTAGGTTTCTTATTATTAGTTGTAGTTTTCTTTGCGTCTTTGGATGTTGCTTTTTTTTTTTCCTTTTTAACTTTCTTCACTTTTTTCTCCTGTTTCTTCTTTTCTTTCAACACTTGTCTAACACATTTTTGCTCTTCAAAAAGAAATGCTCTCATAATTCTTTCTCTAATACATTTGGCACATATCGAGCCTCCATAAGCTCTTGAAACTTTTCTATCTTTTTTCCTTGCTCTTTGATTATCTGCTGGGCGTAAGGCTTTTACCTACAGAACGGGTAAAAAAAAAAAAAAAAAAAAAAAAAAATTGATAAAAGGAAAGATGTATATACTAGAAAAAATCTTTTTAAAAAAAAGGGTAATTGTTTACTGCATGTTATAAGCATAAACAAGGTGAAATGACAAAATAAGGCAGCTTTTTATTACACACATTGCTTCACAATTTACATGAAAAGAAAAGTATACACACAGGTATATATAAATGTGTGTTAGCGCCTCGTTGTTACATTCCTATAGCTATGTACATTTTCATATTTTTCTTTCCTTTTTTTTATGTTTTTATATTTTTCTCTCCTTCTTTATCTTTTCACATTTTTCTCTTTTTCTTCTTACCCCCTGAATGGCCATTTTACAGTCTGCACATTTTGGTTTCCCAGCCTTTTTTTTGACCACATGAATAGTTAACCTTCCCCCAGGTGTCCTGACAGGCCTTACTTTATTCGACTTTGTGTTGTAGTGATTGTGCTTGCGATAATGAACTCGTTGTGTCATTTTTTAAAAAATAAAAAGGGCAAATATAAGAATTCAAAAAATGGAGAAGTTCACAATAAGTGCTTTTTGTGAAAAGGTGAAAAAATTCCTGGTACATCAATATCAATGTATTTATATATATATAAACGTTGTAACTATTTTTCCTGCCTTAAATTTTTCACATACAGAAAAATCGAAAAACTAAAGCAGAAAATAAATATGTATGCACGTAAACACTGCAAATGGTACTCTAACATGCGCCGTGCTAAGCATAATGTTATGGATGTATGAATAAAAGTTTTGTTTATTTTTTTTTATATATTTTACTAAAAAAAAAAAAAAAATAATAAAATAAAAAAATATGATATAATTTTATTTTTTCAAAAAACTGCTCACTGTTACAGTTGGTGAGTGATGAGTGTATTTATAGCTAATAAAGTTTTTTTTTTTTTTTTTTTTTTTTTTTTTTTTTTTTTGATAAATTCGTGACTTTTAAAAAGAAAAATCGGGGATATAGCAGATTATTATGTGATTATGTTTCCTAGCTGGGTTATACTCGCAATATACATAATGCATACGTACATACATATATATATATATATATATAACAATGGTTACATAGAGCAATACATAATTCATTGGTAGAACTGGGGTAACTTGTTGCTTATACGTTTTTTATTATATAGGGCATAATGATACTTTCCAATATAGTATGTATATATATATTACTACCCTGCGCTTATGTTATAATACATAAACAATTGCACCACATGCAACACGTACGTTCCATTGTTATATTCTGCAAAAATTACGGTGTGCTGAATGTTTGTATGTATACTATATAACAAAGGGAAGGGGAGTAGAGGTGGAAAGAGAAAAAAAAAAAAAAAAGGATTCCCATTAAATTTGCATTGCAGTATTTAATAAAAAAAAAAAAAAAAAAAAAAAAAAGCAAATGTATTAATATGCAAACGCAACTCAAACGAGGTATTTTCCATTTTTGAGGGCTGAACACTTTGACGTTTTATTTTATGTGCAAGTTTTGGGATCGATATATATTATAATAAAAAGCAAAGGCGCGCGCGAACATAGAAAAAAAAAAAAATATCTCTAGCACCGTTTTTCTTTTCCTATTTCTAAAGAATATATAAAAAGTGTTCGTGGGGGAGTGTATCCCAGTAATTCTGGGAAAAAAAAAAACTACTCCTTTACATATTAGTACATACAGAAGAAGAGATGAGGAAGAGAAAGTTAGAATAGGAAATAACTACCCTTGGGGAGGAGTTATGCTTTTCCCTTCGTCATACATATATGGTTTGGGTTTGTGCTTGGCCCATTCGTCATACATATATGGCTTGGTTTGTGCACCCTTACCCCCCAACAATTGAAAAAAAAAAAAAAAAAAAAAAGCGCAATTTTTAATGAACTACGGGGGAAATGAACAAAATGATCGATTGTCGTGTCACGAATTTGTTATTAAGTCGTGTATTCTTATCCAAAAAGAAAAATACAATAAAATAAAAAAGGTTAAAATTGTTATGACATGATAGAGGATTTTTTTTTTTTTTTTTTTTTTTTTTTCTCCTTTTTCCATTCTTCGAAAAAATTAAATATGAAGTAGCTTGGGAAAGGAAGAGAAAACACAGGTAAGGAGTCAAATGAAAAAAAAGTTTTTAGTTTAAAGAGGTTTTCAATAAGTTCCTCTCAATATGTGTTGTAACGGTTTTCTCCTATTGCTATGTTGTGCTTATTTTAATATATATATACATGTACATTCCTAAGGCCCGATCGGATATTCGAAAAGAGGATCCCAGGAAAAATTGTATAAACAAATGGAGGAAGTGAAATATGTAAAAAAAAAAAAAAAAAAAATGCGAGATTGAAAAATGAAAAGTGAAAAATAGTTAAAAGATGACCACATAAAATGAAAGGGTGTGTTTGGGTGTCAAGCCTCCTAACATTTAGTAAAAGCCCTGCATATCTCACTTAAAAATGGCGAAGGGAGGAGAGATCTACATGTAGGGGAAAGAATCATTAAGTAACATATAATATATGGTGCTTAGTTTTTATTTATATAGGAAATGGTAGGAATATATGTACATATATATATATATATATATATATTACTACGTTCGAACCGTTGAACAATTATAGACACGTGTGCAGAATGATTAAGTGGAGGACAAATGCCTTCTTCTCATTGCTTCGCTATCGACCCTTTTTTAATTCCCATTTATTTATTTTATCTCCCTATGGTGCGTCAATTCTCGCTGCTTCATTTTATATTTTTGGTTAACATGTAGGAGAACATATCAAACGTTAACACATGCGTATGTTTTACTCATAATCTTGAGAATATATATTCATTTACGCCCAGGCGTGTGGTATGGACAAATAGTGGAGAATAAACCTCCCCCTTGCGTTAGTTAAAGTTTATAACGCATGCAAATATATATACATATGCATATGCAAATATACATACAGATACGTATAAATATATATATATGCACATGGTACAGAAACAAACTTGGTTAAACAGGAAAAAAAAAAAAAAAAAGAAAGAAAACGGAATTTTGTTAAAAACAACTGATACGAGAAATACATATTTATTTTAAAAAAATAAAAGAAAAAAAAAAAAAACATTGGATCGCGTTACACTATTTTTAGTGTGCACCCCAAAACTTAAAGGCGAATAAAATACAGACACATATGTTACATATAATATATCCATCGGATAGGTATGTGCACAATTTTCACCACTACTTTATATTCCTCTTCTGTTGTACCTCTCGTTATTAATTGCAGAAAAAATAAAAAAATCGGGGAAAAGGAAATTAAGTTCTATCTTGAAATCGCTAAGCAAATGTAGGATAACAGCATAACTGTTTTGTTCATCATATTTATTTTATTTTTTTTACTATTCCATGTTGTTATAATAATGTTGCGAATGTTGTAAATATACACATGTCAAAGTATGTATATACATACATTCTACACACTGTCGTTTTAAGAGTAGCTGACGATCCTGTATATATCAATATTCATCCACATGATTAACCAAAGTATCATGGGAAACAAAGGTAAATTCCTAAATTAATGAACACGTGCTTGCACACCAATGAGTAACACTATCGCTTAATTTAGATAACACTGCTCCCACCACCCTTCATCAATAATAAGCATAGAAATGGATAAGGGCATTTGATGGTGTGTGATATCCAATTGTGGCACTTTTAAACATACATGTGCCTTGGTTTTTTCTTGTTATTCATTTTATTCTCCATAGGAGCGGTAACTTTGTAATTTTTTAAAAATTTCAAATATTTTTTAAGTCCTGTGGTAGCATAAGAAGACAACTCTTTCTCAAACTCCTCTTTATAATGCTCCAGTGGTAGGCATAAGGTCGTGCAGAAATTACTGTGAATTTTATTGCTCTTCTTCTTTTTTTTCTCGCTGCTTTTCTCTTTTTCTTTCACATTTTTTTTCACATTTTTTTTCACTTTTTTGAACGTACTTGGCATAAAAAAGTTGTCGTCGTTGTAGAGTTCGTCTTCTGAGCTGGTCTCATCCCCTGCGTCAGCTTCGGCCCCTTTATCCGGATTCAATTTATGCCTCGATTTCTTCTCCAATTTATGCCTCGATCTCTTCTCCAATTTATGCCTTGATTTCTTCTCCAATTTTTGCTTGGATTTCTTCTCCAACTTCTGCTTCGAATTCTTTTCCAACTTCTGCTCCGATTTCTTCTCCAACTTCTGCTCCGATTTCTTCTCCAACTTCTGCTCCGATTTCTTCTCCAATTTCTGCTTCAATTTCTTCTCCAATTTCTGCTTCGACTTCATCGACCCATCCTTTTGGGAATTCCCTTTTATCACCTTTTTTTTCTTTCCACTGCCCACTTGAACTTTCTTCTGTTTACTTGTACTTTTTAGAACGTTCTCTTTTTTTTCCCCTTTTCCCATGCTCTTACACTCCTCCATACGCATGTTGCCATTTCTCGTGACACTGAGGGAGAGTAGTCCTTGCTCATCTTCGTTTCTCACAAATTCTCCTTTTCCTGTTCTTTCTCTTTCTTCTTCAATCGATAAAGTATTTGCACCAGCTACATCCACGCAATGGTCTTCTTCTCCATTGACAAAGTAACTCAGTGCCATATTATTTTTTTAGCCTTATTTTTCTAGCCTTACTTTTCTAGCCCTATTTTTCTAGCCTTATTTTCTTCCCTTTTTCTTTAGCGTTTCCTTTCCTCTCCTTTCTTTGCTTCTTTTCTTTTCTTGATTTCGGAAATTTGTATGGGGAACAAAAAAGGAAAAAAAAAAAAATGAGAAAAATCTTATTTATAAAAACATGGAGTAATAATCCTATATTCTGTATGAAGCTACACTAAATGGGCTATTGGAAAAGGAAATGATAAATTTTTTTTTTTTTTTTTTTTTTTTTTTTTTTTTCCTATTTTTTGCTAACCTCCATCCTTTATATAATAAAAAAAAAAAAAAAAAAAAAAAACAGTCTAGAAAGGGGGTATATATTATAAACTACCATAACCTACTTATTATTATAAATTTGTAAAGGTGATAAAATAAACAATGCCTAGCATTCTTTTTTTTTTTTTGTGCATCTCCCCTGTGAATCCTTTTTGCTTTCATCATTTAATGCTATTGCTCTGGGCGACAAATTGAAATACGGTGGGTAAAAACAAAAATGAAGCAAAAATGAAACAAAAAAATGAAAAAAAAAAAAAAAATATAGTGAAAATATGGTACAATGAAGCAGCGAAATATAGTATAATAATATAAATACTTTTTTGTGAGGATTATATTTTTTTTTTTCCTTTTGTTTGGAAAACAACGCCCTCTTTTTCTCTCAAGTTGCCTTTCGCTATGGTTTTAAATCCTGTTTTGTTCCATCCTAGATTGAATGAAAAAAAAAAAAAAAACTGTACTTTTTTTTTTTTTTTTTTTTACCCAGTTACCCGCATTTATTCTTTTCCAATTTTGGGAGGAAAGCAAAATTATAGGAAATCAAAACGAATTGATGGGCTCCTCTCAATGTATCTCATCTCCAATTATACCCAGTGTAATGTTGCCTCATGCTCAGTGTAATGTTGCCTCATGCTCAGTGTAATGTTACCTCATGTCCTGTGTTATGTCTGCACATGCCACCACCACCCCCTGGACGTTACAAAATCAGAATAATAAAAAAAGTAAACATAAAGAGTAGGACAGAAACGACAATTATAATGAGAGACATGAAAAAGGAAATGTTTTGGCTTTTCCCCATTTGCTTTAGATTTTTGTGAACATGGGATATATTATCTAAATTCGTTAGTTGCTTATGTGCGGACTGTTCTAACATTTGGTTATCCTGCACAATTATTTCTCTGTATGTTAATACATTTTCTTTCATTTCTTGTGCAAGTAGGCATAATTCTTCATCGACATTTTCATCACCTGACTTGTTCATACTTTTTCTGGTTTCGATTTTTTTTTCCAAATCTTTTTTTTTATACGCAAAAGAATATTCGTACAACAAATTATCATACTCATCTATTTGTTCGCTCCATTCTTTTAGTACCTCTTCCTTTAAAATTTCTATCCCATCATAGATTTCTTCTTTTCCAGAAGATTGGGTAGTTATTTTTTCATTCTTAGTTTTTTCTTGATTTGTATGCACCACTTCTTCGGCTTGTACATTAATCTGAATACGTCGTGATATTTCAGTTTTACTTCCCTCTGTCGTTTCTTTTTCCTCAACAAGTGGAGGTATAGTAAGAATAATACCACATTCTGAGTTCAAGTTCGAAGGTAAATTTGATGTTACATCCAAATTTATATCTTTCGATTGGTTTAATATGTCCCCCTTTACTCTCGAAATCGATTTAACAACATTTAACCCAGGGGATATTTCATTTAATGATTGCTCTTCTGAGATAGATCTTAAATTAGTATTAATAGGATCAGGAAATGTGTAATATTCTTTAAAGTATGCAGAAGAAATGGAGATATTATTTTTCAAAATGTTTGTAGGAACATAATTATCTATTTCCTTCCGAATGACATGTTCTAAACTTTCCTTTTTTGTAATAATTTTCTTCAAAATATCAATCTCAGTTACGTCTTCATATGAATTTACATTTTGCTTAAGAGATATGGAAAAATCAGCAATGTACGACTTTAGTTCGTTCAAAAAGAGGATTATCTTTTCCTGTTCTTCTCTTTGTTCATTAAAATTATCGCATGTTATTTCTGCTTCCCGGAGAAATTCGAAAATCTCATCAAATGAAATCATTTCCAGTTACACATTGTGTGAGAAACTGCCAAGGAGGGAAGAGGAGGACGAGAAATGGGATGAGATGGGAGAAAAGGGGGGGGTAACAAAAGAGGCAGTTAAAAGAAGACAAAATGGAAAAGGGAAAAAAAAAAAAAAAAAAAAAATACGCTTTCTTCTCCCCCTCTCCCCTGTGTCACATTTAAACCAAAACAATCACCCTTAATTTTTGCAGGTCAAAGGGGTAAATTTTAAAAAATACTGGACGAAACATTTTTTTTTTTTTTTTTTTTTTTTTTTTGTTTGTTTTACTTCCCTTTTTGTTCCGCATTAGTTTAAGCAAATTGTGCACGTAAAAGGGAAGGTGTTTATCACGGATGAGAGAAAAAAATAAAATAAAATAAATAATGAAACGAAAAAAAAAGAAAAAAAAAAAAAAGTGTATCTATATACATATATGTATGTAAATACAAAGTGCGGTGAAAATGAATAGGTGGAGCTCGCCTTGCATATGCTCCGCGTATTCTCCTGTTGGAAAGTGACCACAAGTGCAGAGATTTCTTTTCCCAGTTTTCTCAAACTCCGGGGCTGCTTTTCCATCTGACTCAGTTTTGCCTTCCATTTGTATAAACCTCGTTAGGGTTGAACCACAATGAGAACTACATGACTCGTTTGGAAAATTGTCTCCACTCGCTCGATTTGGGAGATTTTCTCCGTTTTTTTCCGTTTTTCTCCCCTCTGCTGCATTTCACCCAGCCGCACAACTCCCTCAATTTTTACACTCACCCCGAACCCTAAACAGATGTAAATCGTGCACAGGCACGCCAGACTTATAAGACGATTGAACCACCTTTGCGTTAAACACAAATGGTATCCTTTTCAAATTTCATTGCAACGGATTCAGAATGGAATACCTGTTCCTAATCGCTAGAGGAACAATAAGGCAGTCCCAAAGAACACTGATAAATAGAGGGCATGACAAGGGTAAACTGTTTTTTATTGAACGAAGGTGGAAGAAGTATATTCCATTTTATGATATTAAAACTAGAAGGAAGAAAAGGTTGATGAGTGAAGATTCGCAGGAAGCAGAAAATATAAATGTAAATCAACAACATGGAAAGGAAGCACATTCCAGATCAGAGAAAGAGGAATTGTCAAACGATAATGGTAAAGGAATTCGATCGAGAAACATCCTTCCTGCAGTGTCACCTATGAAGGGGCTAAAGTTGCTTCTAAGCTTTAAACATGTAAATAAGGACCGAAACAGTAGCAGAAGTGATAGTAGCAGTGATAGAAGTGGTAGCAGGAGTAGTCGAAGTGTGGTGGGAAGTGGCCCAGAGAAGGAAGAAAAAATCAACTTCAACTTAATTATAAAAATTGACATAAAAAGGGAATCGCTTAGAGGAATGTGTAATCTGACACACAGCGTAGATAGAAACAAAAAAATTTTAGTTTTGGTTGATGATAATCATCAAAATTTAAAAAAGTGCGGAGCAGATTATGTTGGTTTAGAATACATTAATAAAATAAAGAATGGATGGCTAGATTTCCACATTTGTTTAACGGATTTTAAAAATATAAATAAAATTTTGCCAATTGCAAAAATATTAGGTCCTAAAAAGTTAATGCCAAATGTGAAGTCAAATACACTTGTGCATAATCTAGTTGATACGATCATGTCCATTAAAAGTGGAAATCGAATTGAATACAGAAGTGAACAAGTAGATGCAGACACGTTTGATTTATTTGATTCCATTTACAATTTTCGTAAAATTGATTTGGGTTCTATAGCTAACTTGAACGTCGATATTGCATCTACAAGTATGAGCATATATGACACATTAGAAAATATGAAATGCTTCGTTTCAGAAATTTTGAAAAATAATGTTCATTCAGCTCATACAGAAAGGGATACAAAACCAGCCTTCACTTGGCCTCCTATCACATCCAAGAAGAAGAAGAAGAACCAGATGAACTCACTACACTTGCAGGGAAGTAATATTTTAGACGCAAAGGAGCACAGCTTTGAATCCTTTCTCCTTGGAGCTTACGTAACTCTTCCTGGAATTCCAAAAATATTTTTGCATCCACATTTGTTGCACCCGATCTCGAACGGGTACTCTGTGTAGTGTCCAGACAGGATCTCCAATGTAGTGGTGAGCATGATTGTTGTGACGCTTGCCCATTCGTGGAGAACTTGTTAATAAAACATGTCATCCCCAATGAGGAGAGTGAGTGGCTGATAAATGACATTGAGAAAACCACGAGTTAGTCTATCATTGTGTAGTAAAATAGAAGATATAATTTGGAAATAATGTGTGTTGTATGTCTTTTGGGTGTAGGGAATTGATTTTTTTTTTTTTTTTTTGTGTGTGTGTGTCCTTATCAGCGAGATTAAACCATGTAGGTATCTCTCTTGAAATTGAAAAAATGAAGAGAGTTTGCATATCAGGGAGAGAGGCCAAAATATAGATGTGTTTTGGGTATATCTCCTCCCTTTTTTTTATTTTATTTTTTTGAAAACAATTTATAGTTAACTTAAACAGATATATGCAAAATGAAAGAGTTATTATGAGTATATTTTCTACGTTGAAAATGGGGAGGCAAAAAATGGGGAGGCAAAAAATGGGGATGCAAAAAATGGGGAGGCAAAAAATGGGGAGGCAAAAAATGGGGATGCAAAAAATTGGGGATGCAAAAAATTGGGGAAAAATATTTACCCCATTTCGTTTCAACAAAATGGATATTTCTTCCCTCCATATGTGTATACTTTCTATGCACATTTTTCTTTTTTTTTTTTTTTTTTTTTTTCTTCTCATTTGTCATTTCGTATATATTTGTACACGTAATACAAATGTTGTTCCCTACATTTAGCAAAAAAAAGAAAAAAAATGGTGTAAGTGAAGACACAAAAAGCAAAAATAGTTCCATCCCATAGTAACAGTCGAGGTAGGCAAATAAAAGGGACATTTCTATATGGGACTATTTGATCAAAAAAAAAGCAGAGATGAGCAAAGTAAAACCTGGCAAAAAAAGGGGGGGGTAAAACAAAGTAAGAAAAAAATACAACCCCCTCTTATCACGTCTGGCCATACGGAGGATGGTGTGTGTGTGTTTTTTTTTTTTTTTTTTTTTTTTTTTTTTTTTTTTTTTTTTTCCCACAGTTTTTCAATTCAGAATGGAGTAGTAACACAAATGAGTATGAGACAGAGAGGGGATAGGGGAAAAAAAAAAAAAAAAAAAATAATAAATAAATAAAATAAGCAGACATAAGTGATAGGAAAATGGGGGACCTTCGATCCACGTGTATCAACAAAGTGATGATCCCTCGAAGCAGTACTTCCCCAAAATTTACTGAGACCAACTGGTGATTATTCAAAACTTTGGAGGGAAAGTTTTTCCTTGAAGCGCTCGTATTTTAGTACATCCTCAGGTTGTATAGAAATACGGGCATTTTTGAAAGCCAAATCGAAATGCTTCTTCGAGAGAGTGGGTACTGGGTCATGGGGATCAGTGACAGCCCCACCTGTGCGTGTATGTGAATTTCCCTTGCTCTTCTTTCTAAGGTTAAGCAAATGAATTGTTTCTTTAATTGCTTCATTAACAGCACTTTGACAAAGATTTGTTATGTCAGCACCGGAGAATCCTTCGGTCCGTTTTGCCATATCATGTATGTCAACATCATCATTCAAGGGTGTATTTTTCAAAATTGCCTTGAAAATACTATACCTACTTTTATAGTCTGGTAAAGAAATATATATAAGTTTGTCCAATCTTCCAGGTCTTGTTAATGCTTTATCAAGTATATCTGGTCTGTTAGTAGCTGCAATTATAAAAATTGTTTTTTTTTCGTTTATTCCATCGATTTCCGTTAGTATCTGATTTATAACCCTGTCACTAGCATCGTTATTGTTATTACTGTTACGTTCCTTAGCCAAGGAATCAATTTCATCAAAAAATATTATACATGGAGATGCAGCACGTGCTTTATCAAAAAGATCTCTAACATTTGCCTCTGATTCACCAAACCACATAGTCAATAATTCGGGTCCCTTAACAGAAATAAAATTGGCATTACATTCATTTGCAATGGCTTTGGCTAGCAAAGTTTTTCCACAACCAGGAGGCCCATATAATAATATCCCTTTATTATAATTGGAATTAAATTTATTATACAAATGTTTGTATTCTAATGGGTAAAGAATTGTTTCTTTTAATTGTTCCTTCACATCTTGCATACCTCCAATATCATCCCATGTAACTGTTGGAATTTGTACTTGTCTTTCTCGTAGTGAACTTGGGTTACATATGTTCAGTGCGTGTTGGAAATGCTTTGCTTTGATTGTTAATTTGTTTAATATATAGGACGGAATCTTTTTGCCTTTACTATCTAATTTTTCTTCACTTTTATTTTTGATATTTTCCTTCAACTGTGATCCCTTTTCCCCCGGTTTGTTGGTTAACTTCTCCGCTTTTGTCCATGTATCTACTGCTACTATCTCTTTTCTTTTCTGTTTCGATTTGAAGAAAAAATTTTTTCCCTTTTTTTCACTTACGTTACTTTCAGAAATTTCCTTTCTTCTGTCTCTGAATGGGAGGAAATTTTTTGTCTGCATATTCGTGGACGTGCCTGCATGCAATGGTCCCACATGCGCTGTTATTGCAGCATCTATCGATTCTGGATTGGAGTTTTTCTGATTTAGTACAGATTCCCCTTGTCCTCTTTGCGTTTCTTCATTTTCTCCTTTCCAATCATCTACACTTATTTTCATAAACTCAATAAAATCCTCCTCTTCTAGATCCAAAAAATGGATATGTTCCTTTATACACTGAATGGCAGCTTCGAAACATAATTGTGCAAGATCTGCACCGACATATCCATGACATTCTTTGGCAATTTTTCTCAAATTGACATCTGCATCAAGTTTCATTTTCTTGGTCTTGGTTAGTAATATTTCATATCTCCCTTGCTCATCTGGAACTGGAATTTCAATTTCTCTGTCAAATCTTCCAAATCTTCTCAAAGCTGGATCGATAGAATTTGGTCTATTTGTAGCAGCTAGAACTAGAACGTTATTATTTTTTTTGAGTCCATCCATTAATGTTAACAATTGTGAGACAACTCTTTTTTCTAATTCGTTATTACTTTTGCTTCTCTTATTTGCAATGGAATCAATTTCATCAATAAATATAATACAAGGAGTTTTTTCACTAGCTTTTTTAAAAATTTTTCTCAATTTTTGTTCAGATTCTCCAATATGTTTAGACATAATTTCTGGGCCATTAATAATGTAACAATATGCATTACTTTCATTTGCAATTGCTTTGGCTATGGAAGTTTTTCCAGTTCCTGGAATTCCATGCATAAGTACTCCTTTTGGTGCAGATATTCCTATACTTATAAAAATTTCTGGATATTTTAAAGGTAATTCGATTAACTCTCGTATTTTGTTTAATTGCTTTTTCATTCCTCCTAGATCTTCATATGTAATGTCATCTGTATGTTCTTCATAATCTTCTCTATTTAGATATTCTTCATCCAAACTGATTTCTGAATTGTCTCCTAAGTATCCATACTGATGTTCACATGCATCATTTTCTTCACATTGTTCATTAAATATTTTCATCACTTTAAATTCAACTTTTTTTCCCTTATATGGTATGTATATATTAGAATTCACACATAATGGTTTATAGCTATTTTTTAAATATGGATTTATAACTTCATTTTTTAGGTCATTTCTGCTTAAACTTCCAACTGTATCATTAAATGGACTTAGCACAACGTTTCTTATTTCGTTTACCTTCATGAGTGGGTATATCTTAATAATATCATTATGCATAAGTCTTAAATTCTTTTTCATTGAAAAGGAGATTATAACGAAATGTTTTTTTAAACTTTTGTCTAATTTTGCTATTCCAAGCATTTCTTTTTTTTTCTTTCCTTTTAACAAAACGGTAAATCCTTCACTTATGTTAAGTTCATCCATTTTTTCTTTACTCATATATATCTCAAAGTTGTCTATATTCTCATCTATATTTTCAACAAGACAATATGATGGAAATTTACCACTTTCCAATGCTTTTAGCAAAAAATTCGTTTCCTTATCATAATCAGATCCTCTATTGGGACGTTCCGTTTCAACCCATGACTTTTTTTTATGATAGTTTTCCTCATTAGGTTTTTTCTCTTTATCTGGATCTGGAGATTCATTTCCTTCATGTCCATTCTTAATGATCATATTTTTTCGATCTTCCTTTTGTATTTTCTTTTCCCCTTCTCCAAATGGCCAAAATTTGCTAATAATTCCACTCACAATGTTGTTTTGAGGTTTTTGTTCTTCTTGAACTCGTGGATCCGAATCAATTAGATTCTTCAAACGGTTAGTCTCATTGGAAGTGATTCTATCATTCATCCAAAGCGAATCAGGTCCCGTGTGATGATTCTCACCGTACCTCGAATGGTAATTAAAACTGTGATGATTGGGTTGATTACTCTGATCCAAGTGATTGGCACACCTTGGCGAAAGTTTGGAATCCAAAACGGTATCAGATGTGTAATTTTTCTTGCACTCCTTGGATAGATTAGTCTCTTTTTTATCATAACATGGATTTAATTCAACTTGATGTCGATCCTTTTTCTTACATGTAGACTCATTTGCACAGATTAAATTTTTTTCTCGGTTTTCCTTGCTTCTACCAGAATTTATAATAATTATATTACTTTTCCATTTGTCTTGTGCATTTACGTCAAATGAAGGGTTACTAAGAATTGCTGTGCTTATGGACGAAAATGGATTTTTTTTTCTTCTTAATGGATATAAAAATGGAGATGTTGTAAATTGTCTTTTCTCATAAAAAGGGGAATTAATTTTCCGTGCACTATTGCATAAGTCGTAGTGTTTATTTTTTTTAATTCCAATTTGACGTGAAGGTGGGATGATTAAGGGTAATGTAAGCACAAAAATAAGAAAATAACATGACAAGAGCGCTTTAAGCACAAAAAACGGGAGTTGTGTTTTTTCCATTTTCATTCTTCTTATTTTACATTTTTGACGACCTTAGAAAATGCGTGGCAGCGAATTGATGCAATGTGGAGTGTGGGTCTAAGGGTCTTTTGCTTTTTAGAGCGGCACCTAGCGAGTTTGCTTCGTCCACGCCGTTTGTTTGTTTTCTCTATATTTTTTGTCTACGTTCTGCCCACGTTCTGCCCACGTTCTGCTTATTTTTTGCCCACTTTCCTACTTTCAAACGAGTGAGATCTGTTCCACTCATTCCACCACTAAATGAATGTCTCCAACCTACCCCCCTCTGAGTACAAATGCATAAGTAATAATTGTACCGATGGGAACAGGAAAAGTGGAAATTAAATGAAATATACAAAATGAAATAAATAAAATGAAATAGAATGAAATAAAATAAGGCAAAAAAAAAAAAAAAAAAGGTAGGAAAACTTTTCCAGGGGCAGCAGGCTGCGGGAGGTATGGGTCTATATCAATTCCTGTTGGAAATTCAGCAAGTGGAGAAAAAAAAAAACGCATGAATGTGTTCCACTCTTTTTATGTGCTAATATAAGTACATGGGTGCTTGCAGAGTAAAAGTCGTAGCGTAGAAGATGCAACGTTGAAGTCGGAAGCAGTTGTGTAGCCACGTAATACTCTGTAACAAGCTCGTTTTATGAAAAAAAAAAAAAAAAAAAAAAAAAAAAAAAAAATAATATAATAAAATAAAAAAAAATTTCAATCACATTTTGTATCATACACATGTGCCTATCTGAATGTATGGCTATTTTTTTCTTTTTCTTTCCTTGTATGCAAAAATGGATATAGAGCCGCGTTTATATAGGGTATGGCGTAAAAAAAAAAAAAAAATTATGAACGGCAAGGTATTCTTTTTCAAAACTGTAGGGTAGGAATTTTTTTTTTTTTTTTTTTTTTTTTTTTTTTTTACATCACATGTGTTGGGGAAAGCTTTTCTTTTTGTATTTTTCCAAAGAGGCACCAAGTGGCATTGTGTAGGCCATGGATTTTCTCCTCTCAGCTATTTGTGATTCGCGTTTACATGAACGATTGCATGTCGGATTTTTTACAAAATTATTACAACGTTATGAATCACAACTCAGGCTGAACAGTTCGAGCGATACTCACATATGTATGTAAATATATATATATGTATGTATACACCATCTGTGCACAAGTTTTTCATTTCTACATGGATGAGGCAACGTTGACAATTTTTATTCACACGTGAGGATTGAACACAAGTGACACAGATAGTCACTCTTCCATTTGTAGATAGAAGTTACTCCCCCCCTTCACACAAATACATACACACACCGTTTGAATTATTCTCCTCTGCCCGCTCACCTCTTTCTCTTCAAAAAATACCCCTGTCCATTTGGCTAAACAAACAAGTATTTAGTGCTCAAGTATACATTACAACAGCAAAAATAATAAAAGAAAAGAAATAATAAAATAAATATACACACACATATATATATATATATGCTTTTTCTACATAAGAAGCGCTAAAAAAACAAAGCCCCCCAAAACGACAGTTTTGCATATCAATGGATAATAAAATCCCTTCTCTTTATTCACCTGCTTTATCGGCACTACATTTTCTTTCCATTTTTTTTTTTTTTTTTTTTTTTTTTTTTTTTTGACATATTAAATTGAAATAGTAACATACTTTTACATAAATAAAAAAGAAAAGCAAAAGAGAAAATTTAATTATGTGTTCTCGTTATATGTGGAGTGAAAAAATCTAATAATCCAAGTGGTAACAAGTTGTAGATGGAAAAAAAAAAAAAAAGAAAAAAGAAAAAGTGTTAGGTTTACGGGAGAAAGGCACATTTATATACATGCATAACACATCAGTTTAATTGGGTGATATTTGAAAGTAAGAATATCACATATATATTCACAATTTAATAACTAATAATTAATTATTAACAATATTTCAGGAATGATTTAATTTCAAAAAAGGTGTGGTGCGTGCGCTAGGAAAAGTACACGTATGAGTAACATAAAAAATGGGGATAATAAAAACATAAAAAAAAAAAAAAAAAAACATTAAAAAAAAATTGCGAATTCATAATTACGCATTTTACGGCATATTTAATTATAATATTTTTCTTATGATTCTCTACACTTTGTAATAAACCAAGCGTAGATAGATTGCTTCTGTTTCATTCACATGTAACCTGCCACCACCCCCTTTTCTTCTCCCGTTCGCTTTCTTCTGACTTGACTGAAGTGGTTTTGGAATTATCTTTTATCCTTTTCCAGCCAAACGGATACACTTCCATGCTGCTACATTTCCATACAGCTAATCTGCTACACTTCCATGCTGCTATTCTGCTGAACAGCGTGCAGGCGCACAAGGACTGGGGGTGGGAGTAGAACAACGTGAATATTTCCGCTAGATTCTGATGTCGTCTATTGGTGGCACATGGGACAGTTGGTATATATTTATACTGCAAAGGTTGGTGGATGTGAATGGCTACATTATCATCCATAAGTTTTCCCCATTGTTTCTCGCTTCAAGAATGATCAATCATTTTATCTTTTGAAATATAATAAATAGTAAGTGCAGACATATTACCAGTGGTGTGGAGTAGTAAGTGATAGAGTGTACTATATGAATTGCAACTGAATTTTTTACCTGTTAAGTATAATATGGCTATAATAATACCACCAAATAAACATACAAAAAAACACTGAGAATTTATATTGAATGAATGTACTGCATGTGATAAAAAGTTCATAAGTGCCATTGCCATATCTACTGTTCTTCTTATACCTAATTCTGGTTTTCTCCAATGTATTATCGAGGTTAAAAATAACCCAGTATTTACAAGTGCCAAGTGGTAAAATTTACAGTAAAAAGAAAATATTAGAGAAATTGATAACTGAAATGAAGAAAGGAACAATATGTGCTGACATTCGTATGTTACATATTTGCATGGATTTACTTTTTCTTCTTTTGTGTCCAAATCATCACTATTCTTTTCACATTCTAAGATGCTTTCTTCCCCTTTGTGCTTGTAGCAATTGCGAGTGCATTGGACTATTCGATCGTAGATTCTCATTTTGGAAAATACTAAATCCAAATCTGGTCAACTTGACGTGTTTATATATATATGTGTATATATATATATATATGTCTGTGCGTATATATATAGGTATGTACATATATATACACATCCGTGTGTCTGTGTTGAGAAGGAGGGTCGATGCTTCTTTTTACTTTTCTTCTTTTAACTATGTAAGATGTAAGCACTAAATTTCAAAAATTATGGGGGGAGTGGGATAGAGGAAAGACACCATTCTCTTCCCCTTAATCGGTGTAAAATAATGGAAAAATGTACAAAAAAATACACAAAAAATAGAAAAAAAAAAAAAAAAAAAAAAAAAAAAAAACATTAATTTCTTTAATTTGGGTTGAAAGCTAATTTAACAAAATTCCATAAACAACATACCCCCCTACATATCTCCCTCATTGAACTTATGCATTTTTTTTTTCTTTTTTTTTTTTTTTATATACATGCGAGTTGCACATATGTGTTTACATTCGGTAGATTACTAATACACATGTATTTTGTGTATACAAATAATTTTCCCCTTTCCCATTTCAATTTTTTTTTTTTTTTTTGGTGCCTTTTATACTATTTATAAGTTTATTCGATAGGACACCAAAGCTTGTGCATCTATATACGTGGCCATCAAAAAATAGACATGCGTATGTACATGTGCATGTTCCACGTAGTGGATTTAATGGACATTAGGAACGTTCTGCGAGATTCTATACAGGTGAGGTGTGAACAAGGGATGCAGAATGTTCCAAAAGAATTCTGTAATGTCATGGGAGATGCATAGATTTCAGATGAAACATATCGGAATAGAAGAAGAGCAAAATTCAACAGGTTCTTAACACAACTGATGGCTGAGAAAAGTTTATGGAATGGTAAAAAAAAAATAGACTCATATAGAAAATCTCAAATTTTTTATGATCAAGAAGGTAGTACATGAATGAGGAATGGAGAAAATGGAAATATGGAAGGATATAGGGGAGCGAAAAAACATAAACGGGAAAAAACAGAAATAGAAAAAAATAGCAAAAGAAAAAAATAGAAATTGAAAAAGATATAAATAGAGAAAAAAAATAGAAATTGAAAAAGATAGAAATGGGAAAAAATAGAAATGGGAAAAAATAGAATTAGAAAAAAAAATAGAAATTGAAAAAAAAAATAGAAATTGAAAAAAATAGAAACATAAAAATTTAGAAAAGAGAAAATATATATGCTTAAGAATCTAAAAAAATTAAAGAATTCATCAAATGAAGTGTTTCTTAAAATTGCAGTTTTTCTAGAAAACAAAGAAATATACAAAAAATACTCTGTGCAAAAAAAAAAAAAAAAAAAAAAAGAAAAAAAAAAGCATGAACATATTAAAAAAAAGTAATTAAATAAAATAAACTAGTTTGAAATATAGCATAAGTACTGTATATATGAAATATAGGATAAAAGTAAAAAATATACGTGTATAAAATAATAATAACAATTCCGCTTTAAATAATATAAGTTAAAATTCTGTAGGGCGTTAAAGTGAAAGATTAAGTTAGAGAGTAAAAAAATTAGGTTATAGATTCGAGCAAAAATTAGGTAATAGATCAGTGCATAATTTAAGGTATATATCAGAGCATGATCTAAGGTATATATTAGAGCATGGTCTAAGGTATATATTAGAGCATGGTCTAAGGTATATATTAGAGCATGGTCTAAGGTATATATTAGAGCATGGTCTCAGGTTACATATCAGCACATATTTTAAGGTATATATATATATATATATATATATATATATATATATATATATATCAGTGCATAAATGAAAACTTAAATTCTCGACCCCCCTCCCTATCTCCTCCTTTTCACTTGTAAAAATAAAAATTGAGGAGACAAAAAACAGTCGCAATGAAAACGTACCTAAAGAAGAAGAAGATGATGGAAGGTGAAGAAGTAGATGGAAGGTGAAGAAGTAAATGGAAAGTGCAGAGAAGTAAATGGAATGTGAAGAGAAGTAGATGGAAAGTGAAGAGAAGTAGATGGAAAGTGAAGAGAGGTAGATGGAAAGTGAAGAAGAAGGCCTTGAAACGAACCTCAAACATTTTTCTTCCCATTGGCAAAAAAAAAGGAGGTAAAAAAAAAAAAAAAAAAAAAAGTTTCAAATGGTATATATAATAAATAATATATGGGTATTACATGGCAAAACGGAATATATATATATATAAAAGACATAAATACGAGTCATCCTCTTCACAATAAGAAAAAAAAAAAAAAAAAAAAAAAAAAAAAACTGTGCATGTTCTGCTATTTCTTTTCTATGACTAATCGGGATGGGTATAGATTTAAAAAAGAAAAATTTTTAAAAAATGAACGTGCATTCTAGTAGGTATATGTTATATGAGATGTGTAATGTATAACCCTAAATCCTGTATATTAGATGCTTTGGGTATGTTCCACGTACGTGTGGTGTAGTTCTACAATTTCTATTTATGTATTATTTGTATATATATGTATATATATGTGCATATATATATGCACACATTACATGCACGCTGTGATGTTTGTCCAGCTTAAATGTGAAGAAACATTCATTGATCATGAAAAATAAAAATGAGAAAAAAGCAGTAGAGTATTATATAGGAATGGGGGAAAAGAGTCTTATTGCTTGAATTTTTTTTTGTCACATCATTTAAGAAAAAAAAAAAAAAAAACGAGGGAAAAGAAAAAGTGGTAAGAAAAAAAAGGCAGCAAAAGTGATAAGAAAAAAAAGGCAGCAAAAGTGGTACGAAAAAAAAGGCACGCAAAAGTGGTACGAAAAAAAAGGCACGCAAAAGTGGTACGAAAAAAAAAGGCAGGAAAAGTTTGGAAAACTGAAAATGTTCAAAAAATTTTGGCAAGTTGAAAATGTTAGAATAGAAAAGTTGAAAGGGTGAAAAATAGCACAATTAAATTTTTTTCTTTTTTTCATTTTGATCATGTTAGAAAAGAGTTTTACAATATAATATTATTATGTATGATGAGTATATGTGCAACAATGGTACATATATAAGGTATGATATTTATATACACGCATGCACGTGTGCATGTGTATGAGTCCTCTTATCTTATATGTGTTCTCTAAAATGGTCGAAGTTTCTGTCATGTATATATATATAGGTAGGGTGACAGTTTTTCATTAACTTCCTTTTCCCCCTTAATTAAGAGATTAGGGTGGGGGGAGAAAAAAAAGCACTATACTAATATGTTAGCATAATGGTGTTGGCAGTGGTATAGTTAGTATTTTTAACAAAATAAAAAGCTATTGAATATTTATTTATTTTATTTTTTTTTTTTTTTTTGATGTGTTCCTATAATTCCAATCCCTTAAAGAAAAAATACACTATGCCTAAAATTAACGCATGTGTTATTTTTCCGTGTAATGGTAAAGTGGAAAAACTAATAAAAAAAACGTAGAAAAAAATAACGTCTGGGTATAGACAGACAGTGTATTTTACAACATGTCAATAATTACAAACATGTACACATGCACTTATCAAGGATTTATAAACCTTCAGAGAACATCCGTGTTTTTTTTTTTTTTTTTTTTTTTTTTTTTTTTTTTTCCTCACCCCCCGTAGTGAGTTTTCTCAGATTAGTAGGTGTGTGTTTTATTACACAAAGGAACAATTCATTCCCTCCTTCCACTTTAAGAAGTATCTTTTTTTTTTTCTTCTTTTCCATAAGTGTGTGAAGGTATATTCTACACAAAGTAAAAAGAGTAAATGTTATATATGTTTATGTATATATATATATATATATATATATATATATATATATATATGTACTGCCATTACAAGCATGTGCGAATCAAAGGTGAGATATATATACCAAGAACTAGAGAAAAAAAGAAGATATTCTGCAAAGTAACGTAACGTGCACCGTTTATGCGTGAAACTTGCTTTTCTGGAAATGTTCTACAAAAGTGTATAAATTAAATAATGTTATTTTATTCTCTCTGCATGTATGTAAACGGTACGTGGTCATTTTTTTTTTTTTTTTCCCTTCTTTTATTGTATTATTTGAAGAGGGGTACCAAAAAAGAAAAAAGAATATCTTTTGCATTCTCCTATTTGTTAAAAACTGTTTAGAGGGAAGAAAGATGGAATCGTTTTGTTCCTCCTCCTTTGCCTCACCTTTTTTCTTTTCTTCTTTTTATGAATTAGAAAAATACATATATATATATATATACGTTCATCTGGGTTTATGTCATGTTGGTTATTATAATCTTTGTTCGGACATAGTAAGCCAAAAAAGGGAAAGCCCTTTTTTTTTTTTTTTTTTTTTTTTTTCCACATATCTTTACAAAATGGCCATATTAAACAAAAGAATACTAGCCCATTTTTTAAAATCGAAAGAATTGCAATCAATTAGAAATGGAAAAAGAAGGTTTGTGCAACTGAAGAAGAATAACATCTACCTGGATAAGAAAGGTCCTAGCGAATGTAGTAAATCCTTGAAGCCAGGTGGTAGCGAAAACAATGAAAGCTATACTATCCGCACTAGCAATGATAGAAGTTATGATGGAAATGTCAGAATTGATCACTTATCTAATCATACTTCTAATTCGTACAAGAATGATAAACTTAGTGGTGAGAATAAAGCAGGGAGGATGTCAGAGGCGATGCCTTATCAAAGGCAGAAGGAACAAGATGGAATATGGATGATGGAAGAAAAAGAAGAGGGTGAAATAGAAAGGAGAAAAGAAAACATAAAAATGAATGATTTCCACTATTTTAACATTTATCTACTGAAGGGAAATGATTTTGTGATGTTCGTGTCAAGATACAACTTTTATGAAAACAAGAACATGTACGCATGCATATTAATCCATTTGAATACTATATACAGCACATTAACTGTTAAGGACATAATTAAAATTTTAGAAAAAATATATGAACAGAACAAAACATCTTTTTCTCATCATTTTATCAAAGGAAATAAAATACTAAACTTGTATACACATTTATGTAATAATCTGAATAAATTCAACACATCAGATATTATTACTTTATTGAAATGTTGTTCATACACCACTAATGAGTATCCTGTGAAATGCTTAAAACTTTTAAAAAAAATTATTTTATCAAAACCTTTGTCTTGTTTCACCAATAAACAAATACATGACATATGCTCTTGTTTAATTAAAATAAAGAATGATTTTCACTCTAAGAAATTATCATATGATGATACACTTCATCTTAAGATGCAAAACCATTTGAGGTGCACCATTCTGAATATGGGTATGCACCACTTTTTTGAAAACCTACCCCTGTACATCAGCCTGACAAAACCGTATCCCTACGAGGGTTCTACCCGCCTTGCATCTAAATTTGTTGGCCATGTGGAACTGGCTAGTTGTGACAACGATGTGAAACTGGCTAGCTGTGCTAACCAAAACAACTCTGTCAATCACGACAGTCGAAGGATGAAGAACACATGTGAACTTATCCTACTCAACAAGATGAATGAACTTAGCGGTAATTCAGTCTTAGCTGCCGTGAGTATAATAAAATGGATGGATCTAAAGAACCCGTCTCTTTTTATGCATATATGTGAAACCTTTTTCCAGAATATGTCATGTCTGGATACAAAATATGTAGTTCGTCTTTGGAGAAAATGCCACAGTTTAAAACTTCAAAAAAAAGTGAAGAAGGATTATTCCCCAAGGGAAGATAGAAGTGGAGGAATGGTAAACTTCCATCCAGATGAAACAAATAAAAGAACCAGGAACATGTTTATCGCTACTCATCAGCATCGTGATGGTGATAATAATGATGATCTATCATCAGGTACAATGGATGAAAGGCGAACTGATGATAATAACAACGTTGACTTGAACATAAGGGGGAATGCTGAAACTGCACAAACAGAAGAAGAAGAAGAAGAAGAAGGTAGCAATGTGCTTTTAAATTTTATTAACAACAGAGTTTATCAAATGAGTCTTGCACAGTTAAACAGAGTTACATATGGCATATACAGCTTTTTAGAAAACATGAAACAATATTCTCATTTAAGCAATTTGAAAAATAACATGAACCTTCTATTTTCCATGTCTGTTCAGCACGTCACAAATTATTTGGACAGAGAAATATTTCATCATAACAGTGGAAATAAGAGTAATTGGAATAACAATATTGATAGTACTACTTCTAATAAGGAGGGTTCATTATTTCTGGATAGAAGCTACATTTATGGAGGGGATCACACGTCACTCCAGAGTGACTTACAAAAAGTAGGAAGAAACGCGTATGATATTAATATGAACACAGATTATATATACATTTCATCATCCGGAGTGTACGTGAACAAAGGAAGGAAGAAATTTTTTCACATGGATGGAGAAGAAGTTTTATCAGAAAATGATTCTGTGCATCTGTCTAATAAACGTGGGTTCAACGAGGAATTGTCCTCTAGTGAATCACTAGCTGATCAGACGAAGGTTACACATATTTGTGATATTCTACTTAACATAAGCTACCTGAACATAAGCAAAAATCATCGAAAAATTAAACATGTTTACGAATATATGAACAAATTAATTCGACAAGAAAAAATCCTGATGGATGTGAATAATCTCCTTAACGTGTTAATGTGTATATCAAATCTTTACTTCAAAACAAGCGACAATTACGTCTTTCATTTGTACAGGTATATATTACACATGTTAGAAAAAAAAAAATGGGAATTCAATACAAATAACTTTAACAAATTATCAATTGCTATTGCGCCACTGTTACACGAACAGAATAACCTAATATCAAATTATTCAGATTTTCTTTTGTTTTTTATTAAAAATGAAGTTATTCCTTTGAGGTCATGTGTATTCACACTCCAGAATATTATGAAAAACATTTCCTTCAAATTAAATGAATCTCTAATTATGTTAAAATTAGCAATTATAAGTCGAATCGATTCCTTTTTACAAGATGTATTTGAATATACTTCCCATGGGTTATCTTCTGCAGAAATTGGCAAAGCAGATTCGTCATATAAATCAAACACAGGTGATCACCCTGATGATGATTTCAAAAGTTATTTACTTCTACATTCAATTAACGAGAGTACAATGACTTGCATAATTATTAGCTTATCTATGATCTTGCAAAATTCAAAGTATGGTTCCAAGATAAAAGATGAGGCAACAACTCTTATATGTAGTATAGTTCGTCATATATCCAATAACTCTTTAGAGAAAATACCTAAGAAGTACATTCATGCTGAATTATTGGAAGCACTTTCTAATGAGGAGGGCAGAATCAAGAAGTTTTTTTTTAAGACAGACGTGTGATGGCTAGGGCCGATAGAGGAAATGCACCTTCGAACAATTGGAAAAGCAACTCCTGACAGTGATGATATCTTTGTATTGCTTCTCGTTCCATTTGTGTGCCATGTTTTTATCGTTCATAACATAGATGGGAAAATGAAATTATATATATATATATATATATATTTTCTTTTTTTTTTTTTTCATCACCAAGCGATGTTACAATTGTGAAGAAAGTTGAAAACAAGGTAGGGCTGCAATGTTATATCTCCCCTTATAATAGTATGCAGAATGTGAATATTTATAGAATACACTTGTGTTATTGGGGACGTGATCTCCTGGAGCAGTAAGAACTGGTGTAACCACAGTTATGCAATAAAAGTGTGCATGATTTGTATTTAATCATTTAAGTCATTTTGATCTAATTCGAATGAACATCACAAGTGAAACTGTTGCAACTGGGATATGGCATGAGTAGAAAATATTCACCACTCCCTAACAAAGAAATAAACAATATTTCCCCTCATTTTGCTTCCAAACAGTTTATGAATTTTTTTTTTTTAAGCAAAATAAATACTAATTTTTTTTTTTATGTATGAACTGTGTGGTATATATATATATATATATATATATATTATTCCAAGCATATTTCTTTAATGATTTGTATCTTTAAACGAGTATTAAACCTAATTTTTTTTTTTCTTTTTTTTATGTTTACTTAGATCTACACGCTCATATGTGTCTGCATTGTAGAGAAAAGAGTGGTTGGGGCAACATTTTTTCCCATTTTACATGTCCATTTTTGCACCATTCTGTTTTTTTCAGTCATTATTCGTTATACAAGCAATTCTTCCCTTGTGTACATGAAGTAAATAGGACGTGAAAAAAAAAAAGTGTGTAAACTGAGAAGATAACATGCGCCAAATTTTGTAACAGCAAATATATATGTAAAATATGTAACGGAAAAAACACACACAGATAGAGGGAAAAAAAAAAAAAAAAAAAAAAACTATATCCAGATTATATATGCCGTTTTGACAATTTAATAGTTGTATATTTACGTGGCACTAATGGGTGTCCATTTCCACGTCAGTGTATTTTTTTTTTTTTTTTTTTTTGACGTAAGCAAATCTTTTGCGTATTTTATTTTACGTTACTTTGTTTTGTTTTATTTATTTATTTATTTATTTATTTATTTATTTATTTATTTATTTATTTATTTTTTTTATTTATTTTTTTTCTATCCCCCCCACTTCTTTTGTGAGGCATGTTTGACCACACCTGGTTAGATAATTTTACTTTTTTTTCATCCCTTCTCGTCCATCTTGTGCTGTACACTGGGGAAACAGATATTTTAAAATAATACATGAGTGTTATGATTTACCTGAGAGTAATTTAGTTATTGCATTTTTTTTTTTTTTTTTTTTTTTTTCCCCTCTTCTCGCGTGTCAACGCAACGTCATATGTAAAAATTTAACAAAGCAGGCGATTTTTCTTTTTTTTTCTGTTTTTTTCTTTTTTTTTCTTTTTTTTTTATTGAAATGATAATGTGATTACCTTCCATTGGATAAAAATATCTCAATAGATGGAGAAATAAAAAAAAAAAAAAAAACGAAGAAAAAAACAAAAAAGAGGAAAAAAAAAAAAAAAAAAAAAAAAAGCTGTAAATATTATACTACTCCTTTTAATAAACTTTTTAACAAGAAGGAACGATGAATTTCAGCAATAATGATAAGAAAAGAAACCTACCTTCACATGCAGATGAAAATGAATACGACTTTTCTCAACCACCCTCAGACGTGGAAGGTGTTGGAAATACCACTACAAACTTAAACACGAATATGGTTCCTAATGCTGCAAGTTCCTCTTCCATGCATAATCCATATTATTATGGAGGATCCATAATACCACAATTTCCATTTAGTGGATCCATGTATAACCACCAGCCCATGAATTATGGTAACATGATGCCATATTGTGATTACAATTATGTTAATAAAAGATCTACAAAAAAGAAAAAAAATTACCACAATTATGCAAAGAATCAGAACAATGGACTCTCAATACTGAAGGAGGCCCTCGTGGATCCCTGGGCACAGTTGTATACCAAATATCCGAACATCATCTTTGACTAGCCCCACACGTGGTGTCGTGAAGAAGTGGTGCAGTGAAGAAGTGGTGTCGTGAAGAAGTGGTGCAGTGAAAAAGTGGTGTCGTGAAGAAGTGGTGCAGTGAAAAAGTGGTGTCGTGAGGAAGAGGTGGAAATTTCTAACACCTTCTAGGTAAGCGTTTTATCATGTCATCAAAATTTACGACTCTATATACATCACGTGTTTATTCTCACTACCCTAATATGGCATATTTTTTTTTTTTTTTTTTTTTTTTTTTTGTAATTCCCATGACCCCTATTCAACTCGTCTGTCTCGGGTGGGGTATAGTAAGTCCAAGCACATGGAAAATGCATAACGTACGAATTCGAGATTTTTTTTTTTTTTTTTTATATATTTCTAATCGGTTTCTTTTTTTTTTTTTTTTTTTGTTTTTCCCAACCACGTCGGGTTAAGATGAAATTGGTGTTGTTATTTTTTTTTCATCACTTATTATTTACGTCTCAATATTTGCTTCTTATTATTTACTTCTCAATATTTACTTCTCAATATTTACTTCTTATTATTTACTTACCGTTTTCTTCTTACTATTTATTTCCTATTTCATTATTTTCTTTTCACCCATTTGTGATGCGCTCCTGATGCCCTTTTCAAACTCATAATAACGGGACTTATTTTTTTAAAAAAAAAAAAAAAAAACAGAAAAAAAAAAATTGCATACTTTCATTTGAGTTAAAAAAAAGTTGCATACTTTCATTTGAATTAAAAAAAAAAAAAAAAAAAAGAATGGATCAATTACGTCTAAGACAGGCGGGGCACATCATACACTGATGGAAGTTTTTCCACAGTGGCATAAAATTTTTGTCAAAAAAAAATTAACATTATATTATCGACGATCAAACGCAAGTATTTTTAGGTACCAAAGTACTGGATCAAAAGTATGCACAGAGGGTGAAGAAACAGATCCTGTTAATTTTTTCTACATTCTTTACACGGCACCTGAATGGTGTATATATACATATATATATATATATAGCACCCTATGTCTCAAACATAATAGACAATAACAAAATATCACCTATCTCATAATTCAATGACAAGAGGGTCTTGTTATCTTCCCTGTAATTGTATTTCGTGCTATGCACCTTTGATAAGAAGGCTATTTTTTTTTTTTCATTGGAATATGCTTTGAAAATCCAATGAGCATTCCTCTTTCGGCTCTCCTGATAAAAGTCTTTAACTAGGGTTACAATTTCCCTCATGGTTATATCAAGCCATGCATATATTTGGAGTTCATTACTGTTTTGATTATTTTTTGTAAATTTTATTTCGTCTACATCGTCATAATCATTGTCAAGTTTGTAAAATAATCGAAGAAGAAATGGACAAGTTTTTTCACGATCAATAATTCCATTTTCATTTTCCATTCCGTTCATATTATGTCTATTATTACTGTTTCGAATGTAACGAAAATGATAATGTTGATAATCTTGTTTTTCATTTTTAAACAGAGATACTCCATCTTGATTATATTCGTTCTGTTCATAATTCCAATGTCGATATTGGTTTATCATATTATATGTAAATCGTTTGTTTCGTTCATCTTTGTCAAAATAATCGTTTCTATTTTTTTTAAAGTGATAATCTTGTCCTTTTCCACTTTCTAACATTTCCCATTCTCTGTATCTAAGATCATCCACTTGTTCTCTTCCTTTATTCAAATATTTTTTTCCTTCTACGAAGTTGTTATCTCCTCCCTTCAAACGATGCTGCAAAAATGTTGCATCCTTGTTCTCATCATAGTTATGGTATGTACCATCCCTCCTTTTTTTATTTCTAATTTCATTTCTGGCTTGCCTGCTTGTCATCATAAGGGATTCTTCTTCATGCATCCTTCTTCCATTTTTTCGAAAATGTTCATCTTCTCCTTCTTCCTCGTCTTCTGCTTCTTCTTCCTCCTCTTTTCCACTACTAATCGACAAGGCTAATTTTTCTGACAGTGATGTTCTAAATGAGGTCTTTCTTTTCCTACCCATTTGGATATTACTACATTGGGATATCCTCCCATCATCAGCTGAGGAATAATCTGCATTCGATTTGTACCAATTTCCATCGATGCTTACGTTGTATTTACTTAAACTTCCAATTTTTTTTGTTAATTTGCTTTTTCCATTTTGTTGCATTTTCTTGTCTGAGTGCATGGATTCTACATCTGCCATATTTTGATAGGCTCTAAAACTTTTCTGTGACAGCTTTTTCTCTTCCACAATTTTGATTTTCTTAACAATAGGACTATTACTACTCTCCTCATAATAGCTACTTACATCTGATTCAGATTTATCTGTATGAGCTTTCCTCATTTTGTGTTTCTTTCGTAAGGGTTCATTTCGATCATTCTTGCTTGACTCAAGATGATGTTTCATGCGCTCTAATTTTCCTCCTCCTGCTCCGATACTTTTGTTTTTGTAAACCTCTTCATCTCTACTTACACTTTTTTCTCTTTTACCCTTTTTTCCACCTTTGTCGTTGTTTTTATTTTTTTTTTTTTTTTTCTTCTCCATTTCGTCATCTGAACTTGGGCTGATTGGGTGGGAGTCCTTACTTCGACTTTTCGTCTTCCCTTTTTTTCTCTTTCCTGAAAATTTTCCGCAGTTTCTCTTTCCATCTTCTCTTTTTCTTTTTCCTCCGCTACCAATACCATGGTTGCTATCGCTATAGCTATTACTACCACTACCACTATCACTATCACCATGATCGTATCTGTGATCCCGTTTTTGATCCCATTTATGATCACGTTTTTGATCCCATTTGTGATCCCGTTTTTGATCCCATTTGTGATCCCGTTTTTGATCCCGTTTCTTCGAGTTAAAGGTGCCAATTTCTCTTTTCTTATTGCTCTTCTCTTGCTTGTCCTTGTGAAACCCGTAACTTATATCACTTAGGCTAGATAAGTTCATATCATCTTCACTGTCACTACTGGATATGCTGAAACTGCTAAGCTTGCTATACGCGCCCCCTTCATTTACACCATTCTTTCTTTTTAGTTCCTCCTTATGTTTCTCCTTTTTCTTTGTATCTTTTATTTTATGTTCTTTGCGCTTTCGATATTCATCACGGATTCTGCTACTACTATACTGTGAATATCCACTTGGGGATTCACTCCTACTTATGCTTGTGGTTCTGTTATGCTTACGTCTATTGGCATCATTTCTCTTTCGATTTCCTTTTCCTCCCAATTGCCCGTGTTCACGAGAACCTTTGCTGTTATGACTATCGTATGAATTTTCTCTACTCAGTTCATAATTATACTTGTTCTTCTTCAGTTTATAGGTAGTACTTTTATTAGTACTCCCTTTTTTTTCACGTTTTTCATTCGTTTTTATGAGCTTCCGTTTTTTGTCATCTTGTTTGTCAACATCGCTAGTAAATATCAAACTCATTGAATTTTCCCTGGACTGTTCAGAATTTTTTTTTTTCCGTTTTTTTGATTTTTCTTTCTTATCTTGTTTTTCTTTCTTATCTTGTTTTTCTTTCTTATCTTGTTTTTCTTTCTTATCTTGTTTTTCTTTCTTATCTTGTTTTTCTTTCTTATCTTGTTTTTCTTTCTTATCTTGTTTTTCTTTCCTATCTTGTTTTTCTTGACTTATTTTCCCTTGACCATTTAATTCACGTGTTTCATCATTAATCCTCTCCTTGCAACATATTTCACCTTTAGATTCTTCTCCCTTGGAGTTTAATTTCACCCCTACGTTTCCATCACTACTTTTAGATTTTTCTGCAAAATTTTCTTTACTATTTATGCTTTTATTATTCTCTTTCTCATTGGGGTCGGGGATACCCTTTTCTTCATTACTCATCGTTGTTTAATCGATCTCAGAAAATGCAAAACAGGGAGAAAACCCAATCCACAGGGAAGATATGTGTTCACACAAATGTGCATGTGTATATACACATGTAGACATATGCATATAGGTGTGCATATATATATATATATATATATATATATATATCTAGCGTGATCTTCCTTTCTATGGAGAAGGAACAGGGTGAGAAGAAGACAAAGTTGGCTAAGTCAGTATGAGCAAAGAGAGAGGGAGAGTAGAATTAAGTGGGACCTCTTAAGGCACCTTGGGGCAATTACTTGACACTATTATTTTTACACTAAATCATAGAAGTATAGAATCATGCAGTGGTGAAATTATATAATTGTGCAATCACAATCCTACGTAGGAGTTACGTTGTGTTCTCATGGCCCCCTTTTATAGCCCTCTTTTTTTTTCGAGAAAATTCAATTTCGAGTGACTTCTCTTCATGGGTTGGTGTAAAAAAAAAAAAAAAAAGAAAAAAGGCTCAGTCATCACAGTTTAAGTCTTTGTGTGAAGCTGGTATATGTTCTTCACATATTTTTATATATTTTCATATATTTTTTTAATATATTTTTTAATATATTTTTTAATATATTTTTATATGTTTTTTTCATATATTTTTATGTGTTTTCATATATTTTCATATATTTTTATATATTTTTATATATTTTCAATATTTTCATATATTTTCATATATTTTCATATATTTTCAATATTTTCATATATTTTCAATATTTTCATATATTTTCAATATTTTCATATATTTTCATGTATTCTCATATATTTACAATATTTTCATATATTTCCATGTGACTTAATATGGAGATGCGGTAAAAAAAGAAATAATGATTCAAGAGCTCGTGCACAAATATGTCAATACCACTGCCCATATTGCCTCGACATCGCTATCTGATCAACGTAACTAATCTTACTTTATCATCAACATTATGTAGGTGCAAGCATTAAATGTTTACACGCTCACCAGCTGATAGTTTTTTTTTTTTTTTTTTTTTTCTTTATTTTTTTATTCACTTTTCCAATTTTTCATATAATAGATGATGTAACGGGATGGGGACAATAAAAAAAAAGAAAAAAAGAAAATTGAAATTCCCAATTTTGCCTTATGTCAACAATTCAGCTGCGATAACACATAATATTCGCTCGTGTTTTACATGTACAATGTGGGGATTAAAAAAAAAAAAAAAAAAAAAAAAAATTCAGAATGATGTGACATTTGCCACGTTTACTGTGATTGTCGAGATAATCACGTTTATAACATTTTTTCCACCTCCTCCCCCCTCCCTCTCCCTTTTTGTTTCTTATCCTGCTTTTATGCACATCGGTAATTTTTTTTATCATTCATGCTATATGTCGTTATGTACATGCGAATATGCAACTATCCATAAAGATAGAGTTTGGTGCAAAATTTTTTTTGAGTACCTGGAGTGTACAATATTGTACCATGATGTAATGGAACCATTCGAATGAAATGTATAAAAGACTCACAAATTATGTAACAAAAGAGGACTTATACTTTTTTTTTTTTTTTTAAAAATCGTTAAAAAATAAAATAGTCCTGGAGGTGTAATAAATCTTGAGGATGACAATGATAAGGTGAAAATATTTATTCATGACTGATTGTGTTCCAAATTAAACTTTAAAATTTATTATCATTTGGTGAATATACAAAATTGCCCCATTTTTGTTTTCCCTTTTAAGCGTTTCGAGAATCGCTACATAGTTCTCTCTCTCTATCTCCATCTTTATCTATGTGTCTATACCTCTTTTTTTATTTTTATTTTATTTTTTTTTTTTTGTGTAAAATTTTTTTTTCAAATTTTGAGGAAAGATAGATGAATGCTCATACATGTGTATATATATAATTTGGCACATGGTTTAATATATACAACCTTTTTTGCGGGTCTAAATTTTGTGCATACCTAAGAATTATAGTGTAATAAACACTCACCCACCCAACCCCGTTTTGAAACAAAATGTCTACTATTGCAAAATATGTAAAAATTAAAATTTACAACATGGACACATTATTTTGTTTTTTTCCTTTTTTCAAATTTTCGTACACATGGAAGTAGGGGTAAAAAAAAAAAAAAAAAGAGGGGCTCCGAGGCATACGATGTGTGAAAAATATGACCCTCCTTAAATGATATCTGCCCTTCAGCTAGCCATATGCATTCCTGTTCTCGCTCCTAATAAGCACAACGTATATATACATCCACAGCACCGTTCTAGTTATTCCGTGTAGAGGTGGGTGAGGAGGATATTTTTCCCTAAAGTTGGCTGTCAGAACATAGGGTATTATAGGGTATGTTGCGCGTCTTCCTATTAGGAATATAACTACTGCCAAATTGATACTGCCAAATTGATACTATCAAATCGATATTGCCAAATTGACACTGCCAAATTGATACTGCCAAGTTGATACTGCCAAGTTGATACTGCCAAGTTGATACTTCCAAGTTGATACTGCCAAGTTGATACTACCAAATCGATATTGCCAAATCGATACTGCATCGCTCATTGTCTTTCAAAACAGCTGTTATTTCACAACAACGGAATAAATTAATAATTGCACAAGCTTATTTTTTCATGTTCAAGCATTTTTATGCATAAATATAATCTATGTGAATTTATTTGCGATTTCAATAATGGCTATTTGCACGAATTGTTTAACGTGTGGGGGGTAGAAAATAACGCAAGTTTTATTTCAACCACGCTTGTGCAGATTTTAAAATATAATTTTTCCAAACCGCAGGAATAAAGTATGTTTTTTTTTTTTTTTTTTTTTTTTTTTTTTTTTTTTTTTTTTCCTTATTCTGTTTGTCATGTATAAATGACTTCACATATTTCATGCAAATACTTGGATCGATGTATTTCATATGTAAATTTGTGTACTTGTACGAATATAAGTATATAAAAATAAACATACAATGCATATATACTTATGTATATATATGTATATATTTACATGTGCGATGCATTATGTGCATGTGTGCTAATTCACATGCTTTACAATTACTTTTTTTTTTTTTTTTTTTTTTCTGTATAGGGGAAAAAAACCCGCTGTTCCAATTAAAATTAGAAAAGGTTGGAATTAAAATTTTTCCTTTTTTCAAAATCTATTCTTTGAAGTGTTTTAATGTCCTGACTGACCTTTATATGACATGCTTAACATTTATAAAATCATCTCATTTCATCCCGCGCTATATGCTACGTTTAATGTTATATTTTCCGCAGTACTATGTACCCCACATGTTTTACTTTTTTATTTATTTATTTGTTTATTCATTCATTTATTTGTTTACCCATTTATTTATTTGTTTACTCATTTATTTATTTGTTTACTCATTTATTTATTTGTTTACTCATTTATTTATCTTGTATTTTATTTATTTATTTATTCTTTCTTTTTTTTTTCAAATTCATGGTTTAGCTTTATTATTCTATAGTGGTGGTGCTGAACTATTTTAACCAACGCAAATAAGGTATTCAACATTAGCGTTTTTTCTCTCGAAAAGGTCATGTACATTTGCAAGTGGGCAAATCCTAGCGCCCCAACGGGAGAACATTACATAAATGCACACGCTCATAGGCACATATGCAGATAGGCACATAAGCACATACATATATGCACACACTCGTGTATGTGTATTCCACATATATACTTACATGCACATATCCACACGGACGCCCGCACGATTATCCCATTTTTCTTTCTTCGACAGGTCAACTGAGTATGACAAAAATTGTATCCTCATGCATGTTCAGTTCAGAGTGCATCACGGGAATAGGAGGAAGTATGTAGCACGGAAAATGTGCAAAAACGTAAACACACAAAATAAATACCAATGCCCTTACCCCGTAAACGTGTATATGAATGAATACATAAATAACACTAAATAGGAGATAAAGCAACTTGTAAAGTCAAATAAACTCCTATTTCGCACCTCCATCACCCATCTACCTCTGATACAGCCAATTGTAGTAGGATTATAAGTATTTCCTTTTTTTTTTTTTTTTTTTTTTTTTTTTTTTTTTTTAATTTTATATAAAAAATTTTTTTTTTTTTTTTTTTTTTTTTTTTTTTTTTTTTTTTTTTACATGTACAGTACAGAATTTTTTTTTTACTTTTTTTTTTTTTTTTTATCTTATGCGGTCAGAAAATTTCATTAAAAATAAATAAAAGAGAAGGGTGAAAATAGCTAGATCGCTGAAATTGTATATATAAAAAAAAAAAAAAAGTACAGGCAGGGAGTGTATAGCATATAAATATATATATACATTTACACATATATACACATGTGTGTACACTTAAACATACACATGAACATGTAATTCATTCTTATCGTACTACTTTTTACAAATATTCATGTTAGAAATTTTCTTCTTGCCAATACAACGCCTATGAAAGCAAAGTAGCTAAGTGGGGGGAGGGAAACGCAAAACATTAACGATAGTCTGTGTAATTAGCTCTTATAACAGCATAGGAGAGGTGTGTGGTGTTCATCACGGCATTGAATAAAAATCGATGATTAGCACGACAAAAACTGTGGCAACAGCGACAACTGCAACAACAAAGAACATCATCTGAAGACTCACCCAGTAGACGAAAAATATGGGAATGAAAAAAGCACGAAGCACTCTGTTTATATTCGGATCAGGTGAATGCGGCCAGCTGCCGCCAGAGTATTGTTCTGATTATGTTCAGGTAAACCCTACGGCCGTTCAGAATCTCCCAAACGACATTGACGAAGTCGTGTGTGGATCAATGCACACTATTATAAAAACAAAGGAAGACAAATTATACTCCTTTGGATGTAATGATATGGGCGTACTGGGTAGAAAAACGTATGCAAATAGCATAAAAGATCCAGAGCATTCTCCTTCATTGGTCAATTTTACCTGCACATCAAAAATTAAAAAAATTACATGTGGTGATAATCATACAGCTATTTTGCTAGAAAATGGAAAAGTATATATAACCGGAGGATTTAGAGACTCATGTGGAATCTTGGGTTTGCCTTCGTTTCAGAAGAAGGATGAAATAATATCCAAATCCGATGAGTTTATTGAGGTAAAATTTGGCTACGCGAGGTGTGAAAGATTCACAGATTTGTCGGGTAACAATTTGGCTAGTGACAGTGTCGCTAACAGTAGTGCATACCCATTAGACAGCGCAGAAGAAACAGAAAAGGATAACTTGGAAAATGTCAAAATTAGCAACATCATGTCGGGAGAAGATCATCTAGTATGTCTAGAGCAGAGTGGTGAGTACATTTTTACCATGGGAAATAGTGACTCATGCCAAGTGTGTAATACTTATTATGAACAAGAAGAAGCAGAATGCAAGAGAATAAAATACGTATTCCCAAATCGTTACCATTTTAAAGATTTCGGATTTACGTCAAAATTTAAAAACATTTATTGTGGAGGAAATAACACTTATGTTCAATTAGAATCTTCTCTGGATGTGTACGGCATTGGAAGAAATGCATACGGTTCATGTGGTGTGTCTATGAAAGATAATGTTATTAAAAATTTCATCAAAATTAAAGAGTTATCTTCAAAAGAAATTATTCAACTATGTGGTGGTCAAAGTTTTACCATATGTTTACTAAAAACAAATGATTTATATATATGGGGAAATAGGGAAATATTAGGTATGGAATTGGATGAAGATGCTTATTCTCCATTAGAACTAAATTTCTTTAAAAAACAAAATTATATCATTAAATCTATTTCTTGTGGTACTGACCATTGCTTAGTTTTAACTGAAAATGGAAAACTTTTTGGATGGGGTACTGGTGGTAATGATTTTGATGAAGATACATGTATTGGGACAATTGAAAAAAATGTACCCTCTGAAATTAACTTCCAAAATTTTGTTACGAAAACATTTTCGAAAGGTAGAATAGATGCACTGCCAACAATTAGCCAAATTAAAATTGAATCCTTTGCAGGGGGATCATCTCACTGTGCTTTTATTTCATCACATGTAGACTCAGAGAAAATGTCTATTAAGAGAGGTCATGATGAAATATATGATCATGAGGATATATTCATGAAAAAACAGAGGAGGGAAAATTATTTCCACATAAAGGACGAAAATGGAACAACACTTGAGGAAGGACAAAAAGAAGAAAAAAAAATACATGGAAATAATAAGCAAACGGAAGAATCAACAGTGGAAAATAATAAAGAACTCGTGCCACCAGATAGACTTCAAGGTGATAAAGAAGATGAACATAAGAAAGGAAGCTTCTTTAAGGAACTTTTTTACAATTCAGAAACTCCAATTAATAGTAAACATTTTTTACACTCTAAAGAATTGGAAAATATGGACAGTGATCTTCTAGGAACTGTTGAAAAAACTACCATAAGTAAAGAACCACAGAAAAGAAGGCGAAGTACCAAGAGTAGCAAGCCATACTTAAGCAATGAAAGCCCTACTAGAAGACAACCAAGAAGGTCTTGTAAGGAAAATATCAGCTTAAGTGAAAAAGCACATAGACAATTCTACCAAATAGTGGACACTCCAATATCGAAAAAGAAACGAAAAACAACTCCATCATCTATGAGAAGCATGATCATGAAGATGAAGGGTGCATCATCAGAGAGAAATAAATCCACAATGGTTGGTGTAAAAAGAAAGAGCTTAAGCAGATCTTATTCTAAAAAAGATAACTCAAAACGTGAATCTGCATCGCAAACACCTGACGCTAAAGTTGTAAGGGGAAAATCATCCAACACGAGAAATTAGGTTCACCTTTAAGACAGGAGGAGCAGCAGAATCTCTATTTTTTTCTTTTTTTCATACACTTAGTTCGTAAGACATATGTTTTCGGAATTGGTGCTTAACACGTCTTTCGCACCACAGATTAAGTGGATGTGTAGAGTTGCATTTTTTTTGCACTTTCTACACGTTTTTTATTTTTTACACTTTTTTCACTTTTTTCGTTTTTTTCATCTTTTGCATTTTTGGAATTTGTTCATATGTATCCCTTACACGATATGCTATTTTAATGGTACCACGATTACCACGTTTCATTTGTTTCATCTTATTTAATATCGTCATTTTCATTTATCTCTACCGTGAGAAAAGCTAGGGAACAGTGTATAATATTTTGGGTTCCTTTTATTTTGGTTCACGTGTCTTTTTGGTTCACGTGTCTTTTTGGTTCACGTTTTTTTTTGGTTCACGCTTCATATTGATTCACGTCTCACATTGATTCACGTTTCATATTGGTTCACATTTTATTTGTGTTCCATTCATTTTTGGATTCATTTTGCGATAAGTGCACCTGATTTCACTATCTCACTTTCGCCATTTATACAATACCAGAATTAATAAAAATAAAATTGCATACATGAAAAAATGAAACAAAAAAAGAAAAGAATAGAAACATCCCCTTTCCCCATATCTTAATAACAACAAAGAACCTTTTAGTGTTTCCTAATTTGTACATTTATGTAATTTTGCTCGATTATTCTGTGTTTAGTAGAACTTGCTAGTTTTTTCCCGTATGAGTTTACTCATGGGTGTGTGTGGATGGACAGATTGGTGCATTGTTTGTGGTGCCACCATTTGGTAAAGCATTCCTTTGCACATTAAATGGGGTGTCATTTGATGTATTATATATTACATATTACATATATATTTTTATTAACATTTGGGGAAACATTTTTGCCTCCCCCCATCATACATGCGGACACATCATGTCCACCTAGTCTTTTGCTACAAAATTTGGTTTTACCTTCATTGTTATCGTAACCTTAATTTTGATTATTTATTTTGATTTTTATTTATTTTCATTATTTTGTTCTGTTTTTATTTTATTTTGTTTTTTGTGTGTGTGTTTGTGTGTATACATGTTTTACCGGCAGACTTAAATTTGTTTCGGGCACTAAAGTGTTATCCTGAATTACAGAGTTGAGACACTTCAAATAATATGTGAATTTTTCGTTTCGTTGGGTTTCGCCGTTTTATTTTATTATTTTATTATTTTTTTTTTTTTTCCTCATCAAAATAGACGCATAGGAAGATAAAGATCTATCTCTTCCTCATGTTCCTCATTAAGAGGAACTACTGATAATGTCATTTTTGTAATAACTTCTTTTGCACAACACAGTAGTGACACATGTTGAATATTCAAATAAGGGGAGCAGAAAAAAAAAAAAAAAGGATATTAATCTCGATGATACAAAATTTTAACCAACTTTTATTACCACATCAAACTTGGGTGCACTTACAGGTAAAAATGTTTTTTTTTTTTTTTTAGATAAGGGTTTGTTTGAAAAAAAGGGGTATATATATATATTATTACTTTTTTAAAAATGTTTATTTTGCCTGTACAAATGTTTTTTTTTTTTTTTTTTTTTTTTTTTTTTTTTTGGCTAGCTAACCCCTTTTTTTATGAACATGAAATGTAATTCATGACACTTTTAACCCATTCTGTAGGACCATTCAAAATAACTTTCCTCACACTTTTGCCTCTTTCTGTTTTTCCTCCTCTCTCTTGCTACATTTTTTTTCTTTTTTTTTTCCCCATCCCCTGCGATTACGCAAGAATATAGTATCGTTGAAGAAATCCCTCAAATCGCAATTTTCCTTTTTGGGAATTTAACCGTTAAGTTATCATCTATCTTCTAAAAAGGGATTACAAATTCTGAAAAATTAAAAGGAGAATAAAAATTTACAAGAGCATTTCTAACTGATATTAATTAGACCACTTAGGTTTACACATTTGCTGTGGAAAATATTTTAATGCAAAAATTATTTGTAACAAAGTGTATATACCTTTGAGAATGATGCATGCGTAGATATATATGGATGTGTGTGAGGACAAATGTGTATAAGGGTTTTTCATTTTACAGCACCAGATCTCATATCTGGAGTTTAATTTAGAATTATATATAATTCTTTCATTGCTTTCGTTTGATGTTATTATTATTACCCCCTCGCCACTGTTTTAATTAGCAATACGCCTTTGATAGATAATGATTAAGTTACCTTTTTATAGTTTTAATAAAAATTCGTTACTAGTCCAGTGTTTCAAGGCCACATGTGCCTATTACCTCCCGCAAAATTTTGCTGTTATAAGTGCCTTTCTATACTACCAGCACAAGGTATAAAATAATGAAAATGAAAAACAGAAACTATAAAATAGTAAATTCATGCGTGAAAATAAAAGCCGATAAATAGAACAAAGTGACCAATAACTGCACTACACCAGCTTCTCCTGCATAAAACATGTGATAACTTGTCTGGTGTCATGGAATAACATTTATTTTATATAAACATATGCATACATATATATATATGCATTCACGTGCTTCTTCATTTTTTCCGCTATTTTCTTTCTTTTATTAGAAAAGCCTCCTCACAGGGGGCAAGCGAGTACCCCTAAAGAACTGCGATGAATCAATAAACAATTTTTTAAGAACTAAAAATTTAAGTAGAGATGAAATAAAAATAGAAAGGAAGAAAAATTTATTCCTCGTGTCTTTCGCGTGAAGAACTTCCTTTAATGCATACAACATGTACATAAGTACATATATGTCATTTTCGCCACGTGCATGTAAAGATATGCAGTATGTATATGAGGTCGTCATGGACACTAAGAGTAGCTACATAAATGCAGGTGAAGCAGATCAAGGCGCTTCAGGATGATAGTGATGCGTATGCACACGGGTTTCAACAAAGGGAGTCCCTAATGCGCGAATTATTTCGTATAATCTGGATTTAGTATTTATTTCACATGTCTGATGTAGTTATGTACGACATCTGATGCAGTTACGTTGCATGTGTGTGGGTGTGTGTGTGTGTGGGGGGGGGAGGACAGTCCCCTTCCCCAGGAGCTGCTAAAACTGTGGAGCAAAAGTATCAACCTCATGATCGATTTGTTTTAGAAGACTTAAACTTTCATGAGAAGGATAAGAATCGTAAAGCTTATTCAAGTATTCATTTGCATCTTCCAACTCATATAAATACAAAGAGCAAGTAATCAAATTGTGTAGCACGTCACCATTTGAAATATCTTCGTGTAAGGCTTTTTTTAAGAGTTCTTTTGCATCATTAAATTCGTAATTCAAAATATTGGACACCCCTTTTCCATTGAGAATAATAGTTGAAATGTCATTAACTGTAGATTCATACATGGATTCTAAATCATCAAAAATTAAAAAAGACTCTTTATTATTATCATCATATAAATAAAATATAGCTAACATAATTTTTATGATGGGTATTTCATCATTCATCTTTTTATACTCATTTATCATCTGGCTAGCCAAATCATGTCTATTCATATGAAGAAGAAGAAGAATTTTGGATGATATCACTTCAATAGGTCCATCTTGCATTAGCTCAAAACACTCTTGTAACAATTCGTAATCAAAAAAGAATCTGCTCTTTAGTATATTTCCATTTACTGAAGTTATTTTTAATTTCTTTATTTCGTTTAATAATGAATTCTCATCTTGCATCTTCTCTTTTAAATAATAATGTTTATAATACATGTATAATAACTGTAGGTTCTCATTTGTCGAATTTTTTAAATTTATAATCATATCCTTCTTTTCATTCTCCATCATATATATTTGGTATATATATTCTTCTGCTTCCTTTCGTTCTTCCTCTCCTGCTGTCTCGAATCTCCTCAAGCAGTAATTTTTGTATCCAGCATAGAAGAAGTCTCGAATCTAGAAATTGAAGGAAAAAAAAAAAAAAAAAAAAAAAAAAAAAATGGAAAAATTTGGGATTACAAAAGTAAGGTACAGTTTTTCCTTTTCAAAAAATTATTCTCACATTTATTTCTCTTTTGTGTAAAGTGTGCTTGCATTAATGTGCATATATAGACGTATGCACATCTGTACGTGCTTATATTTTTCCCACTTTGGAGAAACGTTAAAATTGGTGTTTCGTTACCACATCAACCCAGTGTGGTCACCTGCGCAGCCCCAGTTCGACGACCCCTTTTTCTTTGCCATTGCTTTGCCAATACAAACATGTATTTCATGGAAAAAAATCTTTTGCAACCTCTTTGGTTTCACATCTCACTTATCAACTCATTCATTTATTAATCCATTTTTCATCTCATCATTTTCCCTACTTGAAGTGTTCCCTCCATTACTAAAAGTTGTGAAAAAGGTGCTACGTTGATCTGCAGTTGTTGGCTTAGGTGGTGAAGTGTAAGAAAAATGGGACGACTGAGAGGAGGTGGAAAAAAGAAAAAAACAAGAAAAAAAAGGAAAAAAAAGGAAAAAAAAAAAAAATCGATCCAGTTGTGTTTGAGGTACTTACTCAAAGTTGGCTAATTTTGAATAAATAAAATCGTTCATTTTAACAATGTTCCATTATATATATATCCCCACGCTAATGGTTCACCAATTGGGCCATTTTTAAAAATTGCTAAAATGGAGAAATTTTCATTCCTCCTCTCGAAATGTGAATAAATATACCAAAACTGGGAAAAAATAGAAAAAATAAAATACACAAAATAATTTTTTTTTCTGCATTTTTTTTCTGCATTTTTTTTCTGCATTTTTTTTCTGCATTTTTTTTCTGCATTTTTTTTCTGCATTTTTTTTCTGCATTTTTTTTTTGCAATTTTGCTTGAAATTTTTTTTTTTTTTTTCAATACCCATGGGGGAACAAAATGAACAGCAAATTGGGACGCATAATCTTTGGCACAGATAAAACATTGACACAGTTTTTGCATTTATGCATTTCTTTTTGCTACATCAAAGGGTTCTTCACTCTACTGTTCAGCTAAGCCTTAGTCTTTCCTGCTATTATATTATTTTGCTGCCCTCATATCTCACATTATTTTTTGGGAAATATATGCTCATAATCACTTTTGTTTAAAACAGTTCAAGCGATTTTTTGTATACACCACAAAAATATGAAATAAAGTAAAAATTAAAAAAAAAAAAAAAAAAAAACTGATTGTCTATTTAACATATTGTAAAAAAGGTCAGTAGGCATGTGTATGTATATGTACGTAAAATATATTGCATACTGTTTAAGTGTGTTTTTGCAATGCAATCGGAATGTGTTTAACATATTCAATCTCAAGGCAGTAGGGGGGGCACGGAAAATGGGGGAAAACAAGTGGAGAAAAAATGTAGTGAAAAAAAAGTTGAGAAAAAAAATTGTGAAAAAAAGTTGAGAAAAAATGTAGTGAAAAAAAGTAGAGAAAAAATGTAGTGAAAAAAAGTAGAGAAAAAAATGAGAAAATTTTTCTTTTAAATTGTAGCAATACAAAGACGAGTAACATCACAACAAAATGGGGACAACTGCTTGAGGGGTTTAAAAACATGTACAATATGCAAACGTATACACCTCGATATTTATTTTGTGTGTACCTAGAATGTATGCGTTGCAGGTGTAATGGATGATTACAATAGGAATGTTAAAATAAAATTAGCAAATAAAAAGAAACAGAAAAGGAATAAAAAAAAAGAGAAAAGATGGAATAACACAAAAAAACATCAAGGATTCATTCGTTGATCAGTGTGCCCTATTTGGAATAAAGCATACGAAAGGGAACAATATATATATACTTGGGTGGCAATGTACAAGGGCAAAGGGGGGAGGGGGGAGGGGATCTGTTCTTGAGTTTTCTTGGTATATAATAAACCTCCATCAGACGCATAACCCCGTGCGTACTTTCACTTGGGGAAAGATGTCCAGAAGCACCATACACACATTGATAGTGAGAGGCAGAAGCACCATACACACATTGATAGTGATAAGCAGTAATAGTGATACAGACCCCAATTCGAATAAAGGTATCGATCATGTGTACCAAACCGAATGGGTGGAAAAGTCTACCCCTGTTCCCCCCACCCCACCCCCTATCTGTATTGCTCCCTCTCTCTCTCTCTCTCCCCTCCTTTTTAATGTGTAAGCTTCTGTGTAATTAAAGTATCCAGTAAGTTGGCTTCATGTAATGTCTTATCTGTTCTATCAATAAGTTTCAAAGGAAAATCAAAAGAAAGAGAAAAGCTTACAGGGGTATAGCTATAAACAAATTGAAACAAATCCTCTACTGTATGATCGTAATTAAATTTGTGCGAGATTTTTCTGCCATTATATAATCGAACATGTAAAGTAGTAACTGGTTTGGTATCATCTACATGAATGTTTTTAATATCACTTGGAGTAGTAGCTGATGTTAATTTATTTATTTCCTCTTCAGTTATACTTGATTGATTATCTGACCTTAATTTAACACCTTGTCCTTTATAGATTAAATTATTTTCCTCTAATTTTTCTTTGCTATATATTTGGTTACTTTTATCCTTAATTGCTACATTTATAGTTTTATCTTTTCCTGCTAATTCTTTTGGTAAAATTCCTGCTTCAATATTTTGCATAAATTTTTTATTTTCTTCAATTTGGAGATCTCTAAATTCTCCTTCATCTACTATGAATCCATTTTTATATAATGTGATATGTCTACAATTTTCAGGTAATTTAGATGTGAAAAAACTTGAACCCATGTCTTCATCTGAATTCTGCACTTCCAATCCACTGTTCTGGCCACCCGTATAATGCGCCACCCGTTCCTTGTTTTTTTTCTCGTCCTTCCTCAGGTCACTTAGGGATCTATGGGTGCGCGCAGGAGAGAAAACGGGTTAAGCATGAGAAAAAAAAAAAAAAAAAAAAAAAAAGGGAGAAAAAAATGGACAGATGAATGAAATATGCTGTAAATAAGTCATGCTAATTAATAAACTACATTAACAAAATAAGATAAAATTAAATTAAAAGATTTTCTCTTTATGCCCATGGAATAAGACCACATCGGGCGTCTAATTGCATGAGATATACCCTCCATGAAAACATCAATTAGTATAAACATATTTTATGTTCACGTACGACCACAAACAGGAGGGGGGAATATATGAAATCGAGAAAGATTGTGCAAATATGCAAATTCGACCCTTTGGATCGTATACCCATATACACAGGTATACATATGTAAAAAGAATTATATGTCTCATTTTTTCACGTAAAGTTAATAAACTCATTTATAAGATCAGTAAATGGTAAACAGGTACTAATTATGCATATCTCCTTAACTTCATCAGTTTGTGGAATAGAAAAAAAAAAAAAAAAAAACTACTTGCTATTTTGTCCTTGTGTTGACTTAAACAGTTGGCATAATCGCTAATCCCTTCCGTGGACATTAATATTTCACAAAGGCCTTTTTTTTTTTTTGTTTTTTGAAATAGTGCAAGGGGTGTAAAAATATACAATACTCTCAGCTAGTAAGCACCTACCTTATATTCGACATATTTCCTAAGATTTGTGTATATAACTATTTCCTATCTTTTTAAGTAGATTCCTCAAAACGAAAAAATAAATAAAAAAAAAATTTACCTTCAATGGATGGGTAAGATTCTTAAATCGTCTTCGATATTCTTCTTTTCAGATTGTTTTTTTTTTTTTTTTTTATTATTATTTTATTTATTTTACTTTATTTTATTTGTTTTACAGGTTTTATTTGTTATTATTATTATTTTAGTATTTTATTTTATTTTTTTTTATTTTATTTATTTTTTTAATTTTTTTTTTTTCCCGTTCCATTTTGTGGGTGTAAAATATAACCCTTGGTTAAATTTTCATATATTTTCTGTTTGTATAAATTTTACGTGTCCCGTATATGAGAGTGTAAGTAATTTCTTCCACTCTTGTATGCTATATACATATCATATATGTTTTGTCACCCGTAGTAATAAGTATGTTTACACTCAGGTTTTGAAGGCAATGGGAAATGGAAATGCTGCCAGGGAATGTAACCCTTCTTTTTTTTTTTTTTTTTTTTTTTTTTTTCTTTCTCAGCTCTTGGACGAGATGATGAAAATTGAGGAATAAACTCAACTTCGTCCTGTGTGCAAGATAATATGCTTATAAATGGCATGTGGGAAAACTTACCTATGGAAATAATACAACATACAAAAAAGAGCTCGTATTCATATTACATTCATATACCAATAGGGTATATATAATGTGTATATAATTATATATTGTATACACTATTTTTTTCTACCTCCTCCCCCTTTCTTGTGCGTGAATTAAAATTAAAAATTTTCTTATTTTCTGTTCACACGATACCGTAGCAGTGTCAATTGTTTGAACGAAATAAAAAAAAAAAAAAAAAAAAAAAAAAAAAAAAAAAAAAAAGAGGAAAAATAATACTACTGTATGTGAATGATAAAATAAACAAAAGAATAATAAAGTAACGAGCTGGTTGAGTTACTGAATTCGATCCCACAATGGGAAGTGGTTTACCAAAAGTGCCAGATATATTATGTCGACATGACATATAATTTGTTCATTCGATCATTTCACCCTTCGTACTTTGCATAGTAGACATCATGCTCAGTTTCATGTATGGCATTTCTCAATGGTAATATACTCTTACGCATAATTTGGGGGCTTCAAAAATGAGATTGTACACGTAAAAGAGAAAAAATATATATGTAAAAATGTATATATATATATATATATATATATATATATATATATATATATATATATATATATATATATATATGTATATATAAATATGTAAAAAAAAAAAAGAAAAAGAAATAATAATAATATAAAAAAGGTTGAACAAGTGGAAGAGATAAAAAATGAATTAAAAAAAATGAATAAATAAATTAGGGGAATTGTTTTTTTTTTTTTTTTTTTCATCCTCCTTTAAAATAATGTACACCCATTTGTATCATTTGAGGAGAGGGGCATTATCACTTTGTTTTTAAGTGAGCGCTTGGGAAGTTGTATGTGACCTTAAGACCTTTGCATTCAAAAGCAATGAATGCTAATTTCTGTGTACTATAAATGTGCGTCAAATTGTTTATACCCCATCCCTATTAATACATTGCCCCTCGTCTGTTCTATCTCTGTGTCTATCTGCACAACTTTTCACCATCCTTAAAATATATTTCTCGTTGTACTATCTACTCTCGTTGGAGGCATACGTGACAAGGAGGAGAAGCAGTATAAAATGAGCTTGCAAAGGCAAATTTTTACACGAAAGAAAATGAGAAAAATATTCGCACACACACATGAGATGCAGCCAACCCCATATAACGGTACACATATGTTCAGTTCTCAAATAGTTTCTTCCATTTAAGTAAGAAAAAAAAGGATATACTTTTTTCCTTTTTTCTTACCTTTCTCTTTCTTTTTTTTTTTTTTTTTTTTCGTGCTTTTCCCTTTTTATTCAACGTACACAAACCTCGAAAAGAGTTAAAAATAGAAAAGAAAAAATTTATCGAATAGATGTATACACGTGTGAGCATGAATTCATAATTCAAACATTCAAGCATTCAAACATTCAAACAATTTAGTAAATCTCCTTGTTGAAAATTTTGAGTCTGTGTGAAATTTTCGTATATATTCGCGCCTTTATTTTTTGAAATAAGACGGAAGAAAAAAAAAAAATATAATAAAATAAAGAATAAAATTAAATTCCTTGAAAAAATCAGATATAGCATAACATCAAAATAATAATTAAGTGTATCTTGTCTGGGAAAATCTAGCAAACTTCAAATGCACATCTCAGAAAGGAGTTTCACTGAAATGGTGATAAGAAGAGAGAGTGGCAGAGTACATGTGTGCGCATGAAATGTCCACATAACACGTTCATGTAAAATGTTCACATAGCACGTTCATGTAAAATGATCACGTAAAATGATCACGTAAAATGTTCACGTAAAATGTTCACGTGAAATGCTCATAAAAAATGTGTTTTCACTTTTTTTCTTTTTTTTTTTTTTTGGCTAGCTACAGTGTAAAAAGGCATTCTCAATAAAAAAAAAAAAAAAAAATAGCTAAAATTTTCAGAAATTTCAAAAGTTCAACTTTTTTTTTTTTCCTCATACATGTGTTCGTACTTTAAAAAGTGTAAAAAAAAAAAAAAATATTTATAATAATAAAAAAAATAACATCTTTTTTTTTTCCAACATTGTAGAAATGTTAAGTTAAAAACTATTTTTATAGATGGAATTTTTTTTTTTTTTTTTTTTTTTTATAATTCTTTCTGACGTGTGGGAAAATTACCTTTTAATTAATAAGTGTTGTTGTGTGGAATTGTAAATTGTTTTTGTGCTGCGGACTTGGGTTTTTTCATTTTGTTAGAACATTTGGTTCGTACAAATTGGTTCAGACATTTTGTGTTATGTATTTTGGCTTTTTCTTCTCCCTTGGGTGATTTTTTTTTTTTTTTTTTTTTTTTTTTTTCCGTACATGCAAAATAAAAAATTAACAGGTAGAACAAAATTGGTAAGAATTAAAAATACAAAATTTATACATTTAATTCCCCTTTTGTGAATTTTTTTTTTTTTTTTTTCTTTTTTTCTCCATTTATATTTTATCAACTGAAATAAGTTTTACGTATTTTTTTTTAATTCATAGATCAACCCTTTTTACTTAAACTTTGCTAGTGTTTCCCGAAAGTTTTTTTTTTTTTTGCCATTTTTTTTCCTTTTTTTTTTTTGTGATCCTTTTTGTACTTTTTTTTTGTACCTTTTTTTCATGCATTTTTTTTTTTTTTACCGCTTTCTTTACTCGTTTTTTCATTTGTTCTTTATGCGTTTTTTTTTTTTGTTTTTTTTCTGCTTTTTTTTATCGCGCATTTCCATGTTTTGCCCTCTTTTTACAACCCCCCTCCACTCTTCAAAATGATCAAATGGTTGCATATTTAAAGCCACACTCCATAGGGAGAAGCAGAGCATTCGCAAAAAAATTATAACACAACTATACAGCGGTTGAAATCGAGTCTTATAATAATGATTTAAGCTGTCCTCTGAGTAAACACAATTAGCAACATCACAAATAACAAGGGAGTTGTAGAAATGGAATTATGGTGTGACACATGACAGATGAGAGAGATATCATCTGTTCGTTTTGCATAAAAATGGTTACACAAAGGTTTGTAAATTCAGAATGAAATTGGAAAAAAAAAAAAAAAAAAAAAAAAGACTCGGACAAAGTTGAGAACGAAACTTCGAACATATTTGAGATCTGACGAAAAATGATCTAACCATTTTTTTTTTTTTGTTTTTTTTTGTTTTTACTAACCATTTACTCTTTTTTTTTTTTTCGTTTCGCTTACATCAAATCATGTACACTTTTTTTTTGACAAGTTGATAAAACTTGTAAGACCGAGTAATTAACCAAGTTGCTTTTCTTTTTTTTTTTTTAATATAACCCTGTTTCATCTTATTTGTACTTAAAAAAAAGAAAAAAGAAGTATACAAAAATTTGAATATCCAAATAGCTGAATATCCGAGTATCCGTTCGTCTTTTTAAGAGAGACATATATATACATGTATAAATATATATATGCAAGCTAGCGTTTGTATATTTACGTTACAAATATGACACTTGTTAGACACACATACATAATATGCATGTGAATTTCTACTAGTATAATAGAACTACTGCAACCTTGTTATAGAACTTCTTTTTTTTTTTTTTTGTTTTCTTTTAAAAATTTTACATATAATAACATAAATACATATTAATATTGTGTAAAATTAAACCGTTATTACTGTTGAGAAACGAATCATCCTGTGTTTTTTATTTTTTTTTTCCACTCGAAATTGTTTATACGTAAGAGGCGATTCCTTCATTTGTACCTGTTATGAAAAATTAAAACTTAGCAAACTCGTGCATGAAAAAAGCAAAAATAATGAAATAAATAAATAAATAAATAAATAAAACTGGAATAAATAAATAAATAAATAAACAAATAAACAAATAAGCAAATAAACAAATAAGCAAATAAACTAATAGATAGATAAATAAAACTAGAACAAGGTGTGCAAACAAGCAAATAGGATAATTCCCAAGTACGACAACAAATCAGAACATGAGAAAAAAACCCAGTTATAGGAAAATGAGGAGAGGCACTAAGTTAACGCTGGTCTATGGAGCCCTTTTTTTCCTCTATATTTACAAAGGAGTTAAGTGTGACAAATTGTATAAAATTGGGGCAGATTCTATTCCATGTTCAGAATGCAAGAATGCACAAGAATGTAATGCATGCTTATTTGAAGAAAATGAATCACCCCATGCGATTCATCTAAAGTTAAACAAAAGCAAAGAAAATGATCACAGCAATTTGAAAAAGCATCACGATTCATTAAAACTAGGAAATGTAAAGTATTATGTTAATAGAGGTGAAGGAATATCAGGGAGTTTGGGAAATTCCTTCGGAAATACATTAGAAGACATTGATAATATTAACGAAGAAATTAAAAATAGGAAAGAACAGGACTTGAGGAGTAAGAACTTTTTGGACGTTACTAGTTATAAAGAGGAGAAATTATCTGATTATTTTGTGGGTATTCAAACTCATGCAAATTTAAATGGGAACGAAGAGGAGGAGAAAACGCATGGATATGAGCCAGAAAAAGCGGACAATAAAGTAGAAGAAAAAGTAGAGAAAAAGGTGGAGAAAAACGTAGAGAAAAAAGTGGAGAAAAACGTAGAGAAAAAAGTGGAGAAAAACGTAGAAAAAAACTTTATCGATTTGAAAGGAAAAAATGCAATTGTTGAGCATACTGAAGAAAATATTTTTTTGGTACCTCTGAAGCATCTTAGAGACAGCCAATTTGTGGGATCATTACAAGTGGGTGTGCCTCCGCAAGAGATTCATCCCATTTTTGATACTGGAAGTACAAATTTATGGGTAGTAACAACCAACTGTGAGGAAAAATCATGCAAAAAAGTAAACAGATACAATCCTCACAAGTCAAAAACGTTTAGAAGATCATTCATAGGGAAAAATTTGCATATTGTTTTTGGTTCAGGTTCTATTTCAGGATCAATAGGAAAAGAGACTTTTGTGTTAGGAGATCATACAGTACGTAATCAAACATTTGGTTTAGTGGAAAGTGAATCTAATGACAGTTTAAATGGAGATAACATTTTTGAATACATTGATTTCGAAGGAATAGTTGGACTGGGATTTCCAGCAATGTTATCAGCAGGAAAAATATCTTTTTTCGATAATTTACTCAATCAGAATAAGAATTTATCTCCTCAGTTTTCTTTTTATATATCTCCTTATGATAATACATCTACATTTATAGTTGGAGGGATAAGCAAATCTTTTTATGAAGGTTCTATATATATGTTACCTGTCACTAAAGAATACTATTGGGAAGTCGATTTAGATGCAATATATGTTGGAAATAAAAAAATATGTTGTGATGAAAAAAGCTATGTAATATTTGATACAGGTACATCATACAATACTATTCCCAGTGCGCAAATAAAAAATTTTTTTCAAGAAGTTCCATCTATACCATGTACGGAAGGAAATTATGAAGAACATTTAAAATCCTACCCAGTTATTAAATATGTTTTTGGTGATTTGGTAATTGAGTTATTACCACATGAATATATGATTCTTAATGAAGACGTTTGTATGCCAGCCTACATGCAAATAGATGTGCCTTCAGAAAAGAATCATGCATACCTACTTGGTAGTATTGCTTTTATGAGACATTACTACACAGTGTTTGTACGAGGAGTGGATAACAAGCCATCCATGGTTGGCATAGCCAAGGCCAGAGTGGCCGAAGAGAAGTTATGAGTAGGAGAGGGAAAAAGTTGAACTAAATTTTGCCTGACCTCGGGGCAGGTAGACAAACACGCATTCATGTGTGTACATATATATATATATATATATATATGTATGCGTGTGTGTAAGCGCGCCCGTCGACTATCCATTGGTTCAGGTGCATAAACATATGTACATATATATATATAGATGTGCTGGTCTATCTCCTATGCACTTAAATCCATACATGCACACATTTCGCTTTTTTTTTTTTTTTTTTTTTTTTCTTCATATTATTTAAGCTAGCAAATATTTTTTTCATAAGTGCGCAAAATTTCTCACGGTATTTTTTTTTCCAAAGTATATACCGCGATACTTTTTTTTTTTTTCTTCTGTTATGCAAAACTTTAATCCGTGTCATTCCAACTTAGTAATGTTGCTTTTTTCTTCACCTAACTGAGCTGTTTTTGTTAAGTTGGAAAAGTAACAAAAACGTATATGCCTTTTTTAACCAAATTGAAAAAGTAACAAAAATGTATATGCCTTTTAAATTAAGTTGATTTTTTTTTTTTTTTTTTTTTGTCATACTGGACATGGAAAGTTTTAAAATATGGATATACCGACGGACAGCTGTGAAAGAACCTATTTGCATAATTTCGGAAAGCGATGCAGGGTTGTGTTGTATGTGTCTCGTCTGTGGAGGTAGTTAAGAATCATTGGTTTAGACAAACAATAAACTGATCGTGTTTTGAGAAAATGTAGGAAAGGTGCATTTTTAGTCTTTTTTGGAGTATTTATGTACATATTTACGTGACACAACTAGAAGAAGTGCACCAAAGTTTTTTTTTTTTTTTTTTTTTTTTTTTTATTCTGCTACTATCTTACTATACTGCAACTGTTTTGTTACTATATTGATACTACTTTGTTATTATATTTGCTATTATTTTTTATTTAAATGTACGAATGGGTTGGGATCTTGAGTGGGGCATATATCCCTCTCTCCAACTTTTGCACTTTTCGCTTAATGTATCAGAATTAGCCAATATAAAAAGCTTCTTCCTGTAGAACGAAGAAATCCAAATGAAACAGAAGAGCAATGTAGATTGTGTATTATGCATAGCAGAATTGGTCTCAACACCGTTTACACAATTAGACAATCATGTCTTACATATAAAAAGGAAGAAAAAAGTTTGTTTGATTCGTTCAAAATGTGCAAAATTGCACAAAAATGAAAAAAATGACAAGTTACATAAATCATTCAAATAATGACAACAACAAAAAAAAAAAAATAAATAAATAAAAAAAATAAAATAAAATAAAACAAAGTTGAAGCGCGTTTTGAAGTAAAAAAAAAAAAAAAAAAAAAAACAGGCGTCGGAATTAGGAGCTATGATGCATGGGTATGGGTATAATTTCTTTATTTTTATTTTTTAAAAAATGAGCCATGAAAGGTGGATGATGGTGGGTCCTATCAAATGGTGTATTCTTGTGTACATAAATTTTTTGTACTATATGATCGAGTATTATACGAACCCTGATATGCGGAAAAAAAAATACATGGTAGTGTTACGTTTGAACCATGTTATGTGTTTTTTTTTTTTTTTTTTTTTTTTTGGTTTTTTTAATTTTTTTTAATTTTTTATTTTATTTTCCCGATATGGTAAGACACAAACTAGACGCGTGTCACTGCAACGCAAGGAAATTTTATTTTTATTTTTTCTGATAGCAATTTAGTTAAGTAAAACTGGATATAGTGGAGAAGTTGGAAACATTGATCCTCGGAATCATTTAAAATTTTTATTTTCGTTTCGATATCATAGATGCAGATGTCTCCCACTTGGCTTTTTTTCTTATGCTGTACGTTAATCAGAAGAACTGTTTTGCCTGAACGGATGTGTGTGATATGGAAATGGAAAGAGAGATGTAGCATGCGAATGCAACAAGTGTGTCGTGTGGATGGCTGTGTGAAGATCTAACTCGTGAAAACTTCCAACACGTGAACACTTCCAACTCGTGAACACTTCCAACACGTGAACACTTCCAACACGTGAACACTTCCAACTCGAGAACACTTCCAACTCGAGAACACTTCCAACTCGAGAAGACACTTCTGTCACATAGGGTTCTATCTAAAATCCTTACCTCCTGTGGTCTTTCTCTGAGAAACAAGAATGACACAAAAAATAAGGCGAAGCTTATCCTTACAAGAGCCATGTTGCAAATTCAAAAAAACGTTTTTCATATTAAAAAAAAACAAATGTAAATATTCTGCTAGAAATGCATAGTAGCTGAAAATTATTCTGTTTGGATCTGTTCCATTGTCTAATTTTATCTCGTGTGTTAAGGTTCTATGGGTACTATTCTGCTTTTTAATCTGAAGTGAAGATGAAAAAAAAGGAAAAAATAGGGGTGGGGCAGAACCGTACTGATTTGGGTGTCATATTATCAGTAATGCATGGGACGTGTAAGAAAAAAAAAAAAAAAAAAAAAAAGGAGAGGGCACGGGTGGGGAGAGAAATAATAAAATTGATAAAAAGTTCCCGTTTCTCTTCCTCTCTTTCTTCACATCCATCACACATGTATGTATATGAACGGTAAACATTTCACCATTTGGCTATCTCACTATTTCCACATTTTTAAGACGTACTTTCGTAAGCTCATCTACAGATATACTGATTGGATAAAGTGGGACAAATGGAATGTGAACAGATTGTACTTGATAATAACGAGAATTACAAAAATAATCATATGATAAGGTAACAAAGGAAGATGGCATTTCAAATTTTACACAGATGAGTAAATTGTCACAGACATTTTCTACCCCTGTTAATTTGACTTGATCACTTTTTTTATTTTCTTCCTCTGCGTTCCTTTTATTGGAAATATCAACATTGTGGGGATGCTTATGCGAGTTATTATGATGGTGAAAATTTGTTTCTGTTTCTACATTTACGTTGAATTTACTTTGATGAATTAAATCGCAATCGTCTATGAGTACCATTTCATACTCTTTCTTTTTTTTTACTACATCATATGTTTTCACTTGTAGAGATGTATATATGTTGAACTTTTCAAGAGATAGATGTGGATCAACCAATTGGATATATAAACGGAGTAGTTCCTCTTCTTGGCATATCTGAAAGTATAACTTAACTTGATCATTCTCATGAATCTGATAAAACGCTTGTTTTTTCTTCCACTTTTTAAGTTCCTCTTTCAGTTTATCTACAAAATTTTGAATATCTTTGTGAAATTTTTCTCCTTTCCATGAGTTCATGTCATTATTTCTTGCAGAACTGATGGGTATATCATATGCAATGGTTATAGATGCACTTGTAGATGCCGTAACAGATGTAGTAGATTCTACAGTGTTTACCTCACCACGAGTTTCAATAGCATCTAGCGCAGATGCAAAACCCGTGACGGATGGGATATCACGTGTGTTTTTCTGATATTGGATTTGGGAATCTTTCATCTTTGCAGAATGCAAAAAAAACGAGTCGTCATACTTGAAAGGCTTGTCCAAATCTACTTGCATGTCTGACTTGGGGATTTCCACATAATCAGTTAAATAAGAGTAGAAATTAAACTCACCTACACTGTGGAAGTTACTCTCACTGTTGCAGTGCCTCACAGGGATCCCATCGCTTGCCTGGGTAATGAGGGAAGTCTGGACATTTATCAAGGTAAGAAGAATCCTCAACAAAACACACCTATCAATATTGTGCACGGTGTCCCTCTTATCAATGAGATAATTCACGTGAAAAGCCAATTTTTTGAAATAAAAAGAAACCACATTTGCATGTTCCTCGAACTGATAAAAGAACAAAAAAATTTTCATAATATACCACAAAATGCTACTGGAACTAAAGTGGGTGAAAAATATATATAAGGAAAAAAAAAATATATTAAGAAATTCGTTATTTTTATATTCCTTTATCTGGTTGTAAGTTTCTTCTAGGTAAAGACTTAAAAAATAAATTAGATACTCAAATATGGTTACATTTACTCTATTCACATCTTCATATGGTACTTTCTCGTTGTCTATATTAATGTTTTGCTTCATATTTAATGTAGCTGTGATATATGCAAATATGTCATACCGAGACAACACATCAAATGTTTTGATCTCTCTTAAGAAGTTGCAAATATCGTCTAGAATGATAGAGTCGTGATTTGTTTTATGTACACCGTGTATTGTTTTAACTGAAGCATGAATGTTTGTTCCATCTTGCACATTCTCTTGCACATTTGTTGGATTAGCATAGCTCATCTTGCTTGTATCAGAACCCCTCACTATATCTGAAGCTACTGGTGGTGCCTGACTTAGAGAATACTTCATCAATGCAGCACTATATGTAACTATATACATAGCACTCAAAAAATTTGTTGTGATATGAACAGTATCCTCTTCTCCAGGTTTTTTGTTTACACGAAGAATTTCCTGCAGCACATCTAATTCTTTTTTGTGGTTCTTAAGACATAGCAAGAAAAATAAAATGAAAATATATAAATTCCGATTTTTCACCAAGTGCAAATGATTCTCTCCATACTGTAGTATAACATTTATGTATTCTCCTGTAAAATCAGATTCTGATTTATTGTGGAGATAGGTTAAGATATTGTAAACAATACTTTCGAAATTATTTTCATTCATCAGGTAGTATAAGATATGAAGCAAAATTCTTCTTATAGTAATATCTTTGTAAAAATTATTTAAAATACCATTTGAAAATTGGCTTATCATATTGTACTGCATGAATTTGTAATACAAATTTGGAGACACGAATATGTATTCATACAACTTGGTTGTCATGTAAACGATATTTTTGTCTTCATTGAAAAAATCCTTCATCAGGTATCTCAAACATAGGTACAATAGTTTGTCCATGGAATTCTGAATCGTTTGTTCATTCTGGGAATCAGAAGATATGATTCCTCTTTTTACATTTACATTTCGATTACTCTGTTGGTCGTCTCCCTTGATAGTATCAGATAATGGAATTGTGTCTCCTACGAAATTTTCCTTCTTTTCAAATTTAGACGCATTTTCCTTAGGTGGAACAACAGTGCTGTTTTCTAGACTCTTTTGATGTCTCTCGTTTAAATATCCACTTTTGCATTTACCTTCAGCAGATTTGGTACTCTCTTCTGTAGTTACACTGACAGTTGGGACCTCTTCTGGAATCGTCACTGAATTGATCACATACCTCTCAATGTCGAATTCAATGTAGCAATCCTTTGGGTAGTTAATGAGTAAAAACGCTAGGCATTCATATATGACACTTTTCGCCTTGCTAGTAAAAAATATATGAACAATTAGATGCAGAAACTTTTTATAGATTCTGTTTTCATATTTTACTAGCCTATTTAAAAACTTGATTATTTTTATAAGCTTCCAATTATCAATCATGCTGAGGCGTTCATTTAGTATGTTGTAAATAAGGGGAATAAAGGAAAGGAACTTTTTTAGATGTACAGATACTTCATTTTCATGGATTATTTTTCTGGTTTCTTGTTGGTCATGGGTTCTACTACACGCTTGGTAGCTCTTATCTGTTTGTTTAGCTGGCAAATTTGTAATATCTCTTTTGTGGTACATATTGTTTGCCTCTTCCATTGGTGGCCTACCCTTTCCTTTGTTCTTTCCTATGTTGGTCGAATTCCTCGTATTTCCTATCGACATTTCACACTTTTCACCTGAACATGTCAGGTCGTTTTTCTCCAAAGTGCAAAATATCTCGGCTAGTATATTAATTATGAGACAGCATAAAATAGTGTTATTGTTCGTATGAGAGTAATCCACTTGATCCTTTGGAAGTTTATTGAAAGACGGATTCTCATTATTGTAAAGTGCAATGAAATTTTTTTTTATAACATCAAAGAATATGGGCAATATATCTAGATTACAAATTACTAATTTGTGTAAACTTATAATGGTTTTCTTTCTTATATAAAGTTGAGAGTTATTCAATAGGAGGAAAATATCACTATACAGATTACTGCTCATGATATTTGTGCATATATTACTTACAGTATTTAAAATAAGTACTGTGTTGTAAATTTTTGTTTCTTTTTCAAAGCAATTTCTTTGACCGAATTGATTCTTTTTATGATCTTCTCCTTTCGTGGTAATTTCATTAAAAGGGAGATTCTGCCTTTTCACTGAAACAGAGTTGGCACTTGATCCATTTGTTACATCAATGTATGCGCTTATAGAATCATTGAGCAGGGAAATATTATCCTTCACAAATGTACATCCAATGTTGGATAGAGAACTGAGAACATTAGCCTTGGTGCATGAACTGTCAGTTGGGAAATTCTCTTTATATAATTCTTTTTTAAATAAATTTATTGAAAGGAATATAATATCCTCTTTGTCACTAGCATTATGTAAAAATAAATGTGCACGTCTTTTCAATATATATTTATCACATGTTAATATTTCTATTACAGCAAAATTATGTTCTGGATCTATTTTTTTACCAAACATTTGTAGATATAGCAATTTTAAAAGTGCGATTGATTTTTCTTTAATTGTAGAATTATTCAAAAGAAATATGTGTTCATTTTTTTTTTTTTTTTTTTTTTCTATTTCTTTAATGCTGTTAACACAGAGTTCATAATTTTTTTCCACATTTTTTATGCTATCGTCCCTCTTGATATCTTTAATCATCTCAATGAATGATCCATTCATTTTGTCTTCCTCTACCTCGTCTTTTCCTTTTATGCCTGTCGCGTTTATCTGTTTATTTGGCCTTTTACTTGGGAAGGTGAGTGAGATACGTGGGTTCAGTATTAGTTAAGCTCTTATATTTTTGCTTTTCCATATGAGATATGGTTTCATACCTTTGCTTCTCTGAAAGAGATACGGGATCATATCCTTGCTTCTCTGAAAGAGATACAGGATAATACCCTTGCTTCTATATATTAGTTAAGTTTTTATGTTTTTTTTGGTTCTCCATATGAGATCTACTTTGTCCCTCGTCTTGGATGTCTAAAATGTCTGTGTTTCGTTTAACCTTTTGCCTTTATCACCTGAACAGTTACAGCTAACTAAAGAATACGTCAGATGTGGATCATGGGCCAAGTAGGAGATGCAACAACTTATTTTTTACAGTTGCTATACTGTCACAAATGCGAAGGTGTGTGTGTGTGAGGATAAAACGTGTGAGGGTTCAATTAATCAACTTATAGATCATAATTCATTGGAACGAGATATAAATCAGTTTCTCGATGTCTAAAATATGTTTATGCATTTTTGTTAATGCATCGTAAAAATGTGAGTTGTTCCTGAGAGTGGGTGTGGTGTGCTTCTAGAAAAAAAAATACTTCAAGCTAATTTGAGAGAAACTTCGTCACTCCTTGTATTTCTTTTATCTTTCCTATATTTTCTTAATTTTTCATTTTATTTTAATTTTTTTTTTTATATATTCTCGTTCGTTTATGGTAAGTAGTGGGGCACCTAAATAATTCCTGTTGAATTTTAAATTTGTTGGCTCCGCTTTGCAACATTATCTATTTTTTGGTATCACAAATATGTACACAGCTGTTTTAAATTCGCAAAAAAAGGATGAACATATTTTACATTTTCTCATTTTTTTGGCTCATTTTTTGGCACGCTTTTTGTCGTGTTTTTTTTTTTTTTACCTGTTTTTTTTGGCGCGTTTTTAGGTTTTTTTTTTTTAGTTTTTTTTTTTTTTTTTTTTTTTTTTTTTTTTTTTTTTTTTTTTTTTTTTTTTTTTTTTTTTTTTTTTTTTTTTTTTTTTTTTTTTTTTTTTTTTTTTTTTTTTTTTTTTTTTTTTTTTTTTTTTTTTTTTTTTTTTTTTTTTCAACTCCCTTAGCAATTTAGCAAGTCAGCACATATATTTGTTGTGATGCAGTAGGGACAATAGGATATTCGCAAAAGCCAACACACAGGAGAGAAATGTTGATGGAGGTGTGATGGTAGAGAGATAAGAAGCTATGCAATTGTGTAAACGTATATGTAAAATAAGCAGAACAAAATGTGCTGAGGAGGAGAGCCGCTTGATGCATCCCTATATCGCAACTTCTCTAAGCTTCAACCTAACTATATATATATATATATATATCAATCTCACTACGCACCTCAATCTGAACCTGAATTGTAAGGGAACGTCAAGCTTAATAGGTTTTGTTGGCTCTACCAAGGGTGGAATTGTTACTCATTGAATTCGGGATAATGGCGCCTTCCTCCCCCTCAGGTCATTTGAAATCTCTTTTTTTTTTTTTTTTTTTTTTTTTTGTTGCTGTTGTTGTTATACTCGTTTGAGCATGCTAAGTTTCTACCTTAACGAAAAGTTAAAAAGTTGGAGACACACACACATGCCAAAAAAAAAAAAAAAATAAAACGGAAAAAAAAAAGAATAAATATATTCGCCATATGTTACATTTGTGTATGGGCTTATAATTATATATTCTGGCAGGGAGATTTTTTTTTTTTTGTTTTTTTTTTCCTTTTTTTTTTATGATTAGCGATTCATTTGTGGGAGTACTTGTCAAGGTGTATTGACTAATATTTCTACACAAATTAACAGAAATGAGACACATTTTAGAAGAACACTTCTAAAAGGGTTTGCAAGCAAAGTGGTGAGACATCTCAGTTCTAACGGTAGCATTTACGTTAGAAAGAAATGAAAATAAATTCTCTCCATCATCCGATTTATCATGGAGTTATAATCACTGAAACCACCATGTCCTCCATGCTTCGAAAAGGAAATGTAAAGAGGTTTTTTTTTTCTCTCAATTTCATTTTGTTCATTATGGAAATTAAAAAAATTTACCCGTTCTATTAAAGTACGCTTTCCTTCAATATGATGCGTGTCAAATGTGTAGTAGGAGAACTTCATTTCTACGTTCTTATAATCTTTATATTTTAAAAAATATTTAATTGAATTATAATTAGGACATATAATATCATATCTGTTTAGATACAATAAAACGGTACTTTTAAGAAATTCATGATTATTATTATGATTAAGATTATGATTATGATTAAGATTAAGATTATGATTATGATTATGATTAAGATTAAGATTATGATTAAGATTATCATTACCCTTTACTTGAATATGTAATGAACTGATGCCTTCTGGTTTATTGGATGTGTGTACAACTTCACGATAGTCGGGTTCTATTCTGTTATATGGGCATATGGAATACAGAAAGAGCATATTATTTTGGTGACACAAACTTAATTGTCTTTCCTTGTGTTTATTTTTTGTGTGATTGTGTGTATCGTTTTGATTATTCATAATTCTACAATCCTGATGTGTTGCATTATTTCGAAGAAATTTTCGCGTATCATGAATGTTACAGATTTTATTTTTCTCTCTATGCTGAAAGCATTTCCCATTTTGCAAATTACCAATTTTTGGTTTTATATTTCTTTTTCTACATTCTGAACGACTCTTGGGTGGAGAAGCATTTCCATTCAGGAGAAGTTCGTGTGGAGAAACATTTCCAAATTCAAGATGCTCAGATTGTGCGTGGGGATTTTTCAAATCGGTAAGATTATTGAAAAGGTCTAACATTGGGTTCACGAGAATAACATTTTGAATTATTTTGTTTCTTGTTTGATTTAAAAGAAAACCCCCGAGTAATCCACTGTTAGAGTGAAGATATATAGACATATTATCGGTATCACTTATGTTCATGTATTTAATAAAATTTATGCAATCTGTAAGCTCTCGAATGATCCTTAATTTTTCGTACGCCTTACATTTTGTCATTTCACCCATTTTGCCCACTTCGCCCATTTCGCCCACTTCGCCCATTTCGCCCATTTTGCCCACTTCGCCCATTTCGCCCATTTTGCCCACTTCGCCCATTTCGCCCATTTTGCCCACTTCGCCCATTTTGCCCACTTCGCCCATTTTGTTTATTTTATTTTTTTTTTTTTTTCCGTCTTGCAATCCACCTGAACCGGTCAGGTGAAAATAAACGATGACATAGTCATTTAAAAGGTAAAAATGAAATTCATCCGAATAGCTGCAAATGTTCAGTTGGTGATAAAATGGGTACACATTAATAATCGTCTTACTCGGTTGAATAAACAATGGAAGCTGTGCTTCTCCACCCTCTCCTTCGTCTTCTTTATGATAAAATTTCTTTCCTCCTGCTTGTGCAGGGAATTTCACTGAAGATAGAAATTTAAAGACGTTCTTTCCCCTATCGGAAGCAATAGTCTCATCGGCACATGTGAAGAAGTTTTTATAAACTTCCTCTCTGACATGACAGAGATTCTTATTATTTTTGTGTTTATAAATGAGTGTAATTGGTATTTGGTTTCTTCCCTCTGGTGTGTAAATAAACAAATCTTTAATTTTGAATTTTAAATTTTTATGAAAAATCTGTTCAAATTGTAAATCATACAAGATATTATTTTTTGAGCGAAAGAAAAGCGTTTTTTTTTCTTCTTCTTTCATAATATTTTCTGGAAAAGCAATTATTCCTTTCCTTAGATTTATCACCAATCTGATACTGCTTACAAATGTGTTTGAAATGTAAACATTTATCATGTGATTTTGGAAGATGTTATTAATTCCACATTGTATGCTCCCCTTTATCAAGGGTAAACGCACGGTTCTTATCTTGTACACTATTTCACATTCGCTACTAGGAATGTTTGTCTTTCTCGATTTGTTCCCCATTTTTGTATTCCTGCACACCTTTTTCTTGTTGCACATTTTTCTAGCTATACCAGCTTTGTTTGTCTCATCCTCCACTTCTCTGTGCTTCCAAAGAAGTCTTCGAGGTTTACTTCGCTTGGGTAGTGTGTCATGAATGCTGTCTCTTGGAACTAGTTCATTTCCCCTATGAGAGGAGTGATATGTGTGACATTTGACAATTTTCTTTCTGAACATGTATATTATACATATAAATGGATTCAGGAAATAGCGATACATGCAAAAAACAAGTCCAAACTTAGTCATGTCAAAGTCGTGGAGTGTGCAATTTTGCAAAGATACTATTCTTGTTAGATAATCATCTACATATACTTCTTCCCTTGTAAGGTGTACATCATGTGTTGAGAATTTTAAATGAATCTTTACTCGATTCTTAAATGTTGTTGTTTTTTTTGATAAAAGGAAATGTAACTTATCATAACTGAGGATGTATATGTTCGTTTGATTATTCTCTTGTCCTAGGAACAATAAATGATTTTGAAAATTTTCGATAAAATATTTCCCCTGTTGAAATATTGCACCGGAGAATTGAATTAGCTGCAATTCATAGTGTTCATTCTTTTTTTTCTTCATTTTTTTTTTTTTATTCTTAAAATGGAGTAAAAATAATTTGTTTGTGTGATGATTTCCACTTAGAAGGAAGAGTCTTTTCATGTCTTTACTTTGGTATAAATTTAAAAAATTTTCTTCATTTTTTTCTTCAAAAAGTAGGTTCTTATGTAATGGGAAATAAACTGAGCAAGCATTGGTGCATGAGTTCAAGTATAACTTTCCACATCTATACTTCTCATCAAGTTCTGTAGTGAGAAAGTCATTTGTTTTTTCCCTATTTACAAACTCGATATTTTGAACTCCCTGTTGTTGGAAGAAGCATCGGTTAACAATACTGTGTCGGTGCACATAACTGTTCCTTCTAGCACTCCGCTGTGAACAGAGTACCCTACTTCTGCAATTGTCACGATGATTTTTTTTCCCTCCTTCAGTAGAACTGCACCTCCAGATTGCAACTCCTCGAGTATCTCTCTCCAGTTTTTTCCATCTGTAGAATGGAAAATTTTGTTTACAATCTAGTTGATCCAGGTGCTTGTCCCTAACAATGGTAGTTCCTCTGAAAATGTATGCCCAATTTAAATTACAATCATAGTGCTCTACAATGAAAGAAAAGAAAGAATTTCTTTTTACGTTAAAAAATTTGACAAAACAAGTTGAAGGGAATATAGCAACAATTTCACATGTGTAATTAGAAATGTACTTTTCCTTTTTCAGATCATCTATAGATTTGTTAATCTGATAAAATCGAGAATTAGAGTCAAATTTTCTTTTTATTTTTTTTCTACATACTAAGAGATGCTTTTCAGTCTTATGTTCAAAATATACATATCTGCTATGGAATACTAGTTCTTCATTTCTGTTTCTTTCACAGGGCAAGAGGTTCTCATGTAGAGTCCTGTGCACATCATTTTTTATTATCTCTAGGCTCTTTTTCGCTATTTTATTATTGTAATTGTTGACATAATTTTTCACTAAATCTGATTTTCCCCAATGGGTGTTTAGTTTTTCAATATGGTTGTACACGTCTGTTACTTTGGCGAAGATGTAGTTCCTAATTTTCATTTCAAGGGTTCTTCTCTTTCGTCACTCGTGTAATCAATCTGTCTGTCGGTATGTCTGTTGCTATTTCAGTTTCTGTGCGTTCCTATTTCTTCGTTTTTTTGTTTTTCCATTGTTCAATTGAGTATACTCTCTCCACACGCGCACTTTACACTGGGGATATTTCTTATGTAAAAAAAAAAAAAAAAAAAAAAAAAAAGAAAAAAAAGAAAAAAAAACAATTACCCCTATTATAACAGTATAAAAAGGAAAACTTCCATAGAGAATGCAGCGGGATGAATCCATTAAACAGTGCCAAAATTTTCCGCATCAACTTGCATGCACTTGTTTCTGAAGTTTCATTTTTATCACTACTATGAAGGGTACAGCATACCTCTAATGCCTACTACACACCTGTTGCAGTTACAGGAATTATAAACAAAAAAAGGAGTGTGGGTAATAAAATTGTGCACATGCATAGGGACAAAAAAAAAAAAAAAAAAAAAAAAAATCAAATTATTTTCTATAATTTATTTGGAATACAAAAATTAAAAAAAAAATACATTTCTGAAAATGGAATAACACCACAGGTTAAGCCGCTTTTGTATAAACACAATTTAGGATAAGTTACTTGGAGAGGAATTAAAAAAAAAAAAAAAAAAAAAGCGATCACGTGAGAGAAAAGGGGTTAAAAAAATAATGCCATCGTCATCCACTAAGAACAAACGAGGGAATTTTTTTTTTTTTTTTAAAATCCTATATACTCATGGATAAAAACATATTTAAAAAAAAAGAAAAAAATTTAGATTGTTTTATTTTTATTGGAGAGATATTGTGTCCGTACAAAAAGCAGGATGGGGTAAAAGAAGAAAAAAAAAAAAAAAAAAAAAAAAAAAATGATCTTGACTTGCTATGGCGATAAAATTTCGTGATTAATCATATTACTTCTGTTGTACTTCCACAAAAGCAGCATGAGGGAGGTATATGACGAATGGTTGTTATACCATTATATGTATATATATATGTTTATATATATACACAGAACACATATATGTGTGCCAACATTTCGACGAATTAACAAACAGGTGAAGTGGACACGTAAAACGGACAGATCATACATATAAAGCCAGAAAAAAAAAGAAAAAGAGAAAAAAAAAAAAAAAAAAGAGGATAGTTTGTCTCACTTGGTCACCTTATACTTCTTTATTTCATTAAGCAAGCTCTTGGCTTCAGCATTGTTCTGAAAATGATCTCGCACAGGTTGTAACATTTTGTTTAGATACTTTGAAACGTTGTCCTTCAGGTCTAAGGGATGCACTGAGCCATTAATGTAATCTTCCTCCAGTTCTGAAATTGTGGTGTAAATTTTATTTCCTGCAAAAGGTGAGGCATGGTAGAGGGTTTGAAGAAGCGAGTGCGCGATAAAAATAAAAATAAATAAATAAAAATAAATAAATAAAAATAAATAAATAAAAATAAATAAATAAAAATAAATAAAAAAATAAAAATAAATAAATAAAAATAAATAAATAAATAAAAATAAATAAATAAATAAAAATAAATAAATAAATAAAAAAAATCGACGAGATAGTAAGCCTTGTCTCAGCAGACGCTCATAATGATGGGCAGCGTCCAACCACGTACGATCACAATACACATGCGTGTGAATGCAAACAGGTAGAGAGACAGACATACGCAGCATCTATATCTACATCTGCACCTGCACCTGCACCTGCATTAGTATCGCTTTGCACTGGAGTTAGAAGAGAAACTTACCCCCGTCCTTGTCCCTGCGTTGAAGAACAAATTGGTTGTATCTAGGAAATATAATACTCTTGGCATAAGCAAAAATGGGATTATTCTCTATAACACATGGAGGACAATATGCCTTTTTAATTTTTCTATTTACATCTGGTTCTAAATCATCCATAAATATAGCTGAATTTTCATCAGATTTGGACATCTTCTCTTGTCCCTCAAGTAATCCTGGCAGCATTTGATGGGAAAGAATAATTGGTTTTTTTTTAATTTTTTTAATATCACAATATTCTCTTGCCAGCATATTTACCTTTCTTTGATCAGTCCCTAATTGGCATATATCTACGTTCAAAAAAAATATATCTGCACATTGCATGCAAGGATATAAAACTTGGGAGCAATAATTTTCTTCTCCTTCTGTTCTTCCCATTATTTTTAAACATCTTTTTATTCTATTGATATTAAAACTTTTTGATATGTCAATTACTCGTGACCAATATTCATCTGGTTTTTTATTAATTTCATCGCTTGCCCATAAAAAATGAACATTCTCCATATCCATGCCACAACTTTTCCACACTTCGATAAAATATTTTCCTACCTTCTTTATTTTCTTTAAATCTCCTGACACTTTGTTGTTCAGCTGTGCGAACCAATCTGCAATCCAGAAGATGAACGTGCAACCGTTCTTGGTCAAGGTATTCACGATGTGGCTCTTTAGAAGTCCTGCAGTGGTGAGTGGAAGCAGCGTTTGAGAATGAGTAAAGGATAGCACGTGAAGCATGGTGTGCTTAGAGAAACTTCTCAGACACACACCATTGTGCCTGTTTTGATTTCTTCAATTTGAGAAAAAACGTACCCTGTGCTATGTGCATGCGGCCAGATGGTTCAAAGCCATCATAGCAAATCAATTTTCTTTTCAAAAGGAGTCTGGCCTTTAGCTCCTCCGGTTGAATACACTCAGAAGCAATCGAAAGAATATCCTTAAATCTTTTTTCCACATCTTCTTCAAGATTTATAATTTCCTGTGTTTGTTTCAATTCTCCTTCGATTTGCTGTTCTTCCCGTTTGATGTTCTCTTCTTTCATTTTGTGATAAAATGAAAAATTATGTTTATGAATTATGTTGAGCTTGATAATATTCTTGTTCCTCAAAAGTTTTAACATATCACTAGGTTTGTGCCACTTTTGTAATGGCGATATATGTTTTGTATGTTCTCCGTCTGCTTGTTCTGATTCGAAGTTTTGTAAAATTCATCAAGTTTTAACTCCATGCAAAGTGTGGCTATTTTTTTTTTTTTTTTCTTTCTCTTTCTATTTCTCTTTCTATTTCTCCCTTTCCTCTTTTCTATACCATATTGCTAAATATATGTAAAATAAAGTACACAGAGCATAGAAACATGGATTCCAATTTTATTTTCAAATTGGGTAAAGTAGCATATGTAACATGTAAAATATATATATATATATACAATTAATTATATCAGAGAATTGTGATGGGTTTTCCCCCAACTACCTATTTCGGTGTCACTGCACTGGGGAAAAGAAAATACCACACATGTTAGCCCATAAAAATACACCAAAAAAATAAAATAAAATAAACGATCAAAAGGGTGAAAAAAAGAAAGAAGCAATTTTTAACCTTCACAAGTGGCAAAAAAAAAAAAAAAAAAAAAAAAAAAAAAAAAGAGGAAGCAAAGCAAAGCTATATTTTGTGTCACGACTTCAGGTGTACAAAAATCATGCACGTACGTATATATACCCCTCACAGGTAAATAATAATAAAAAAAAAGGAAAAATAAAGAAGAAAAAAAAAATAATCACTTCTCTTGGGATGCAATAAAAACGATTACTTTACTTTTCACCATGCTAGAGAGGCAGAAAAATGAAGTACAAATATGCCAAGTAAGCTAAGCAAAGCTAAGCAATGTTAAGCAAAGCGAAACAAACTCGTTCACGTATATTTCTAAACACACAAGAAAGTTAATAACTGAAATATACCATATTACAAGTGAGCTTACCAAACGAGTGAGAAAACTTCTCTCTCCCACCCCGATCACCTCCAAATTTTTCACCTTTCCTAATTGTTGACACGGCCATCACCACCCTCCCCGTACCTCAGCTAAATACATCAGACAACGCAAACTCGTATAAAAAAAAAAAAAAAAAAAAAAAAAAAAAAAAAAAGAAGCATACATATAGACATACCCAATACAGAGACGTACCCTCTCACGTTGTACACACATATGCACTTATTATGATTAGGATCTAAGTATTTATCTCTTGCCTAACTGTTTCCCAAAATGAGTACGATCGAAGCAACTATAATATGCATTGACAACAGTGATTACAATCGGAATGAGGACATAATACCCAATCGTTTTTTATCTCAGGTAAGTGTGGACGAGTACGCATGCATGAGTAAGGCATACTTTAGTAGGCCTGCTTTAATAGGCCTGCTTGAGGTGTATAATTTTTGCTAAAACATTGATTTAATGTTCTTGGGATGAGAGATATGATCCAATATCGAAAAAAAAATATTAAAATTAATAATCATATTTTTTTTTTTTATCCTTAAGTTTATGTGTATGTAGAAGAGTAGTGGTGAGTGGGGAAAGCTGAATTTTTTTATTTTTTTTATTTTTTTTTTTGAACCCTCTCTCCCTCCCACGTGCTCTCTTAAGTCTGCCACATTTGCTCAGAGGAGATGGTGAACTGTTGGTCATACTCAGGACCTGATAAATTCGTCACGTTGTAACGTCACGGTATTGTAACGTCACCGTATTGTAACGACACCACGTTGTTACGACACCACTGAATCTCCTACCAAAACGTGACCACTTTTCCCCAACGTGTAGATCGACTGTGTGAACGTCCTGTGCTGTAACAAAACGAGCATGCACTACAAGAACAATATTGGAATTATAATGATGGCAGGAGACAAAACAAAGGTGAAGGTATCCCTTACAAATGATATAGGACAGTTGCTGTCATGTATTCACGACATTAAACTAGATGGGACTTGTGATGTTGTAAGAAGCTTGTTGATTGCACAGCTGGCACTTAAACATAGAATGGATAAAAATTTAGGGCAGAAGATTATGCTTTTTATTGGAAGCCCTTTTGAAGTAAATGAAAAACAGATGATAAGCACAGGAAAACAGTTGAAAAAGAATAATATATGTTTAGATATTATTAGCTATGGAAACATAAGTAAGAATCGAGATATGTTAATGAAATTATTTGAAAGCGTAAATCATAATGATAATTGTAGATATATTGAATGTCCTGAATCAGAAAATAATTTAAGTAAATTTGTTTTAAATTCCTTTTTGAATAACAACGATTTTAACATTGGAAATATGCAAGAAGATGAACAGTTGATGAATGCTATGCAAATGTCAATGGAAGAAAGTCAACACATGTCAGATCACAAAAACATTTCCTCTTCTAATGCAGCAATTCATTCCCCAAAAAACGATGAATTGCCAACTGTTGAAGAAATAGAAAATATGAAAGATATAGATAATGATCTTAAGGAAGCACTAATTTTATCACTAAAGGAGTATACAGAGAAAAACAAGTCTGAAAATTCACAATCTGTGTCTAAACCAACGGTAGATGAATCGGTACCTCAAGAAAGAACTGATAAATCTGGTTTCCCCAATGGAAATGAACAAATGGAAATTACCTCTTCTCAGCAGCACCTTCTACAAACATCAAGTGAGGATGCAAACTCTTCTATTGCAAATCAGGAGAAAAAGAAGAAAAAAAAAATCATTTTTGATGAAAAAAATGAAGAAAATCCATCAAATATGTCCCTTGTGAATGAAAATTACAAAAATAATTTTGACACTTGCAGCAACAATATGCACATGGAAGAAACCAAGGAAAAGAAAGAAAATGAAAGTTATGAAAAAGTTTTTAAGATAGATAAGGAAGAACCTAATTTAGAAGGAAATCACGAAACAGATGATATAAATGAAAATATTTACACTTGTGATAAAAAACTTTCAAAAAGCAATGACGGGGATGCTCTTTCGAATGAGAACGTGGATATCACAACCGGTCCCTCAGCTCAAATCCAAGACACAACTTACATTTCAAACATCCTCGGGATGATTAATGCTAATGTCAATGTATTTAAAAATGATGAATCTGATGAGAAGGAGAAGGAAAAGGAAAAGGAGGACCCTCCGACGAATCAACAGAACGAGAACTAGTACACGAACGCGTTCCTTGTCTAACCTGGTTTACTTATCATGCATTAATTTTTACTTTATTTCTCCCCAAGTTGAACCTTTTTTTGTTCACTCTGTTCTATCGCTCTATCTCGACCACTTTGCTTCTTTGCTTCTTTTTTTTTTTTTTTTTTTTTTTTTTTTTTTTTTTTTTTTTTTTTTTTTTTTTTTTTTTTTTTTTTTTTTTTTTTTTTTTTTTTTTTTTTGCACACTCGTGGTATATATATACACTGGTGAAGTGTGTCCTTTTGTCTCCAGTAAATATGTTAAAACGTCTTTTTTCATTATAAAAAAAAAAAAAAAAAAAAACATGTGTGATCGATTACTCCAATCATCTTTATGATTATAGCAAAATGGGTGTATCTGTTAAAATTCGTTCTCTCCTTAAGGTAGTACCTGTAGGAGTAGCGGTAGTGCTGGTGATTGCTCATGGGTTAGGTCAAAAATCGAGTAGCTTTTTTTTTTCTTCCTCCTGTTGCTCTTGTGTACGGATGAAGAAATCACCTGAACGGACAGGTGAAAATTGGTTGATGAGTAGTATAAACATAAGGAAATGTGTCTTACCTGCGTGGAGAAGAATGTTAATGGAACAAGAGAATGGTGATTTGGTTTTGTGGGATGATAAAACTGAGCAAAGCAAATTAATCTCAAAAGAAAGGAACGAAAATGACATTCGAAAGGAGGATAATCAGATTGTCTTAGGGGAAGAATTTGTCGGTTATCCAGATCAGGAGATCAAAAATGATTTCTCAAAAGTGAGAGATGAAAAAAAAAAGAATGAACATGCGAGGGAGGAAGAAAAGGAATTTCAACATAACCATAACGAAAAGAAGGTGAAAGGTTACAATCCCCATTTGATATTTAGTGAGTATATATTAGCAGATCCTCACAGTAATATCAAGGTAGAACCACATTTTCACAAAAAATTGTCATTTCTCCCTTTTGAACAACTTCCACTTAATAAAATAAAAATGATTGAAATAGATATGCATAATAGAAGTAACAGATCCACTCTCCTTAGTGGGGAACATGAAAAGAGTGACAATCATCGAAACATATACATGCAAAAAAAAAAAAAAAAACATGATGGATTCAATTTTGATCGGAAAGAACAACTATGTGTTGATGAATTCGCAAAGAATACAGCAGATGAACATCCCCTTGGAAGTAACCATAAGAGTGAAGAAAAAAAACTTTTTACTAGAACCAAGACACAGAAGCGAAGAGAGAAAAAAAAAAAAAAAAAAAAAAAAAAATATATTGAACAAATTGTTTCCTATAGAAGGTATCCTTTTGGATGCTCCTCTAATGAAAGACATAAGACCTTGCAAAACTGCACACGAATCGTACATAAATCACTTGAACAGTGGGGAAAACAGGAGAGAGACATATCTCTTAAGACGTACCAATTTAGGAACACCGGGAGGAAATAAAAAAACAATAAATAAAATTCTTACACCACGCATGGTTAAAGTTATAAAACGATATCTTCTAAACAGAAAAAAAATAAAATAAAAAAAAAGTCCAAACTTGGCTTCACGTAACGTAAACAGAAGTACTGTCACGCCCCATGGGTTCACATTTTTCAGGTATGGCTAGCTGGAATGGTAGTAAGCGCAAGCAGTGACCATTCCCTTCAAACTATTATTCTTTTTATCCATTTGGCTCTTCACTTTTCTGCCTCTTCACCTATTTGCATGATACCCCTAAGCGTGTGGAAACAATTTCCTCTTCCATGGGTAGATCAGTGATGGAGGCATCGCAAAAAATCAGGAAGCTTCGATGTTTCCTTTTCCCATGCTATTCGATTCCACAAGGAGTATTTACTATTGCACCGTTGTCACATTGCACCGTTACTACATTGCACCGTGCGAAGGAGAATTCATGTCCCACTCAGACAGAAAACAACACAAGGTGAACTCCCGTGACGTTGAATGCCAAATGAAAAAATTTTCTTCAATTTGAAGAAAATTCTCTCTTAATGTTTACATATCCAGCTAGATGCATACGGACAGGTGCCAAGTTAGACACATGTGAATAAATGGTATAATTCCATGATCGACAAATGATGGTGGTGATTCAATGAATCGAATTTTTTTCTTTCACGGAGTTTATCAATATAGGTCTGAATATCTATGTATCTAAATTTTGAAAATTATATTTTGATAGTACATCTGTAGATTACTCACTCTTATCCCCTTCATTTTTGCTCTTACACTACATTGTAATAGCATAAAACAATCAGTACCTTTCGATAATGATTGCATAACTAATTTGTTTGACATGTACATAAGAAAAAAAAAAAGGTGTTCTCATTAGTGTGGTAAGTTAGCATCTAATATAATTTATTCTCTTGGGAATGTTGTAAGGGTTTGGAGAAATGGCTAAAAAAATAGCGAAATGTTGAAAAGAATATGACTTAATTGTTAATGTGAAGTGGGGAGTAAACTACACTGCTACACATGTACGTATGCAGTTGTGCCTTTTTTACAAAGAAATAAGCGGTTACAAAATATGTATATTTTATCTAAATATAAAACACGTAGTCTCATCTATAAGGGACATTTGAGTTGTAGTTTATAAAATAATTTTCTACATGATGCATATAAGTTTGTCGAAAATGGATGTCTAAGGGTGTAACTAGTCGCATGTGCAAGAAAAAATAAAATAAAAAAAAAAATAGTAGGCAAATAAGATAACTACTTAACCATTTGTAATATATTATCAATGGGGAGGCAGGAGAAAGATTTGCATGCATGTGTTCATACATTATAACAATCCTTCGTTTTTTCTCAAGCATAGACGATACCTCGTGTGCTTTACATACCCGTTGCATATGTGGATAATGTCGTGCTGATGGTTTTTTTTTTTTTTTTTTTGTACCTTTGGTTTTAGCCTATCTGTTTCTAAGCATATTCACATGTATGGGTTATACATGTATATGTATGTTTTTTTTTGTTTTTTTTGTTTTTTTTGTTTTTTTTGTTTTTTTTGTTTTTTTTGTTTTTTTTTTCGCGCCACCCTACTGCCCTTCAATTTTTCTCTTAACGGAAAAGCATGCATTCGTTATATCCCCATCCCTGAGGAATATTTTTGGGCGCAATGAGAAAAACTGGCTACGACGATGATTTCTTTTGTTTTATTTTTTACATACTATTATATATATATACATATCGCATATGTATGCACCTGTATATGTACACATACGGATATACGTATGTATATATGTATGTATATGTATATATATATATATATATATATATATATATATATATATATATATATATATATATATGTAGCATACCAATAACATGTACATGCACGAGAACATGTTTTTATTTTTTTATTTTTTTTTGGTTGTTTATTTATTCATCTTTGCCTCTTACACAGTAGGGATATTTAAGAAAAACCAAGTTTTTATCAAAGAGCAAAACAGAAGGGGAAAAAAAAAAAAAAAAAAAAAAAAAGCACCGAAAAAACTGCAACATTATTTTTCATGGGTAAAATTAAACAATTTCAGTCACGCGAAAAAAAGGGGAAATATAAGAAAAATGCCATTTGGACGTAAGGGCATGAGAAGAAGGAAAAATATAAGAAAAAATTAAGCAAGGTATAAGCATATAATATAATAATAATTTAGGCAAAAACTTAGGTATCATACGAGCATCATACGAGCATCATACAAGCATAATATAAGAATTATTTAAGCATAATTTAAGCATAATTTAAGCATAATTTAAACATAATATAAGCTTAATAGAGGAAAAATTTAGGCAAGCAGAACGTGCATACAAAACACACGCATGCACAGGAGTAACATTTTGCAACTCATGCGCGACCCATTTGTACCAGAAGTGACCTTTTTGAATTGTTAAACAAAACTGGCATATGATATTGTTAAATGTGATTTTATAGAATTGTTTGAAAATTTCCTCTTTTTTTTTTTTTTTTTTTTTTTTTTTTTTACGTTTTTTTCTTTTATCACTTATCTTATTGAAGTATGAGTAAAGAGGGTGAGAATCAGAATGTGGACGAAGAAGATTTGGGTGGGAACATTTTAAAAGATGACATACAAAATGATGATGCAACAGAAAGAAATATTCTCATAATAGGAGACGAAAATCTGTCCTTTTCAGAATTTATAATTGAATCATATCCGTCCTCTCATATATACATAGCCAGTGAGAACTCTTTTTTTTTTTTTTTTTTTTTTTCTCATTTTTCTATACCATACCTGTTGTATAGCAATATGTGCAAGTTGAGAAACATGATAATATAACTAAATGATAGATCCATTTTTTTTGACTTCCCTGTTTTTTTTTTTTCTTTTGAGAGAGAGAATTATATATATGTGTCGTCTCTCATAATTTACTTGCATGAGCTCATTTCAAAGTTTTCCTTACTGTGCAAAATTTCTTTCACACGATTGTTTATGCTTCCATTTTTTCATTGTATTTAACATGTGTTTTTTTCCTTCTAACCCTCGAAGGTACATCAACTGAACTTGAAATGGATTACGTGTTACGGGACCTGGAGAAGAAGAAAAGGAAGCTAAAAATCGAAATGATGAATCAAGGAGATGTCCAAACATCCAAAATGCATTTTTATTATATAAGAAAATATCAAGAAATGTATAAGGACAGAAACGTGCATATAATATTCAACGCGAATTTGTTTAACTTGGGTAGTCACTTTCCAAATAATTTTTTCAGTACCGTTTTTCTGGTTCTTCCAGGTAAGAATTTAATCTGTTCACTTTGGAGTGGCCTGATGAATTGGTTCACTTTGGAGTGGCCTGATGAATTGGTTCACTTTAGAGTGGCCTGACGAATTGGTTCACAATGGAGTGGCCTGACGAATCGTTCTTTGGAATTATTCTATGTTGCACCAGATGTAGTTACATTGATAAATGTGCTAATAGACATGATATAAGTTCTTCGTTATTTTATCCATGATCATAATATAACACTATAAAAAAAAAAATTTCATTTTTATTTATTTATTTTTTTTTTTTTTTCCCCCTCCCTCCATCTCTCTCGTTCGTTCATCCTCTTTCCCCGTATACACATTTAGGACTTTGCTATAACATCAAGGAGAACAGACTCAAGTACAATGATAAAGTTACAACACTCCGAATATATTATTTTCTCTTTTGTATACTGATCGAAATTGTTCAAATTGGTATAAAAAATGCAAATATTCATTTGTTTTGGACAAGAGAGAAATTAACAAAATTTGTGGATGATGATGATGATTCTGTAGAATCGATAGAAAAGGAAGGAGACCAGAAACTGTCTGATGGTGAAGAGAAGAAACGGGAAAGTATTCATGAAACGATTAATTCTCTCAAGAGTTTGATGTGCAGTGGAAAGGAGGAAGTTGGAGAGGTTGGAGAGGTTGGAGAGGTTGGAGAGGTTGGAGAGGTTGGAGAGGTTGGAGAGGTTGGAGAGGTTGGAGAAGTGGGAGAGGTTGGAGAAGTGGGAGAGGTTGGAGAAGTGGGAGAAGTGGGTGAAGCTGAAGAAGTTGAAGAAGTTGGAGAGGTTGAAGAAGTTGGAGAGGTTGAAGAAGTTGAAGAAGTTGGAGAGGTTGGAGAAGTGGGAGAAGTGGGAGAAGCTGGAGAAGTGGGTGAAGATGGAGAAGTTGGAGAGGTTGGAGAAGTGGGAGAAGTGGGAGAAGCTGGAGAAGTGGGTGAAGATGGAGAAGTTGGAGAAGTGGGAGAAGCTGGAGATGTGGCAGAAGTTGGAGATGTGGCAGAAGCTGGAGAAGTAGGAGAAGCTGGAGAAGTAGGAGAAGCTGGAGAAGTAGGAGAAGCTGGAGAAGTAGGAGAAGCTGGAGAAGTAGGAGAAGCTGGAGAAAACGTGTGCATCAAACTGTCAAATTATTCGCAGATGTACGTCGATGGAGAAGAAAACGAAGATGATGCTCCACCGATGGGGGGAGAGGAAGGACAGATGAAAAATTGCACGACTGGTGGCAAGGTAGATAATGACAAGCATGATTATGAGGAGGAGGACGACGAGAAGGATGAAGAAGAGCAGCAGGAGGAGGAGGAAGAGGAAACGGATGGCGAGGATGAGCAAGACGCAACCAGATTTAGTCACCTAATGGATGCAGATGTAAAAGATAAAAACGAAGATAAAGGAGGAGCAGTAGAAGGAGGAGGAGAAAAAGGAGCCGGTACCATGTCACATGTAGTGACATATGTGTCCATTTTTGAGAAATGTGAAGATGGTAAAGGAAAAAAGATGAATGAAATGAACATAGCAAGATTCCCACTTCATTACCAGATTGATATAGAGAAAGTTATGAAATTATTTCTTATTGATGATCAAAAGGATGATGAGGTGGAAGAAATCAAAAGGCTGAGAGTGAATGTGGATGAAATTATAAATAAGTATATACCCATAGTGTATGGAAATCATTTTATATATAATGAATTTTTAAAGAATTGCAGATTTTATTCTTTTGTTTTAAAAAGTAAAAAAATAACGATTCCTGAAGAGATGGCATTAATATTAGAACCCAACATTACTCGTGAGTACCCAATTGAAACCTACACATTTTTGAAGAAAAAATTTTACTCTCAATTCAAAGAACAGGTTAAATCATATACTGCAATAAAAGATCAGTTGTATCACATTAGCCATATGAGGCACAAGATGTACATTCAGTATGTTAAAAGTAATTCATATGGAATCAACAAGAGACACAATTTGTCGTATTACCTTTTTCAGTACAATTTAAACAGCATGATGAGGAGAAGTAAAATATGTCCTTATTGTGAGAAGGGTGTGGATGGTGGTGAGAAGGGTGCAGACGATGGTAATAAGGGTGCAGACGATGGTAATAAGGGTGCAGATGGTGGTGAGAAGGGTGCAGACGATGGTAATAAGGGTGCAGACGATGGTGATAAGGGTGCAGACGATGGTGATAAGGGTGCTGCTGCTGGTGATAAGGGTGCAGACGATGGTGATAAGGGTGCAGATAGTGGTGATAAGTCTGCTGCTGCTGGTGAGAACGCCCCCAGGGGTCATCAGGCCTACTCAGAGAAATTATGCAGACATAAATCCTCGACAGATAAATTATGGAAATCGATTTTCAGTCCCTTTGATTTTTTCCACGTGAATGACAATTTGAATTCATATTTTGAATATTATATAAACTTAAAAAAAAAGAATAAAAGTGCAAGTCGTAACACTCGTAAGCTGTCTATAAAACTTAACAGCAACAGAAGAATGTATAATAGTGAGCACCCTAACAAGAAGTATGTTAAGAGATCCATTGGTGGATCATATCGAAACAGTAGCTACTACCCAATGTATGATAATAATAAGAAATCATCTCCCCTTCTACCAACGCCACTCAATGAAAATACAAGTAACTATTCAGGCCGAGGCACAAATATTAATACCTTCAGAGGAGGAGGAGCAGCAGCAGGAGCAGGTGGCGTGAACAAAAGCAGCATGCACATTATGAAGAAGGGTAATCATAGTAGTGTATACAAACATGTTACACACAGTGCGAACAGTGCACACAGTACTCATAGTACCCATTACTCGTACAGTAATCTCCATTCGTACAGTAATCTCCATTCGTACAATAATCTTCATTCGTACAGTAGTCAGAACCCGTCTCACAATAGTCAGAACCCGTCGCACAATAGTCAGAACCCATCGCACAATAGTCAGAACCCGTCTCACAATAGTCAGAACCCGTCTCACAATAGTCAGAACCCGTCTCACAATAGTCAGAACCCGTCTCACAATAGCCGTTCCTATAACAGTAGTCAGCACTCCCCGCAGAGTAGTCAGCATCCCACGCAGAGCAGTCAGAATCCCATGCACAATAGTCAACACCACTCGTACAGTAGTCAGAATTATGGCAGTAGCAGCAAGTATGGAGGTAATGGAATTTACAGTGTACAGGATACTGGATATGTGGATAGTAGCAATTATGGAGATGCAAAAAGTTACACAAACGGGAATAATCACAGTGGATCGAATAGTTACAATTGTCATCAATATTCATCTAATAACAGGATTTTTAGGAATGAGAAAATGGGTAAAGGTAGCATGATGAATAACTATGACAATAGGAAAGATGAGAAAAATTTGAAATATAACAAGATTGAAAACCAAAGACAGAACCGTACTTATTCCACATCTGGCTTTCACAGTGGTGGTGGTGGTAGTAGTAGTACTGTCGGTTCCACTTACCACGAGGGAAATAATCCATACAATACTTCGATGCATCAGGGTTTGGAGAGTAAAAAATCGACCAGGAATGCCATTCATAAGATGGGGGAACTGCGTGCTGAGGTGAGAGGTGAGGCCAGAAGTGACGTGAGAATAGACCGTAGAAATGACGTGAGAGGTGACATGAGAGGTGACGTGAGAATAGACCGTAGAAATGACATGAGAGGCGACGTGAGAATAGACCGTAGAAATGACATGAGAAGTAACATGAGAAGTGATAGCAAAAGCGCGAAGAGAAGGAGAGACGATTCCTATGAATTGAGAAGAGGTGCAACATCCACAGAAAACTACCCGAGTAAACGTTACGAAAAAAGAGGAAGGAATAATGACTACGGGACAGAAAAAAAAGCAGATGTCAGAAGGAATAATGACAACCATCATCGAAGTTCTAAAAGTAATGCAGAAATGCAAGACCCATATGCATCATCAACAAAAGAACACAACAATAAATACTATGATGGGTGGGGTGATAATCACTCATCCAACAAGTCGGATAAACATATGTGGAAAATGCCACCCCCACCCCCACGTATTCCACCTGTGCACGACAATCAATCCTATCAGAAAATGGTAATCCCTCGTTTCACGTACATTAGCGCAATGAGTGCAAAACGGCACTTTCTGTGAACATATAAAAATGGACCTCATGCCAGCATAATAAAACTATACTTTTGCGTGAGCATAATAAAACTATACTTTTGCGTGAGCATAATAAAACTATACATTTGCGTGAGCATAATAAAACTATACTTTTGCGTGAGCATAATAAAACTATACTTTTGCGTGAGCATAATAAAACTATACTTTTGCGTGAGCATAATAAAACTATACTTTTGCGTGAGCATAATAAAACTATACATTTGCGTGAGCATAATAAAACTATACATTTGCGTGAGCATAATAAAACTATACATTTGCGTGAGCATAATAAAACATGTTCATCTTTTCACATTTCCAAATATCTTCATTTCTCATTTTTGAATTTTCTCCACCTTTCCTTGTGTGTTCCCCTCTTAGGCTAGTCATTACAATATGGATCCCCAAAGGTAAGAAACAAAAGGAGAGATATCACAAGCATCCCCGTAAAAAAGTGTGCATGCATATGTTGCAACTGGGACAAGATATATATATATGTATATGTATATGTATATATGTATGTATATATGTATATATGTATGTATATGCAAGTGCCCCCGTCTCCCCACTTGATGGGCCCACGTGCTATAAATTCCCTACTCCTTCTCTCTCTACCCCTTTCCTTCATAGCGAAAAAGGATCCAACGGATTGAACTACAATTCGGGAGAGTTGTACAACAAAAGGAGTTTATATGGACAAAGTAGGAACTACCGAAACAACTGAGATATGAGATATAGATTGGAAGGGAAGAAAAAAAAGAACTTTTTTTTTTACACGCCATATATGTATGCATATATATACATGTGCACTATACTTTGTGTGGACGATTTTTTTTTTTTTTTTCTTTTTTTCATACTTTTATTATATATATTTATGTATATATATTGTTGGATTTTTCTGCCCATTGTGAATAGAAGTTTCGTGTACGTTAATGAAATTTTTGAAAGTGTTTTTTTTTTTTTTTTTTTTTTTTACTACATTATTTCTCCATTATTTTTCCTTCTTTTTTTTTTTTGAATACTTTATTATGTTGTTCTTTTTTTTAATTTTTTTTTTTTTTTTTTTTTGTTCCCTAGCCTAACACACCTGCGTCTGTCAGTATATGAAAAGCCATTCTAAGTGACAATAAAAAAAAAAAAGTAGACATATATACATGCATATATATATATATATATATATATATATATATATATAACCCTTTTTAGCAAGCACCCCCATACCATAAAATGGTGTAACGAATATGGAATACCAAAATGTGGTGAGTGTTCCGGGTTGATACTATATGTGCACATGTATGTTTTTATATCCTTGGCATTCTTGCTTTTTTTTTTTTTTTTTTTTTTTTTTTTACACTTCATTCGTTTTATTCATTTTGTTTTACCTCATAAGGAACCGAACGTACTTTATGCGGTAAGTCTGATCAAAAATAAACCCGGGTGATACATATATAACATCCGCTGTTATGCCAAATGTTTTAAAAAAAAAAATCATAGATAGAAAAGGGTTACTTTTTTGGAGGAGACATCATCTCTCTTGTATGTACGGCTTCTTCCACTCGCAGAAGTTAGCATTGGTTGGTTTATAGTTCGTTCATGGGGAGAGGGACTATGCGTTTTTTTATAAATATGCCACAGGTGTGGTTTTTGCACGTGTGGATGCATGCAAAAAAAAAAAAAAAAAAAAAAAAAAATGTAATAAATGTAGTAAAAGTGGTAAATGTGGTGTACGGTGACAAATACAACAAATACATGACAAGCAAAGGTAAGCTCGTGAAAAATGTAAAATTGACAGAACTGGGAATGGCCAGACATTGCCAATTTTTTTACATTTTTCACGCGTTTAGCAGGACGAGGTAGAGGGGTTATTATACCAGCAAATCTAACTAATCCCTCTCCGCAATGAAGGTTAAGTAATTGTCTATCTCCTTCTCGCTAATTTGTGTGAAATTGGGATTCAGTTTTGACACTATTGCCATTTCTATTTCGTTGGCCTTTAAATCAAATGCCAAGATAGTTTGCAGTGCTTCAATAGCCAATATAATAGTGCTTTGTATATCTTCTTCTAATGTCTCTTGTTGAATTTTTTTTTTCCTCTTCTCAAGCAACCTTTCCAGTATGCTTATGCTTTCTTGTTCTTTATTCCCAATTACGCATGCTCGATATCCAGCACAGAATCCTGATGGATCGAATTTGAAAAGTCCAGGTTTGTTTTCTTCGTCCATTCCTATGATCATCCCGCCTTTGAAAAAAAATGGGGAAGCAAAAGTGTTGCTAATTCAAAGTTGCACATTTTGCTGTGTAATAAGTGCGTAGATTAATTTGGCAAAAATAAGGAAAATTTTATGACTTGCTCATACTTTTTTTTTTTTTTTTTGAAATAGCCATTTTTTCCACACATTGGCTAGTCCACCTGAACGTGTCATAATTTTATGTAGCAAAAAGGAGGCACGCATCCTCTTTGTTTTCTCTCTCTGATGGAAAACTTACTGCAAGCGTGAAGTCTCATATAGGCATGCTGTGTATAGACCTGAATTTTGTCACAAATATTTCTGCACAGGGTTTCTACATTTACGTTATGTCCATTTGCATATATATATTCAGAGGCCTCCGATCTAGCTTTGTAAACCATACTGAGACAATCTCCAGGCATACCCACAATAGAACATCCGATTTCATCCGTTATGTTGTAAATGTTTGTAATATTATTGTAATCTAAAAGTTTGTCTTGTGATATGTATTGAGCTGCCATTTTTTTTTGCGAAATGATAACAGCACAGTTTTCTCCTTTCACTCCGATGGAGGTTATGTTGGTGTTCTTTACTGCCTTTATAGCGTATTCTGTGGGAGAAGAAAAGCAGAGAAAAACATGACAATTATTTTTTTTTGCCTGTACATGTGTGTGGAGATATATATGTAGTTGGTTCCTTATCAAAGAAATGCACAATTTTTTTTTTATGTGCTTCTGCTTCCTATGTATTCATAAGAATGAGCATACCAATTTGATAAAGGTTCCCATCCGGGGAAAAGATGGTTAAGTGTCTATCGTACATGCTCTGAGATTGTCTCACCATAGTTACCTTCCTCGATCGTGATTAGTAAAGTCTCGATTTGTATTTTTTTTTTTTTTTTTTTAACTCCTTCTGTTTTTACCACCTCGTGTGTAAATCCGAATGCAGACACAAAATCATACAGTGCATGAAATATGTATAATGAGTACACAATGTACGTAGCACGATGGGTGCATGACACTTTTTTTTTTTTTTTTTTTTTTTTCTTTCTTATCCTATCCTAGCTTATCATAAGTTTTTTTTTTTTTTTTTTTTTTTTTTTCTTGACGCATGTGACAGGTAACTGTTGGACTAACTATTACAGGTGATGATAGTAGTCTCTTTTGAGATACCCTCTCCCTGTTCCAAGAAGAGACAAAGAAGTAGGGTTATTAACTTTCGTGTGTATTATGTATATTGTACTTTTTGCTTAAGTTGCTAGGGTTTCTAATACTATAAATATTGCGTATGTATTTCTTATGCTACTAAAACGGAGGTATTTTCCCTTGCTCGGAGGGGAAGAAAAACTGAATTCTATATGTGTGGCAATGACATGGGGGAAAAAATATGTACGGGGGTCATAAATAAAAGAGTGCTCATCATAAAAGAAGAATGCAGATCATAAAAAGAGAATGCAGATCATAAAAAGAGAATGCAGATCATAAAAAGAGAATGCAGATCATAAAAAGAGAATGCGGATAATAAAAAAAAGAACTGGGGTATTAAAAAAAAGAACTGGGGTATTAAAAAAAAGAACTGGGGTCATAAAAAAAAGAGCGTTGGTCATAAAAAAAAGAGCGTTGGTCATAAAAAAAAGAACGCGAGCCATAAAAAAAAGAACGAGGGTCGTAAAATTATTTTTTTGTTACGTTGCAAAGCCCATTTATGTACAATAGCATTCTAACATACATATATAATAGTAAGGGGCGTGTAAACAAGGTTGTATTGGTATGGAGTTTGTGCAAATGCAAAATTTGCACCTTTTGGTTTACTTTGGATGGGGAGAGGTGTGCTATGAGAAACTGAAGTTGCGTATTTTTTTTTTTTTTTTCCCTATCCTTACTACTTTATGAGAATTTTTTCTTTTTTTTAATCATTCGCGTCGAAATGTATATGGCACACTTTTTTTCGTTCATATACACATGTAACACAAAAATTGTGTATCTCCAATTTAAATATATGATAAATTACATTTATGCAAGCATGAATATATAATATTCCGAGTTTTTTTTATATAATATATGGGAAAGATTGTCAAACCTATTTGATGGGTATTTTTCAGTAGAGACATACATACATGCATACATACATACATACAGATATATATATGCATACCTATTTATGTATTGCTTTTGAATGATCCACACATTTTTAGCGAAACCAATTTTCTTACAATTCAAGAAAGTGGAACGAAAACATGTCATTAAAATGTTGCTAAGTAGAGCGTTTGAAGTAGCAAAATATGCATGACAGAGTGGTTTTAAAAAAATCAGTAAAAATAGGGTGACTGGGAGTGTGTGTTTGATGGGGGAAGCAAATATATAATAAACCCTCTGCCAGAAAAATGGGAATATCTTCTGTTGTATTGTGAAAAAAAAAAAAAAAAAAAAAGTGCTGGGAATTTTTTCTCCTCCCTAGTATTATATGTGTTACATATATTTTTGGGTACTGACAAAGTAGCGTCGTATGCTAATATAAATTCGTGATTAACAATATATGCACATATGAATGGAACATATTAACTGTACTCATTTTGTACATATATTATATCCTTGAAGAATTACTCATTTATGTACACATGGAATATTCATATTGTCGAATGCCTTCTTCTCTAATCCTGCTTCACACATAAACACACACGTATGGGAGAGTATAGAAAAAAGATAGTCTCGTGAGTATACAAAAAAGACTACATAAAATAAATTGCATTTTCTCTCAGTTCACTTATCGAGGAGGTGAGGGAAAAGCAAATCCACATTTTTGAAACTATTTGCTCGTGCTTCCTTGATAAAGGCGTACAGTATCATATTCCCTAACTTTCTTATGTACATGTTCATAAAATTTTGGTATATCCTATTTTTCAGCTGCACATAATGAGTGAATATGAGTACATGTTAATGCTTGTATGTATATGTGCAGAGCAAAAAAAAAAAAAAAATAAAATAAAATAAAATAAAAAATAAATTGTATTTAAATACATGTACATATATGTGCATATACAGGGGAGGAAAAGCCGTGTTTATAACAGTAAAGTAGTTGCATCAGCATTTCCTGGTCGTCACACGATTGCATATATGTGCAATATACAAATGTAACATTCTCTCACATGGACATTTGACTTACCCTGAAATTTATATAAAAATGGACGTTAATGCAATCTGGTTTTTGTTCGATAATCCATTCGGTTATCTGAAGGTGTGTGTGTGTGTGTGTGTGTGTGCATGTGTATATATATATATATATGCACGTACATATATATGTATGTGTGGAAAAATAAGGAGAGACTACGTGAAATGACACTTGTAAAGGAGCAGGGACGTGTTGATGTTCTCCATCTTCTTCTATGTGTCAACTGGAAAACCGAGATAGGATTATCTCTCAACTTAGGTTTCAAGTTCAAGTATAACACTTGTAGGAGTCATTTCGTGTTTTTTTTTTTTTTTTTTTTTTTTTTTTTTTTTTTTTTTTTTTTCCCCTTTTTTTGTACAAACCAAATGATTAAACAAGTTCGTATCTGCGCTGGAAACCTGAAAAAAAAAAAAGAAAAAAGAAAATAAATAAATTGATAGCTACGTAAACCAATAAGTGAATGAATAAGTAGAGTAGTGGACAAATAAGCGAATATGCAAATAAATGAATAAGACTGGTGCATAAATAAAGGGGCCTGCGAGGATGTTCCCATCTCACCCCCTCCACGCAGGGTGCATAACGAATGTGCAAAATCACATTTGCACGTTTGCACATTTGCACGTTTGCACATTTACACGTTTGCACATTTGCACGTTTGCACATTTGCACGTTTGCACGTTTGCACATTTGCACATTTGCACGTTTGCACATTTGCACATTATTACCGTGATATTTGTTGGGTATTTAAACCTAATTAGAGAATCATACTTTTCCTTAAAGAAAATGTTTTGAATATGGAGGACTGCCTTGAATTGCTCCTCCAACTTTTCTGTTATTTTGCTTTTCTACAAAAAGTGATCAAGGGGGAGGAGGGTATGTGTTTTTTCTGTAACAGCAACATAACGAAAAGAATAGCACATGTAAGTATATTCAGTTAATGGTGGATTGAGTTAAATAATTGTTCATGATGATCCATGCAACCGAACTCTCTCTGTTTCTTTCTCTAAAATCTCGTTGCAGTTCAATACCGTTACATATGGAAGGAAATGGCTGTATCGATCTACATTCAGAATAGTGTAGAAAAATACATGACTGTCACAAATGATGTTGATATTTTTTCGATAGGTTATGTCCTCAGATGGGTTCCAAATTTTGTTTTTAAAAAGTGAATAACATCTACTATTAATTTTATTTTTAGCATGAATCGTTTTATTCGATGTGTTGTTTTTGACAATTTGGCTTAGTGCTATCCCCCTCATCGTGTGGATTGTGAAGTTAAAACTGCAGAAAAAAAATAAAATAAAATAAAATGAGGAAGCGACACACACATCCACGTGCATGCGAAATGTGCTTATTATACATGCACATAGATGAATACATTTGAAGCTAATCAAACTTTTATGTAATCTTCAAATTGTTTACCTTTCTGAGGAAGATATAAAATATTTCAGATGTATGCTCATGGGGTGATACTTTTCAATAATTCACATGTTATCTAATTTCTCCCCCTGCAAAAAATAAAAGGTATATATTATAGCACACCCACGAACAAAATGAATAATTGATCAAGAACTAACACATTCATAGTAACAAGTAATGTCAAAAAGACCAAACGAAGAAGAAGAAAAAAAAAAAAAAAAAAAAAATCCTAATTTTGTATATCTACCTTTTTTTGCCTGAGGTACGTTTAGAGGTAAGGTGAGGGTGGGGGTGTATACCCCTTCATTATTTTTGCCTTTTTGCAAAAATGATGTAACAAGGGTGTGTGCACATATGTATAGTGTATGTTATAATATGTAGATAAGTCGACGCTATTTTTTTTTTTTTTTTTTTTTTTTTTTTTTTTACTTTTTCTTTGCTCTTTTCTCTGCCTCTTCTTCCTTTACTGCCCTTCTTTGATCTTCTCTATTTTTTTTTTTTTTTTTTTTTTTTTACTTCCCACGTGCTGCTTTTTTGGAGGCTTTATATAACAACTGAAAGAAGTGAAAAAATATATTCTCTGTTGGTACAAAAGGATCAGAGTTCTAATGGTGCTCCACTCATGTAGTGAAAATAATTTTTTACAAATGTCACGGTCGCCATATATATACATATGCCACACCTGCTGTTATGTGTGTTTTTATAGGATGGAAGTGTTTATATGCGAACGATACATAGGATTTGAATTAAAAACAGGATAATTAAAAAGGCAAAGTAATGGAAACAATAGTTGGGCATAATGACAGTTGTTGTAATTTCACAAGACGTGTTATGTTTATATTACATATATATATGTGCAATGCAGCATGCCTTCTCTCAAAAAGAATAACGACCATGTGTGGGTAGAAAAAAAAAAAAAAAAAAAAAAAAAAATCATTGTTGAAATAAAATCGAAAAGAGCGGGGTTGAAACTTTATAATTACAAAAAATAAAATAAAATACACATATAAAAATAAATTCACTATACAATAAAACATAATTTTTATGTATTTCATACTCGGCAATATTTTAAAGTATACGGACAAGTGCAAAAAAAAAAAAAAAAAAAAAAAAAGGTAAAAACTGTGATAAAGGAAAGATGGATACGGGAAATGAAGAATCAGGAAGAATTTTTCTAGACTAAATATAAGCAGCATGCCATAATGAAGAATAAGCTTTAAAATAATTAAAAAAAAAAAAAATAAATAAATTAGTCTTTTTTTTTTTTTTTTTTTTTTTTTTTTTTTCTTCTCATTCTTTCTATTTTTAAAAAAGAAAAGAACAAATACGCATCCAGGAGTGATGTTTTTGTTTTATTTTATTTTGCTTTGTTTTATTTTGCTTTGTTTTATTTTGCTTTGTTTTATTTTGCTTTGTTTTATTTTGCTTTGTTTTATTTTGCTTTATTTTATTTTGCTTTATTTTATTTTGCTTTACTTTT